GCGAGGGTTTTCAAGATCCGCTCAAGATTTGCGATCGGACGCCGGTAAGGCAAATGACTTTTTCGCAATGATCACATCCAAAGGGTAGATGATGTACGGCGCCGAGAAGCCGCTTGTTACTTCCGGGTTTTCGGAGCAGTTGAGGTTGGGAATTGTCATTTTTTGTGTTTTTCATTGTTTTTGGTTTGCCCCAAATCCTTTAAAGGGACAGGTGAGGGAGGCATGGATCTGAATTGTTGAGAAACTCGGATGTTTTCCAAATTCGCGAAATTTTGCGGCGCAGGCGACACGCAAAGCGCTTGCCGCTATAAAGATGTCGTAACCGATTAGACAATATTAATACAAGCTTGCGCGTTGCGTGAAATCCACAGGTCATCCATAGCGAAAATTTGATGGTTCTGCTGCCTTCCTTGTCCCTTTACAGGTACGGGGAAGGCATTTTTATGGGATTTATGGGCTACGGATTTCGCCGCGTTCGCGACACGCAACGCTTAGCTCCCCTCGGTCGTTAAAGGGCGTAATCGATTACGCAATAGAATTCTCACGCGTCACATCCCGCAGCGCGTCAGAATGCATAGTAAATCTGTAGCAAGAAACCCGTAAACATGCCTTTACTGTCTCTTTAAAATCCTTGATTCTTCGAACCCAAGAAATATGCAAATTATTCACGCCCTGCATACGTGAGAGCGGCGACTGATTGCCGGTTGAGATATGCGAGGCTCGAAGATCCATATGCGCATTTCTCACTCACACACACTCTTTCTCTCTCTCTCTCTCTCTCTTCGTGTACAGGATCGTCGTGTACTTCCCGTGCTCTAACACCCCAATTTCCAGGAGCTCCTATTGTCGCTCGTTCGTCCACTTTCTCGACTGGGCGAGGGGATCTCCCGAGGTGTGGAAGCTTGATGAGGGCGATCGGGTGGGTGTTTATGATTCTATGCGTCTCTCTCTCTCTCTCTCGCTCTCTCTCTCTCTCTCTCTCTCTCTCTGCGTCTCTCGTGACGTCTCACTATTTCTTCAGTACGCTTTCTTCGCTATCGTTCCATCTTGTTTCATTGGGTTTCTGGTGGCTTCTCTGCATCTCTAGCCATCTCCCTCCCTCTACTCTCTCTCACTCTCTCTCTCTCTTCCCTAACAGCTGATTCTGGGTGGGAGGATTCCCTAAAGAGATCGGGTTGTACGATGGCTCCTACGGACATGAGCATGAGCACGAGCAAGCCATGCCGGAGGACCGGACTAGAAACTGTGTGTTGATCATCGACCCATGGGAATCCATGCAGCCGAAGCATGCCTAGGAAAGGCGAGGAAGAGCACGCGAGGGGGGTGTTAAAAACTTTCTGGAGCCGAGTTCCAAGTTCTGAATCCTGTCCACCAGATAGTTGCTGATTCCCTCGCTTGACAAGTGCTTTAGCCGGAAAAACCCTTTAACAGGGCCGGGAAGATCTGTGGAAAAATGTCCGAAACTATCGATTCCTCGGTTTTCAATACGATTTTTCTCGGAAAGAGCCAGTTAACTATCTGATGCTAAGCATCAAAATGAAATTGAGAATTCTGAGAGCTAAATTACGAAAATCAGGGTACTATGGCCGCTAGTGACCCTGGGAGCTTTGAAGCATCGCATAGCTGTCGAAACCCCATGGATGAAAGGGGTCGATGCTCGCCTCTCCTATACACGCTGAAAACTAGCCGTTGTTCCGTCGCTCCCAACCTAATAACTCCGAAGAAATACGTGACAAGACTGTAGCCACCTCTCCCCCACCGTCTGGGGAATGGTGGAAAGTGAGTCGCTTAGTGTCACCGAGGGGGATCAGAAACCAGACCACCCTAGCCACCAACTCTTGCCTCTTGCCGCGGGGATTTTTATCGGGTCGTATTCCTTACCGAGAATTTGGGGGGAGTGGTGAAAAAAACAAGGACATCAAGGGGTGCATAAAAAGCGCACGTTTTCCGGTTGCAAGCAACGAAACGAGTGAGGAGAGCAAGAGCGAGAGTGAGACAGAGAGATAGAGAGAAAGTGAGAGAGAGAGAGAGAGAGAGAGAGAGAGAGAGAGAGAGACGGAGCAAGTAAGAGAATGAGCGTGAGCGCGAGTGAGTCAGATATAGAGCGATCGAGATAGAGAGAGAGAGGGAGAGAGAGAGAGAGAGAGAAAAGGAGACTGAACATCGAAAAACCTAAATCCGGCCATAGCCTACGTGACGTCTATTGGGACGATCTTTGGGAGCCCGTGCGGTCAAGGAGCTCGCCAACTTGCCCAAAAAAGGCTGTCTGCCTTTTTATCCAAGTCTGTGCTCCTCTCCCTCTCTCTCTCTCTCTCTCTCTCTCTCTCTCTCTCTCTCTCTCTCTCTTTCCCTGTTTCTCCCTCTCTCTCATGTCTGGCATTTCCGTCTACCACCAACTAAAATGATGTCAACCCGAGGCATCCCACAAATGTCCGTGCTCTTGATCCGAGTGCGCAAATGGCCAGCCCGGGCCCGGGATATCTTTTCAACCCCTTGAAAATAGGCGCCAAAGAACGCTCCTCGCAAGAGTCCACCCGGAAAATGAGAGAAAACTAGGTACGGGATTTTCCAAAATACGGAAAGGTCGCGCCGGGACGGGGGAACGGGGAATTTTCGGTGGAAACCAAAACACCGGAAGCGGGAACCGGGCCAAGGTTTTGGATGATAGGGGCGAGAAACTAGTTTTTCAACGACTGAGCACAGGCGCGCACCGATATTTCAAAAATGCAGCATTGGAAATTTTTGAGGAACACATTTTTAGACCTATTAACCTGGGAACCTAGCATCGACAAAATGAAGTTACTCGTGTTTTGAAATGACGCTTCAGATCTCGATACCTAGCTTCCCTCGTTATTGCCGGGCGCTGGAACACCGCTTTGAAATTTTGCTGGCAAGACTACGTTTTGGAACAGCCATCTTTTAACTTGAAAACCGAGTAGCACTGTGGTTTTGGAGCCAACAGCTCTGAAAAAACCAGACCTGAATTTGCTTGGGAGCAAAAAGCTGAAACAGGGTGGTGGAATTTTTGAAGCCCTCAAGACCTAGTGGCATCTTATCCCCGTGATTTCTTGATTGTCTTTGAAAATATCATATGCAAATCAGCCTCTAGCAAGGCAAATCGTCTAGAAGCCGTGGCTAAATTGATTAAACATTTTCTCGAGCTATAGCTCGGCGTTTTTCAAGTTTTGGGTCCTTGGAGGATTTCCACGCGGTGGAGCATCGCAAGGCTTATCAACATTAAAACATTAAAATCGGACGTACCTGCGGGTCTGGCGTACGATTCCAATCTTTTGTGCCAAGACCTTCCACCCTGAGGTTTTTGCCTAATTCCCCATTATCATTCACTTTATCTTCTACCATCATCCTTCTATCACCTTTCATCTACCTTTACTAAGGCCCTCGTTTCAGACACTCCACCTCTGTGCCACCGGCGCCAGTGTTGTCCTATTCTCCTCTGCGTATAATTCGTATCGTCTCGGAGTCGATGGGTTGGCTTTCAATCACGGAATGCGGATACACGGGAGGCATAAAGCCAATAATCTGTAAGTTCTATTTTGATCTTGCTCTCTCTCGCTCTTTCGCTTTTTCTCTCTCTTGCTTTATTTCTCTCTCGCTTGCTCTCTCACTCACTCGCTCTCTCTCTCTCTCTCTCTCTCGCTCCCTCTATCCCTGAAATCAAGGAGTTACTTGGAATAGTCTCGTAACCAATCGACCTTTTTCCAGCTACACGAGTTTCTGCAACACCCTAGCCGACTATATGGATTCTAACATTGTTAGCATCTTCAAAAAAGCAGCCATTACCGAAGAGGAATATGTCATTATTAAGAAAATATTGTTTTTCACTTCTCGTAAGTTTTTGCGTAATTTTTAGCCATTGTTTACCTCTTGATCGCGGGCTTAAACCTTACCTACTTGTTTCTAGCCCCATCCCTTTCCGATTCGGGCCAGGAAGCCGTCCGGAAATCGAAGCGGAAATGGGAGAGCGTTCTTGTTAAGGTAATTAATGACACATTACAGCTCTAAAATTAAGATTCGAATGTTCAGCATTTATCTGATCAGTACAAAGAAAAAACTACCGACTTTCAAACGGAGCGCTTGTCGGTGCTGATGAACTTGGTGCCATTGTGTATGGTAAGTTAGAGAGCGAGAGAGTGAAAAATAGAGAGCGAGGGAGAGATAGAGATAGAGAAAGCAAGAGCGAGAACGAGAGAGAGAGAGAGAGAGAGAGAGAGAGAGAGAGAGAGAGAGAGAGAGAGAGAGAGAAAGCAAGAGCGAGAACGAGAGAGAGAGAGCGCGCGTGAGAGCGAAAGAGAGACAGAGAGAGAGAGAGAGAGAGAGAGAGAGAGAGAGATAGAGAGAGAGAGAGCGAAAGAGGAAGAGAGGAGAGAGAAAGAGAGAGTAAAAAAGAGCCGACCCTGTATTTTTAATTTTCAGAAAATAGCCCAAATCAGCGACCGTGTCTTCGCGAAGATGGTAGTGTACAATGTAAAGAATATTCGAGGCCGTCTTTCACTGGATATGCACGTCAGAGGCTTTTGAATGTAGAGTACAGCAACGGGTCTGCAAAAACTGTTCCAAAACTGCCATTTATTTATTGTTAAAGGTGTTAGTGTTAGTGTAGAATAAATAGATATGTATAGTTAACCCGGAGCGAAAAATGCATCACAAAAGACACCATATAAATAAGTGAAAAGGGGTATATACCGTAATTGCGTAGCTTAACGTAGTCGTAACTAGAAGAGCCAGGAAATGAGAAATCTACCGCGACTTTGTAGATACAAGAATAGCAATCAGGAAAAGGCGGAAAATCAAATAATTTGTACGGTAATTCCCTAGCGTAATATAGTCGAATTTTTTTTGGAAAATGTTCCGAATCGATTCAGTTTTTCTAATTTTATAAATCAAGCGTTTTTTGAAGAATTCAAAACTAACACTAAATAAAGGAAATTTAGGAGATATAGCAGAAACAATTAAATATTCCTATAAATTCCATATCTCTATTTTGGTGGCAATTTTGGCAGCGGTTTCCCGAAAAGCCGATAATCATAATAGTACGCGGCAATAATATAGGACATTGTCGTTCGATTGCTAAAGACATCCCGCATCCATCCCTCGCGGATTCCGGCAAATTCCGGAAGCTTTCGGTATTTGTTATTGTTTGTCGTTAGGAGCCGTGAGAGGGCCTGGAAATGGTTTTTTAAATGTAATTTATTTCTTACTACAAGCCTCTAAGTTAAATTAGAGTAACGCTGTAAAACTCTGTGACTTAAATTTTACAAGGAGGTTTTCAAAACTGCTTAAAATCGTTATTTAAGAAACTTTAGAAAGCTTTTTCAAAATGTTCGTTAGCGGATTTTCGTTTCCTATAAAACTGGGCAACTCCATAAGCCGGCCAATTCCCGGTCACCACCCCTTTAAAGCCCCTTAATCCCCTTAAAAACGACAACTTACAGTATCAATCCATTTCCCAGAAATCCCACTATGCCGAAAATGCGGCCGCAATCTGCTGATCATCTTCTTTGAGTCCAGGGTGTATTCGATTGGTATGTACTTCTTGGGCTCCTCGCCGATTCCACAGTACCTAAAAATTGAAAAAAGTATAAGTATCGGATTTTGAAGCAAATTTGCTAATTTTGAACCCGAGGTTAAGAAGTTAGAGCTTTGAGCCGTTTTCGTGGTTTCGATCTGAGGAGATCAAAAACCAAAATTTCCAAAAATCACTTACCATGTAGTAGGGACGATATGATGGCGTAGATTAGCCCGGTCCTTGACTCCAGCAGGATACTTTCCATCTTTTAGGATTTTGTAGAAGCTTTTCGCGGCGGTGTGGACGGATTCGGCGGCTTTTCCACAGATTTGGAGGCCACTAAAAATGAAAATTAACCTTTGCTTTCACTCTCTCTCTCTCTCTCTCTCTCTCTCTCTCTCTCTCTCTCTCTCTCTCTCTCTCTCTCTCTCTCTCTCTCTCTCTCTCTCTCTCTCTCTCTCTCTCTCTCTCTCTCTCTCTCTATCTTGCTCTCTCCCGCTCTCACTCTCTCTCTCTCACTCTCTCTCTGTCTCTCTCTCACTCTCTCTCTGTCTCTCTCTCTATCTTGCTCTCTCCCGTCTCTCTCTCTCTCTCTCTCTCTCTCTCTCTAACTCTCTGTCTCTCGCTCGCTGTCTCTCTTTCTCTCTCTCTACCTTGCTCTCTATCTCTCTCTCTCTCTCTCTCTCTCTCTATCTAATTAATACTTACTGGCATAAATGTCCATACATCGAGACGAATCTGTCGACCGGATCCCTCCATAATATTATTCGTTTATTCTTCGGCTTCCACCAATTTCCGCGTAAAAATCTCCGGGCGCGTACTATGCACGCAGGGCTGACCGAAAATGTATTTATCGTTTGTATTTTCTATATCACTGTAATGAATTTGTATAAGGTATATTTCTGTAACGTTAGTATAGCTACTGGATTTGTCGTTTTAGTTCAAAACCAACCGATTTTTCTCACTGATGATGAACGTGTTGGCGTCGACTTTCCAGCCTCGCTTCCGGAAATTTAACTCGCAGAATATCTGATTTACGGGGTTATCAAGGTAACTAGATAAAACAACTACCCTCCTCATCTGCCTGGACATCGACTTGGCGACGTTGCTGAACACGAGATTACCGATTTGCTAAAAAAACACCTATGCAAACTCTAAAATAGATTTAAAAGAGCCGGAAAGTGCGAGAATCTACCCATTTTAGACTAGGTTGGGACGTGCAAGAGCAAAAAATAATAGGCACTAGCGTCATTTGGCTTGTTCTGAAGCTGTCGATACCTAGTGGTTGGAAGGGAATGATAGTCCTGGTATAAATGGTTCGCAAAACTGCAAATGCTAAAATTTCAGCAAACAAGGTTACAGGGTGTCCCAAAAAAAACGAACCATATGGCATTTGGGGGGTGTTACATCCAATTGGCCCCAAATTTGGACGAGAGGTGTATCAGACCCTAAATAACAACAATCCTGACCTTTAGCCCCGTAGCTATAGTAGTTCTCGAGTTATAACGAAAACCAACTTTATTTTCCATTTTCATAGGGTTTTCGTGGAATTAGACCCCCTAAACATTAAGTGAAAAAGATCCGGTAGGCCTTCTTTACTTTAAGAAATTTTTTCCAGACTAAAATTAATTAAATAAACTTTGATTTAAGCGATTTTTACAACGCAAAATTACCCAAGTTCTTAAGCGGAATTAGGGATTCGCAGCCGGAAGTCGATGCAAATCGATGCAAAGTCCAAAAAGATAGCCGAAAAAACTGTTCAGAATTCCGGGAAAATCAGTGTTTTCCTTATAACTCGAGAACGACTGTAGCTACATGGCTATAAGTCAGGATTGTTGTTATTTAGGGTCTGATACACCTCTGGTCCAAATTTGGGGCCGATTGGATGTAACACGGCGAAATGCCAGATGGTTCGTTTTTTTGGGACACCCTGTATGTCTGGAATAGTGCACTGTACTTGCAAAACCCACAATTCGATCGCAAAAGCGCTCCTTTTTGATTGGTATCGGAGTCAGCCGTATGTGTCCACCGTGCGGTTTGATGATGTCCCAATGGGGTGCCTGAAAGTAAACAGGTATTCAAGGGGTGCGAGGCAAGCTAGCAGAGATCCTTGGGGAACCCTGTGAAGAGTGTCGCAGTCTAGCCTATTAGGAATACAGCCTAGGCTTTGCTGCGCTACAGTACTTCTGACGATACGACAGAGTGTCCCAAAAAAAGTACACCTTTGCCTTCAATGAAATCTAACATCTTCCATGAAATAGCGCCAGAAACGAGGGGTTCGACCCCCTCGTCCGACTAGGTATAGAAAAGCGCCGTGACACCAAAACCGTCACGCATAGCTCGATTGGGTACGATTATAGAGTCATGCTCAATTAATGGCGTAGTTTACGATGTACGCGCAGCGGAAGTCTCGCTTTCTCTTCGTCGAGTCCTAGTCTTTTAAAGGAACTAGAAAGAAAGATTCTAGTGCATTTTTTAACTAATGGGTTGATGGCAAAACAGCAGAAAATGTTTGTATGAAAAAAGGGAAGCAAAAATCAAATAAATTGGAAGACAACTCGGTTAGGAAAGTAACGTACCCTTCGCTGTCGTCGCAGTTGTTGTTGATGATGCTTAATATTCCAATTCTTCGGGTGTGGCTGGCTTTTAGTGTTCCAATTTTTAGGATGTTGCTGGTGTTTAAGGTGCCAATTCCTCGGATGTCTTGGAATCTTGGAGTATAGCGGAATGGAGAATGCCAGGAGTAGGGCCAGCCAGTGGAGGAGCATCCGAAAAAGGAGCCGGAGGTCGCTTCGGCTTGGCTTGGGCTTAGGCTTAGGCTTGGCTTAGGCTTGGCTTAGGCTTGGCTTAGGCTTAGCTTAGACTTGGCTTAGTCTTAGGCTTCGCTTAGGCTTGGGCTTGGCTCAGGCCCAGGTTCCGCTTAGAACCTATGCCTGAATGTGGGGTGTTCCGAGTTTCCAGACGGACTTCTCCACCCCCAACCCCCCGACTGCCTTTCGATTATCCATCTTGGGGCGACCGTTTTTCTGTGCTTTTCCCTACCTCCTGGTTATTATCCGGTCTCTCGCTCTCGCTGTCTTGCTCCTCGGCCTCCCCTTGCCGGGCTCGTGCTCGAAATTGAAGGCTCTCCCCCGCCCTCTGAATACCTATATAACGACCCAATAACGGGCAAGTGGCACTGCTTGCACAACCACCAGCACGACAACGGCAGCACGACATCAAGGAGGGCAAAAAAGTTGACAGCCCTTCCCGGTGCTTCCCGGCGGCGCTTCCGATTCCGATTCGATACCCCCGTTAACGCGTGATAAATAGGGCGAAATGTCATTAGGAGGGAAGCGGAATTGGGTGAATTAATGCCGACAACTTCGGCAAGTTCGAGCTGGAATTTAGCCATTTATGATCCCGGAATTCGAAGCAGAACACAGCTCCTTGGAATCCCGCTTTTCGCTGCAAGACACAACATCAAAAGCTCACTTTTTAGGATCATTTTTAGTGCCGTGAATGCGAGCCTGATCTTGGGAGTAATGACGTTAACGTGTCGATCCTAATGACGCTCTGAGACTTTAAAGGACGAACGAAATTTATGGCAATTTATTGGCTAAAAGTTGGCACGCCTGGAAATCCAGGGGAGGTTTTAGCACTTGGGCAAGCCCTTTCAAAAACTCCCGTTCCTTTTAATGGAGAAAACTCCAAACAGCCTCCGAATTTTCTGGCATAAAGTAACGGATGTAATCTCAGAAAATTAACGTACGACTTTCGACATAATCCGTTACGCCATCTGGCCCCACGAGATGCAATCGGCTACACCCACATAGTCCGAGTTCCGTCTAATCAGTTACGCTACGAAATAACGCGCCCAAAAACACGATCTACCCTGAAAAAAAAATGGCGTCTGACTCATTTTTTGACATTCTCTCGCGCCAGCATAGACTTCCTGAAGCTCTATGCAGTTTCCAGGTTTGTTTCTCGCGAATACATAGTTGGATCTCCGGAGATGCAAGTCTTGGCTTCCAGCCCCCTTTAAACGGGCAAGTCGGCGTGGTTCGAGTTTCTACAGGGTGTGCAAAAAAAAGACCACAGTTTGGGTCGAAATAACACGCGAACGGTAGAGAATGGAAGGTACGTTACCATGCCAGAATGCTTAAATATGCTGGGCATGAAGATTTAACACAACTTGATTTTTTCGATTTTTTAGTACGAAACTGTACTATTGACGCTGGTTACGACCGAAAATTGTGCGTTCTTGAACTGTGTTAAATCTTCATACCCAGCATATTTAAGCATTCTGGCATGGTAACGTACCTTCGATTCTCTACCGTTCGCGTGTTATTTCGACCCAAACTGTGGTCTTTTTTTTGCACACCCTGTACAACCTTGAGATGGTCCATACTTTAGCATTCAAGGTTAGGGTACGTGTTACAGGTCGGGCGAAACGGATCAAGTCGCCGTGCTATTTTCGAAGCGTGTTTTGAACTTTTAGGATACCTGCTGAGCATGACCCCACGTATGTTATTTCTCGAGTCGCCTATGCTGCTCAAGGCCTGCAACTTGCCAGACCGTCCGCGCGTCTTGAGTTTCCAAGCACACCCGAAATAAAATTGAGCCCAAACTTTGCCTCCGCCAACATCATCGATCATCTGGCACGACAATTATGCTGCCATGGAACGGTACAGCCATAAACCATGGTCAGCGGCTGTGGGCTGCCCAGCGTCAGAACCTAAACACGTCGTTGTAGCCCGAGTTTCAAACGTAGTGATACGGCATTAAATTAATATTTGATATCCTGATTCTGAATCTTAATTGTTTAAAATAAGGTTACACTCCTTTTTATAAACCTTTAAGAATAGCCTGGGAAGTGACACGGTATCAGATGAGGCCCTACCTCGGCTATTCGAATGTTCTCTCGTCTGTCCCGACTCGCCCTCGACCTGGACCACCCAGTCGACATAGATGCACCAATTGGCCATTGACATTATCGCTTCTGGCCTCTGGCTATGATCAATTGTTTAGTAAATGTTCTTATCGGCTTAATCTCCGATACGTATACTAATTGTATACCAAGAGATTAACATATTTTTGGAAATGGTTCGGTTAGCAGAAGCTTGCTTCTCGCCCAACAGCGTCGTCCCGGTCATTGCACTTACTGGCGGGAACGGCGCACACCTCGGAATGGGGTGAACAATTTAAAAACGTTTTGAAACCTGTAAGGCACAGATCGTACGTCTAGAGGTGCAGAACGTAGTGTCAGGGTAGAAGATGCATTTTTAGCTTCGAATCCAATGAATGAAACGTATGTTTTGAGGATAATTCTGTAGGTCTCGTATGATTTTATGAAAATACGAGTTTTGTTAGTGCGGTACGGCATTATCTTGTACATTTCTAGGCCAAAATCCAAAATCCTGGGAGAGAGAGGGAGCGATAGATAGAGAGAGTGAGCGTGAGAGAGCGGGAAGAGTTCGAGAGAGGGTGCGAGGGAGAGGGAGAGAGGGGGGGGGAGAAATTGAAGGAGAGAGAGGGGAGGGAGACAGAGAGAGCAAGAGAGCGAGGAATACTTGCGTTTATAGGTGTAAAACGTACTTTTTGTATAAAAAAGGCGTGAAGTGTAATATATTATACTTTTATTACAACCATGAGTGTAATTAGTCAGTACTGTACAGTAGAAAGAATCATAATACCGAATCGCATGTGATCACAATTATCGTTATTGGTTTGCTGAAAGGCGGGACGAGATGGGGGGCTAAAAGTTGCCCCCAACACGCTGATAAAAATCATAAAATCGGGCGAATACTCGTAGTTTGGAATGGACCGGAAATGTGGCTTCGGGAAATTGATTTTAAAATGGAAAATCCATTTTTGAAAAAAATAGAAAAATGGCCCGGCAGGAGAAGCATGAGAATCGAGGAGGTTTATTTATATGATGGCGGGTTGAGCTGGGGGAGAAAAATACAAGAAAAAGAAAAAGAGAAACTCGTTGTTCGCTTTAAAAAAAGTGAAATTAGCATACAAGTATATTATAAAAAGGATTAAATTTCAAATAAAAACTAATTTAAAGAATTTAATAGGAAGATTTCGAGTTTTAGAAAATTTTGAATAGACTTAAATGCTGTTTAAAAGCTTCAATCTTAGGATTTAGAAGCTACAATTGTTACAAAAAATTGTAGAAATTATAGAGATGGTCGAAATTACGATTGGACTGTACGAATTACAGCTTTCCAAGCTGACCACTGTCAATAGTAGCTACTCGTCGTCGTCGGCGTGTTCAAGTAGGCTGTCTCGATCGCGGTGATGATCTTCGGCGGCCATCTTCCGGTACTGGAACAGCTGCATAATGGCCAGGAAGTCCAAGAAGCCCCAGCCGACGGCACCGGCGATCCACGGAAGATGTCTGGAAAGGGATTTTAAGGCCTGACTCCCGATATCGTCAAAAATCCGCTGAGGACCCTTTGTCAACGTTTTCAAGCTGTTCAGATAAGTCAGCTGGAATGGTTGAAATGGTTGATTTAATATCTGGCTCTTTTATGCAACTAAGCCGCTTAAAAATTCCCGCTGAACTCCTCGAACTTGTGGAACTTTCCAAACGATCCTTGCGGCGTTCTTAAGCCATGGAACTATCTTTAAAAGTTAAACCGCTATGCCCAGCGACCTCAAGCGTTCAAACAGCAACACTGAACAACCCGAAGTTGTGAAAATTTCTCGAAAAATTCCTGAATCCTGAATCTACTCGTAAGAATCACGACAGCCACCGACTTCAAAAAGTTCAAAACGTTCATCTGAACAGCTTGAGGTCGTTGTAATATCACAAAACATTTTAGACACAGTTCGACTTACTCACCTCCAAAAATAGTGCCACCCGGTGCAGGCCAGCATCACCGAAAGGCCGTAGGTGAAGTTGGCGGCGACGGTGATGTAGAACATCGCCGGGGACAAGCCGTCGCAACTTTTTCTGTAAGTACTCGCGTTTGTTTCACGGGTTTCGATTCGACCTACCGTTTGTAGTTGTAGATGAGCTGCGGGATGCGGCCGACGCAGTAGATGACCGAAGCCACGCAGCCGATGATGTAGCCCGCCTGAAATAAGTCGATTTTGTGGTATCGTAAAGCAAAAATTTTCTCTTTCTCTCTCGAATTTTCTCTCAAAAATATACATAGTTTTACTAGCTATAGTATAATATAGCGTTTTATTCATTTCTAAAGTTTTATACCCCAAAAACCTCCAGTTTTATTAGATTCTACAGTATTCAGTAGGTTAACCACCTACCAAATCTGTATAGCTCTCAAAAATCGGCCACCAGTCCGGGGCCCCAAGCCGTCGTTCCGATACCGCGGAAATGGTGGCAGTAGTTGCCTCGAGGACTCGCGAGACGGATCGCTGAAAGTTTGAATTCATTTCATTATTACCATTTTAAACCTAAAACGTTTTTACTAGATTTTTCAGCCTTTTTTTGGTTTTTGAAATGGCCTAAAAATTAATTTTGACAAGATTTAAGGAGATTTTGGACCAGTAGCTGTTTAAAAAATCACTTTTCCAGCAGATTTTCATGCTACAATAGTTCTTAAAAAAAAGGAAGTGGGTCCAAAATCTGTTATAAGCTTCTCTCGCTCTCTCTCTCTCTCTCTCTCTCTCTCTCTCTCTCTCAAAAGCTAAAACCAACCTCCTGCCTGAAGACCGAAGATTCCTGCCTCGCCAGCGTCGTCCCCAGCAAGCAGTACGAGCCAATTGAAGCGATGGCTATGCAAGAAAGCGTTGCTGTCGATCCTGAAACTGCTGGAATTTGGTTTGGAGCTTGACTTTGAGCTGAGCTTGAGGTTTTGAGCATGGCTAAAAACTACTAATTAAATAGTATAAGGAAAGATATACCCTCAAAATTACCAACTTCTCCTCGACGGGCCCAACTTCTGGTAGATGCGCGTGTAGTAGGTGTACTGCGTGGCGACGAGGATGTCCTAAAATGTTGAAAATTTTGTTGTATTTTTATTAGCTAGTGGTTAAGGTATTTAAACAAATTCTAGGTAGAAAATGAAGCCATCCGCATACCTGGACGACATAGATGAAGCCGGTGATTTGCTGAATCGATTGCTGGTCAGTGAGGACGGCCCCGACGGCGTTGCACGTATCACCGATTATCCTGCAGAATAAAAGTATAATAAGTAATACAAAGTAAATTACTAAAATTAGCATTAAAACCATAAAAAAACTTTTTTTTAAAACATACTAAAACCTCAGAAAAACCAATTATTCTACGAAATTGCGAGATCTAGCGAGGAGTTCAAGACGTTCAGATTCGTGCCAACCCTAAATTAATGCTAAAAACTAAAAATACGACAAAAGTTATCGTAAAACGTTTTAAAATTAAATAATTATAGGCCTTGATAAGATTTCCCGAGAAGTTCAAGGCGTTGAGATATGCATAAAAATGAGCATAAACTGACCATGACAGCAAGAAAGCCAGCGTCAACCCCTCGCACGATTTGTTCTTGTAGTTTTGCAGGAATTGCGGGACCATTGGTAGCATCCAGAGTACGAGCGACACCAGCCCGACGGCAAAGCCGACCAGCTTGATCTCGTTGTCCACGCAGTCGCCAAAGTACTGAAATATTTTACTTTAATCTTTCATCCTCATTAAAATGATTTTAGACTTATTTTAAATTTAAGTTTGTTTTAAAACGGTTTTAAACTTGATTAAAAATCATTTTAACATTTTAAAACTTGGAAAATTCGCCAAAACTTACATTGTGTATCCATTGTATGCCGTGCGTGCAGTTGATGTCCTCTTTGGCTGTGAGGGCGCCAAAATCGCGCATCGGGATGCCTGACATTGTGCGTTGTAAGGAAAATCAGATTGTTAATAATAACTAATGGAAAATACCGACGAGTTTGATAAGGCAGATGGTCAAAATCGGTCAAAAGTGGTTGTAAAATTGCCCGATGGAAGCAAAAGATATACGCTTTCAACCACTTTTGATACGATAACTGGAGGCATTAAAGATAATTAGAACTCTAGTATTTCGTAAATTGGTTCTGATTCATTAGCGGGGGGGGGGGGGGGGGTAGAATTTTGTCAAGAGGAACTAACCCATTTTTCGCCGTGACAGTTCAATTTTCCAATTTTTTCATGCATTTCCACCAAAAATAACACATTTTCGAAAGTTTTAACAATTTCGATTATTTTTTCTATCTAAAAAGGTATGAAATGGTATTAAAATTGTTTCTATGGATTATTTGGCATGTACTATATGAAAACGAAGAAAAAAATGTAGTTCCCTGTCAACCCTCCCCCCACACTAACGAACTAGAACCGGAAAATTGTAAAAAACCGTTCCATTGTACTTCAGAATTAAAAAAAAAAGAAAAATTGAGTCGTTATTGAGCTTCCACTCGATTTTAGTTACTTCCTAAAGACAGCAGAAGCCGGAACTCGGACATTACTAGCACAAAGACAACAGCACCTCCCAAATTACTAGCACATATTAAACCCTACTAAAACATAATAAAGAGCACTAAAACCCCCGGAAAGAAGCGGAAACCGGGTTCGGTCGTTGCGCTGGCCGGGGTCGCAGCAGCCGCAAAAAAATTACACGGCGATCCGCAGAACGGGGAAGCCGTCTGGGCAAACAAAGCCACGCCGAGGAGCTGAAGCCGGTCATTGGCCTGGCATCGTGAATGGGGGCGAGAAAAAGAAGGAATTCTAGCGTCTAATAACATTTTCCAGATAATGGCAATAAAAAGAAAGGTCTGGAAAGTAGTATATAAATCGATAAATCCATTTTCCAAAATGTTTCCCTATTTACTGGCACAAAAATGGCTCAAATAAAACGATTGTGTGGTTTTGCGGCGTGCAAAAGGAGTAATTATGGTTGATACTTTCATTTTTTAGGTATTGGCATTAAAAAGAAGGTCTGGAATGTCATTTTCAGCAAAAAAAAATCGATTTTATTGGCTCAAAAATCGGCTCTATCCAGCCATAACGCATTACAGATCAGGGAGTGGCTTTTCGGAGCCACGTTCTTTGAAAAGCGCCCCCGATTCTCCCATGCCAACAACAATAATCGATTCGCATACATTTCGCATGCGAGAATCACCACCCGATCGGCAGCAGCCGATCGTCTATTGTGGCGGCGAGCCGGGCGGGGCGGCGTCATAAATATGGGAAAACAGACGATCAGAAATTGTTGGCGTGTTGTCCATCGGAAAGCCAATATATTGAGAATCATAAATAGCACGAAGCTTTCGTTTTAAAATAACGAAATAACAATGCGCTGTTCCAGAAAAATATAGAAGAAAACAGCGAAGCGAGATGTTTTATAATTTAAGAGCAGCCTGAGTTAATATTTAATGAATCAACCCAAATTATCCAAATCTAATTCAAAAAATTGTTAGATAAACTTTGCGGAGTTAATTATATTTCATATCTAATCTTTCCAAAGTTTACCTAAAAACGCCGCCCCTTTTGTTTGTAAGTTTATGGCTCAAAACAGGCAGGAAAACAGAACAAAATAGGTTATTTAATTGGCAAAACGCCAGCACTGGCAAAAAGCTCTTGAAAATTTAAGTTGTGCAAAAAATTTCCCATAGAAAACATCATTTCAAGGGCCAAAGCCAGAACCCATATCAAACTAAAATAACTTTTTCTTAAACATAGAAACCAGACAAAAACTTTTGAATCAAAGAATTTGGTAATTGGAAACTAATCGGAAAAACGCCAGAAAAGAAGGTTTCAAAACAATTTCAAAATCTAAAGAAGCTTCTCAAGCTAAATATGCCCAAAAAACCTTTTAAAATAATAAATATACGTTGAAAAAAAGAAACCCAAAGAAGACTTATGGATCAAAGAACAACATTGTTGCGAATCAGCCCTTCCCGGGTTTATTCTGGGAATATCTAAAGGCTCAGCTGACGCGATGGGCAACAAATCGATACCGCCTTCCCTTGCTGAGGGGGGGTCCACTCTGTTTCTCTCGCTCTCTTTCCGCTCTCTTTCTCTCGCTTCTCTCTTCTCTCTTGTCTCTCTTCCGGCTGTCCTTTCCGGGGCGCGTGGATGTGGGGAAAGATCGCGGTTGTTGACGGAGGAAAAACGGCTTCGCGGTTTCTAATTTTCACAGAATTAAAGGGATCCTGAAGCAAAAAAAAATCGGCCATAATTAGACTTTTGAGGCATCAAGAAATCTGGCTGGTTTTAGCTGTTTTTGGCGGGTTTCTAACTCAACAAAACGCCGAAAGCATGGTATCTTTGCTGTAAAACGTAATAAAAAGTTATAACTTCAGCGAGTCAATATCGATCCAAATAATTTATTAATTCAACGAGTATAACTTATTATTACCCGCAAACGAGCGCAATACATTGACAAAGTATCACAAAATACACATACACGTATCATTTTTAGAGAATCGTACTGATAAATCGGCGCTTCACCTCGGTGGTCGATTTGCGGCCGCCCGTTTTTTGGACCTAAACGGAAGCGATAAAATGAACTATCAAAATGCTGGCTTGCCTCTTCCAGCGCCCGCTTGACAATCCGGATATTTCCCTCTTCGGTCAGTCGATAGGAGTAGGCCTGAAAATCCTTTATTGGAAAAAATTTGTTGATTTTACCGCTTTCAAGTCATCTCCGAATTTCCTGTCAATCGTCACGAGGAACTCGACGATGAGGTGTTGCATCAGGATTCGAGTGGACTCGCCGGTGAGGAGTTTGTCCCAAAACCTGAAAATGTATTTTTGAAACGCTTTCCACGGACAGGAAAATCCAATTATTTGTTATGGATATAAATCCGCATAATTTAAGAAAAGTCTAAGTACATTTGTGATAAAACTATTTAAAAACATGGAAAACACCTCAATTTTGTAATTTTGGTAAAAAAATCAGTCAGTTTCGAGCGAAAAATCTATATTCTTAGTCCTTTTAACCTAAACCAGGGTTGAAAAGCCGCTTCGCGACTTTTCAACCCTGGCCCCGTCTGGCCCCATTTGATCCTAAACGTTTGCATAATTACCCTGCATTTTGATGACAGAAATGAAAACAACCTCTTCTGACCGTTTATATAGTCGAATCCCCACTTCCGGTCTATGCTAATTTTTTCTAACAAAGAAGTTTTCACAAAAACTTAAATTTAATGTAGAAAATAGGTGATTTTGTAAAATTTTATATGTGTGCAGTCATCTCCAGACCAATGCGCACCTAATGACGTATCATACGTGCCTTAAAATCCCTCCCCTATCGAGATATCCTCCGGACAGACAGACGGAAGTGGATGCAAAGTGGCACACACACACACAAACACTATTTTTTTATATATATAGTAGGAAGTAGGATTTTTAGATTTTTACGTGCAGGGATAGCATGAATGCGTAAAAACTGTCTTTTTTTATTCGAAAGCTGGAATAATAACGAAAAATTTCGTTCCCTTTAGAATTAGCTTTTGTCTAACTTTAATCCGTTTGGACCGAATTTTTGAAAAGCCAAAACATACCATTGTAACGCCCTCGGTGTTGAGATCAGCCCGGCGCCGCCACCAAGTAACCAATGTCGAATCGGAAACCCGCCAAAAATCTTGCGCTCGACCAGCGCTGCGTTGAGAGCGATTTGTCGGGTGAGCTTGTTGTGGATCTGAAAAGACACGAATTTATCTCTCTCTCTCTCTTCCTCTCTCTCTCACTCTATCTATCACTCTCTCTATCCTTCTCTCTATCCTTCTCTCTCTCTCTCTCTCTCTCTCTCTCTCTCTCTCGTTTTCTCTCACTCTCAAAAATCAAGCCTATACCTCAAGAATCGTATTCATCACGGCTTCATCATTCGGATAAGTCTTTCGCATCAGCTCAATCACTCCTCGGGATAGATGAAAAGCATCGCGCCAATTCTTCTGCTCACAAACAAACAGGACATGATCGGTTACCTAAAAAAGTGTTTATTTAAGGCCCAAAATCCATACCTGATAGTAATAAGGGTGATATAACTTGATCAGCGATCTCTCGCTAATATTCCCTTCCGCTAATAAAAGCATCATCGCCAGATCCACAGAAGATGGCGCTTCTTCTGACGACTTAAAATTCACGCCGGTGGGTAGATCATCAGGGAAGAAATTTGGCTTCTTTCCCCAGGGCCGCACAAATTGAGAGGAGCTCTGCAGCATTCCGGTGTGTCGTAAGCAGTCGAAGATTGCTTGGGCCTAAAAAACGTTAATAAACGTTAATATAAAAAGAATATAACGCTAGCGTGATATTTAAATATAAACAACAGCTATTCAAGGTTTCTAATAAACTAGATCTGAAAATAATAAAGGCTGTCCAACCCCAAATATAAACGGTAACTAATCAAAGCCATTAATCTACCTCTTCTTCACGACATTTTTTCATATCCTCATCGTTCACTCGGTAATGCGGCACGACGTTGAGCAGAATCATCCAGATTTCGCGTCTGAAGTGCTTATTTAAAATTAATTTGTAAATTTCATCAATTATATATCAATGATTTGCAAAAATCATAGTTTTAATAAATATAAAATGACCAACCGATGACTAGTCGGTATCTTGAAGCGCCACGTGAATTCGCGAATCTTGGCCATGTCGAAGTCTTTACCCGGGTCCAAGAGCTGTAAAAAAATTAACGTTTTGAATTTCTAAAAATGGAAACCTTGCTCAAGTCGCTCAGGTTGGCCTCTTGCTCCTGGCCGACGAGCTTGGAGATGTATTGTTGGCGAAAGTTCGCCATCCTGCATCTGTAAATTTTGTAAATCATCGAGAATTCGCGTCGTTTAATTTTAAATACCATAAATTTGATCTAATAAAAACGATAACACTATAAAAATCGTCAAACTTGAACGTGAAGTATTCAAGATGCGTCAAAAACACAATTTCTGCATCTTTTACGCCCCAGGGAAAAAATACATTTTCCAAAACTCTGAATGTTTGAAATACTTTGTCGTCGTCATAACGTGTGTATTTAAATTTTAAAATACGCCACTTGTTATAATTTTTTATTTACACTCATAAAACGGGGGGCATTTAGCGACACAATCTCGGGGTAGGGGAATAAATGAACGTGGAGACGACTGCATGTTGAACGCGCAGAGCAGAGCAGAACGGAGTGGTGACATGCTGCTAAAGACAAGAAGCCGATGACTTGAGAGTTGTTGGGCGCGACAAGTCGACTTGGTCAAGGCTAGGCTATCGGCAAAATCGTAGAATTCCAAATTTTTCGCTAGAAATTGTCTTAAAAATGCGGTTTTCATTACAAAACCGAAAATCAGTGTAAACTTTAGAATTCAACGATGAAGCCGTAAAACCTAAACTTTCCCGCCGACCTGACGGCGCCCATTTTGGAGAGAATAGAAAGAGTGGGTGCTGGCGGGGTGGGTGCGGATAAAAGCAACAGTGTGTGTGGTGGGTGTGTGTATGTGATCGAGTCTAACTCGACTATGTACAGGTGCAAGCCGGTGGTAGATGACCATCGAGAAGTCGCTGTTTTCGGGGGTTTTCACCCAATTTCGACCTTTTAAGCGAAACGCTGCGCGTAGAAAGCGTGAAAACGTCTCGGACACGCTGCGGTAACCCGGGATTTTTTTAGAGACGCAGAGAAAAGCGGAGAAAAACAGCAAAATCCCGCTAGCTTCACAGACTCGCGCACAGGCTTTGGAGACTTTACAGGGATCCCGAAAAATGAGCAGCACCCTCTAGCGGTCCCGAGAAATGTCAGATTTTGATGATTAGGGTATCAATCGAAAGCTCTTGATAAGGGAAGAAAATAGTGCTTCTGGTTTTTTAATATTGTTAAAAATGGCTCTTTTCTTAAATTTCTTAATATTAAACGCTTGTGATAAGAATTCGTACAATTTTGGACCGGAAATCGTCAATTAACAGGTTGATTTTGATTTCTTGTTCATTTACCAAAACGAAAAACGCTAGTTTTCTCGAATTTCCTCAAGCTTTCGCTACATACATCAAAATCCGACAATTCCCCTAGCCGCTGGAGGATGATGCTTTTTAGGGCATCCTGTAAAGTATGGGGGGAATAACACGAAATTGGTCACACCGGGGGCCAAAGGGGGTTGTACAAACCAAAAGAAAAAGTCTAACAGGGGGGCGGGAAATGGGGGGTGAGGTGGGGAAGCCGTATGTTTGATAGCTTGATGCTGAACTCTCTAATTTTGTGTCTTTGATGAAAAACGAAAACGGGGGTGGTAGGGTCTCGCTGAGGATCAAAAATTCCTAGAAGAAAACCAACAAAAAACGCGCACTGCAACACGGGGGGCTGAAAATGACTTGTGAGGGGGGAGGGGAGGGGAGGGAGTGGTACTTGTTGTTTGACTGATATCGAAGAGGCGGAGGCGGAAGTGCTTAGGCGGATCCGCTGCCCGACGGCGCGTCGTGGTCCCGGTGGTCCAGAGATCCGTCGGCGCTACCTAAAGCTAATTGGGATCAAAGAAGAACTAAAAACATAAAATTTTCTCCTTGAAATCCAGAAATTTTTATTTTTTACATTTTCAGTAGCATTTTTGCTAAAATTTCCTAAATTTCGAGTTGGAAATTAGTTAGAAAACGTGGAAAAATGCTCTTTTGCAATATCGGGGGGGCGTTTACTTTTCTTTAAAACTTTTAAAACTTTTCTTACTTTAATTTTTTTGCATAAAATTTAGCTGCTGTTCTGAGGAAAAAAACAGCTAAAAACTTCGTAAATAGCTACATTTTTAACACAATGAAATGGAAAATAGGTGATTTTGTTTCAAAGATCTAAATTTAATAATAGTTTTCATCAAAATTTACGCAGAAAAACGTTAAACATTTAGAAAAAAGTGTAAAATTTAGCATTCGTCAAGAACCGATTTTTTTCGACCTTTTGTAGTTTTTAATAAAAATTTGTAACAGGTTGGGCCTAGGATATCATAAAAAAAGCCGGTAGAAACGCTCGATATTGCAAAACATCCTTTTTCAGATCAAAAAACTAACCCGTAGTTTCGGTGGGGATCGCTCCCTCGCCCTCCTTTTGCTCGGCCTCGCCCTCGTTCTCGCCAAAGTTCAGCCAAGACTAAAAATCGTGATTTTCACAAAAATTTCGGTATTTTTACCTGTTCAACAATTTGTTGGACCCGTTTCTCGTACTCCCGCCGGTTCTCCTGGTACAACTGCGCGGCGTGCGAGTTTGCCGGCGAGTTGGGGTTGGGCTCGTCGAGTAATGATTGGATGGAGGTCAATATCGCGGCGACGTCGTACGTGGGAGACCATCGATTCTGAAAAAAAATAGATTTAAAATCGGCTCAAATCCAGTTGAAACAAAATCCAACGATTGTTCGTCGCCGCCAGTGTGAAAATACTGACACGTTCTTGCCAAAATACGGGAAAATCATTTTTAGGAAAAAAGTTTCTGGTTCATTACCGGGGGGAGGGAATTTTAAAGGACTCAATCTGTCTGTAACTAAAAAGAAACCTTTGAATCGAACAATGGGCCGTTTTTAGATAGGTTTAGAAAAAAAAAAATTTTTGTTCTTAAAAAATATAAAAAATTACTTAAAATTTTTGTCTTTTTGATAAAATTTAAAATTTTTCATAGCATTTTAGTAATTCAAACGACTGTTTTTCGCTCATCGCTTTTTAAGAGCCAGAACCGAAAAAAAACAAGCCCAAAAATCCGCCCCAACACTCACTTGCAAAATGTCGAGGCAAATCGACCCGTCCGTGTAGACGTTCGGGTGGAACATTTTGGAGATGAACTTGACCGTCGGGGGCTTGTTCGGGTATTCCTCGGTGAACTCCAGGGAAAGCTTGAACGTGCCGTCCTGAAAATAGCGATTACAAAAGCCCGGAAAATGATAATCTACCTCGAAGGGTGTGTCCTGGGGCCCGAAAATTATCGCTTCCCACGTCAAAATATTATTTTCCGTCGGGGCGCCGGAAACGCCGGCTGGGGGGTCCTCCTGAAAATAAATAAGTTATAAAACATTAATAAAAAGGGCACTCGCTATGAAATTTTTCAGTTATAAAGACGTAATAATTTAAAAAGCGTTTTACACGTTTTGACAATCAGTTTTTCGCGTTGTCCACAAAAATGTAGTAAAAATCGATTCCGTAAGTAAATTAAAATTACTCTGACATACCTGCAATTTCTTAAAATCCCTCATCAGGCGGCGTCTGGACGGCGTGGTCATGATTGGTCGCTAGTGATAGACGAGCCGAAAAAACGAGGATGAAAGCGCACAGTGGCAGTGACACTGGAAAATCTACCTTAATACACATTACACTCTCAAAAAAATTTAAAACAAGTTTAAACAAATGATAAAGATACAATTCATAAAATACAGTGCAGATATCAACACCGCATTTGAGCGGGTAGAGAAAGTCCACGAGCAAAATACGAACAAAAAAAATTTATCAACATCAAAAATTCACAACGCGAAAACAAAAACAACTCGATTCAAGGGTTCTTCTTAGGATTGATCTTTGACACCTCCTTTCTGACTCATCTAAAAAAGAGTAAATAAAACAAAAATCAATTTTGACCTTCTCAAAACGCTCCAGTACTCGCTCGGCTCTATCGAGCAGCTCGCCCATCCGGTTTTGGTTTTCTAGCGATTTCTGGAACCACAAAAAAGATTACGTTTTATAAAAATTGTAACCTGTAAAATTTTTCTTCTTAATTCCCCTTCCTCCGGTCCATTTTCAGCCGAAAAATCAGGTGTAGTCAAACGCTCGACATCAACTAAAAAAATCTGATGAGAAATGTCTAAACAGCAGAATTTCGGACCGGAAAAAAGAGCAAAACCCACCAGCATTATCAAGCCGCCGCTTCTTGATTGGGGTCGCGGAAGTGGTGGCAGGCTTTTCGTTGGCGGCCGCACTTTCCTGCTGCTTCCACGAATAGACGATGACAGCCAGATGGGAGTTGCATCTGCAAAAATCCTGGATTATTTTGAAAACTTGTAAAATTTTACTCTCAGCTCCATCGCAGATTGAAAAACGGCGTATACGACGTATATAAAATTCAGGATGAGATATTGAACCGAGCAAAAGAATCCCAAAGAAAAATCTAAGGTACCAAATCGAACGAAAAAAATAACAATTTATCTTATTTGATACCTTCAGGGACGTAGCGTAATACCGGCCCCGGGGGCCCGGGGCCACCCCCGAAATCGGCCGGGGCCCGAAAATTTCATAAGGGGGGACCCTTATGATCTTTATTTTCTCAAAAATTTTGCGGCCTGCGGCTATTTTTTCACGTTTTTACGGCTATTTGTAGAGATATGTAACCTTTTTTTCAAAAATTTTTGCCTGCGGCGCTGTTTTCTCTTTAATGCTTTGAGGTTTTTGGAAAAATTTTTTGGGCCCCCCCCCCCCGAAATTTTTTTCCTGGCTACGCCCCTGGATACCTTATTTCAGTTTTTGATGTCTAATATCAGCTTTTTCACCCTTTTTGAAACCTTTTAAATATTTTATTCTTTACAAAATTTTTGATATCTTTGAGATATTTTCTCAGCTTTCCTAAGTCGCGAAAATAAAAAACGCACTTCTCGTCGTGTTCAGGTCCCGTGCAAGTGTAGATTTTCCGGACGAATCCCTTCAGCCCCGCTTCCTCGCTGTCGTAGCGCTTGCAGAAGATCTGAAAAATTGGCGTAAAGAGCGCATCCCGGCACCGTATACAAAAAATAAATTGCATTCCGGGAATTTCCGGTGGTTTGGGGGATAATTGCCCTTTGGCGAAAAAAACAACGCGAAACCGTGCGTGGGGCGTCAAATCTGCCTAGCAACCACGGCCTAGAGGGGATAATTGTAGCCGGCTTATTGGGGGATTTCAGATGGAAAGTATAAGCGACAATAAGTAGAGAAAATGAGGGAAGGGGATGTGCGTCAAAAATAAAAAAAATAGGGCGTTCCAACTAATTTGAGGCCTCGGTAAATTACAGGCATGAATTTCATGCCATGAAATACTTGAAATAATACGAAGTACGTAACTTTCCGGTGATCGGTCATTCTTTAAAATTTTATAAAGATATCAATGGTGAATTCGGAGGTCTTGAAGCAATCAATTTCGCTGAAAAAGAAAAAAACTTTCCGGATACTTCAGAGACAGTCAGAAAAAGATAAAAACGGTAACTTTATCACTCTAAAAGTTGCTCAAGCCGCAAAAACTCTCTAAATAAAGAAAAATTCTTTTAGTTGTTCCGCATTCCGAAAAAAAACACGAAAAATGGCAGATTTAGTCGCCTCAAAAGTATCTAAATGATCAAATCTCCTTAAAAAAGCAATTTTTGAAGCGTGCTGGAAAAGCGAGTGGCCTAAAAACACCGAAATTTACGGTGTTTTAACCTAAAAACGATACATTTTAAAGCGATAAAAGAAATCTTCAGAAGCGTTAATCCTACAGCTATTAAACCTTCAACGTCTGCAAATTCAGATACTCTAAAAGGAGACGAATAAAATCAGGGCTTCTAAAATGCCCTTTTCATTCCTTGGAAGCTTTAGCCATTTCAGCGTCGGATTCGCCGCCAACTTGCAACGAAAATGTTCTCGGGATGTCCAGAATCCACAAAGCAGCGAAATTGCCATCAGAAAAGTAACGTCAAACGATTCTAGAACCCGAAATTTCCGGAAAATAGCGCAAAAAAATGGCAGATTGCCAGATGCAGGGCCATCCAGCCACGAGAAATAATCCCAAAATCCCGAAAAACCCCCCTAAACCAGGGACCGTCATATCCACCGGATATTGTCCAGCCAGCAAGAGACAGCTAGTCTCATAGTCCAGCCATGAGGGCACACACTCAATCGATACCGCGGCCAATCGGCCCCCAATCCTCGTTGCCTCGGCTCGGCCCAGGTGAAAGCGACGAAATGATGGTGGAATGGATTGGAAAAAAGTAGGAAAGGGGGGAGGAAGGAGTAGTAGAGGAAAGGTAGGAAAGTCTTCAAGGGTCGCACAAATATTTCCCCTTACCCGCCACACACAGCCACACCCGCGGCCAGGCCAACAGTCTCGCGCCGCGCCGCGCCGTCCCAGGCCAAGGTAAGTCAACACAACATTTCGTTGCGGTGATGACGGGGCATTACTTGACTCGCAAGGTTGGCAGCTTTTGATGGTCTACAGCGTTCTATAGCGTTTTATAGCGGTTTCAGTGTGCGAAGGGTTTGGCCGTGGGGCGGCCGGCGCTGGTCCCAAAAATGGCCCTAGGCGCTGGGCTGGTACCAAAACGCGTTAATTTTTTAACCATTTTAGAGAGCTATTAAGAGATTTTTCGAAACGTGTTCCAATAGAAGGCGTTTTTTCAAATCTTTTCGTAGGTACGATGATTATTGGTAGCGTATACCCTTCGAGTTATAGCTCTGGTAGCAAACAGCTTTTAGGGGTCCTAAAAAAGTTTTAGGGGTCCTAATGAAAGTTACAGGGGTCCTAAAATCGTTTTGGTACCAGCCCTGGTCCTAGGGTTAGTTAAATCGCGATTTTTCGGCGCCTACGGCGCCATGATGGCAAAAAAATATAGTGTTATCGATATATGTTATCTGCGAGGTAAGGAGTTCTCAATAACTATTTCTAAAAAATTCCACCATTTAAATCATAGTAACGATACGACACCACGAAAAATCATGCACGAAAATTTCGGCAGAAGTCGGCAAAGGAGTAAAGTATGATCGGTCATGGTGGGTATGGATGTGACAACGCTCGTTACGGGTGAACGGCTTGGACCAAGCTGGCAATTAGATGAGCATTACACATTTCCCCGATCAAGGTTTGGGTAAAATTTGGTCAAGATCGGCCAGTGGAATGCGGAGAAATAATTTTTTATCGGCCCCCCATCCCGGTGCACGCTGGTGAATCCCTTGAAAATGCTCTAACTACCCCGTCCTTGGCGCTAGCGGTTTGAAATTTGTTGTCAGGCTAGGTCTAGGGTCTGCCCAAATACTGCCAAAAAAGCAAAAGCATGCTTCCAGTTTAAAACCCTTTTTCCGGACCAGCGCCGCTTCACCTCCGGAATCAGCTCATTTGGCCGCGCCCCCACTTCTGGTCCCCGTTGGTCCCCGAAAGGGCAATCAATCACCACCAAACTTGCTTGCCGAATAGCCTCTGGTACTGGCTATCATCTGACAAAACCATTTTAGCCCATACTTGCTTCCGCCTGTAGCTATCGACCAGCGACTGGTCGCCTTAATTGGCCGTGGGATCGGTAGATGTTCCGTTTTTTCCTTTTTGCGCCCTCCGTCTCAATTTTCCCACTTAGAACTTCTAGTCGGCTGAAAGCCCGGTGTTTCCTCTTTCTAACTACGTATCAACCGTTCTGATCCATTACGTTATCGCTGAGTTATGGACCGGCGCTTAATTGGACGCGGCGGTTTTTGCCGTTTTATATGGGAAAAATCCATTCAATTGCATGCTACCCTCTACTCCACTGGCCGATCCATCCCAATTTTTTCCCTAAACGAGTTCCCAGTTTTCTCTTCCCCTCATCCAAGTTTCAGCTTCATCCGACTTTTTTGAAGGGCTTTTTCGGGACCAGCGCCTTCACTTCTGGGGCCGTCGTGACATTGCAAATTTTTTTCCTGTGTCGATTTCTGCCCAAATTTTCATGCGCAATTTTTCGTACTGTAAAAGAAAGAAGAAAGAACTGTAAGCAGCGCAACAACATTAAATTACAGAAAATCCAGGAAGCCGACATTTATTTTCGCTATTTTTTTGGATATTGACCCAAAAAGCCACAAAAATTCTTGCCGCTAACGCGGCGCTGGTCCATTTGGCCATCTGAAAATTCTTTCGCACACTGAGCGGTTTCTAGAGCCAGAGCGCTAAAAAAACTGTCGAAACTGATAAAACCCTCCAAAAAACCGCGGATTATTCTTTTTTTTCGATTCCTAAACGTGAAACTTTACAATTTACTAAAAAAGAAAAAATATAGATGCTTCGATTAAAAATTCCGTCTGTCGACCGGAGGGCCAGAGCGTTAAAAACCGTCAGAAACCCGATGAAACGGCTTCAACTCCAAAAAAGGCGGAGCATTACTGTTTTTTTTTTAGTTTCCTAACGGTAGAAAGAACCAGATTTTTTGCTGGTTTGCGGATTTTCAGGAAACGAAACAGCAGCAAAAAAAGTGAAATCGCTGGAAAAAAAACACAAAAACACAGCCCTTTCCATGCAGACACATTCCAATAAAGATTTTGACGGGGGAATGAGCTGATTTTTCCGGGGCGTGTGTCCATAATTCAAATTGATGTGGCTGGGAGCAAGGCAGAAAAGAATTAGCGGGCGTCCGGCCGAAAGGCACACTAACAAAATATACAAGTACAAACTTTACTAGCTACATACGCAGGGAGAGAGAGAGAAAGAGATCCGCTTGGTTTGCTGCATAAATCTATAAAAAATTGAGACGCTTTTGAAGTGGACTAGCCAAAGCCTAAAAAGCATCCCGAAAAAGCTATTTAAGAGGGTCTAGAAAGCAGAATTTTAATATGAGATTCAGCTACGCAACTTTCCTAGTGACACAGAAAATGTAGCAGCTTTGCGTGATGCCTAAAAACTAATAAATGCCGAAAAAACGCTCCAGTCCGGTAAAGAAAACACCTAAAAATCAAAATGCCTTATCAAAGACGCAAATAGTGGTGATCACCCCGGAGAGATCCAAATATTTGAGCGTCATCTCCGAGGGGGTACTTCGTAAACAACCACGACACACACCACCTATCACTATGGTTGCCAGACGCGAGAAAAAGGAGATGCGCGGCGCGTGGACCCGAAATAGCATTCAGCGAGTGAGGGCATAGCATGTATGGATAGATGTATGCGGCTGGCATCCCCGCCCCAAAATGTTTCCGCTCTCGTTCTGGGCGAGGGTGGTCGGGTGGTTGAAAGCTCACCTTCACGTCATATGCACGCGTCTCGGGTCGTGCGCCAGGTTCCACGCGGACGGCCACGTCGTTTTTGAATTGGAAGAATCTGAAAAAGCCTTTTTTAGGTAATTTAGGTTCGGGGAATGCGAAACTTCTAAATTTAGTCTATCGGCGGCGATTGCCTAAACCACGAATTTTGATTAGTCAAACTCTTGAATTCACAATTATTATAACCACATCTTTTCAAAATCCCGAATTTTATAAAGCTGAAGTGTCCGAATTTGTGTTGCACCGAAATTTCCTAACGTTTAAAACCGAATTTCCTGGATGCTGAATTTGCTTAATCGCAAATTGTCAAAAACTGGAATCTTAATAATACCGATCCTTAGCCATACCAAATTTCCAAAGTCTAAATTCCTACAATGTCAGTTTGTTTTCGGTGTGTCATTATAAAAATTCGAGATTACTGCAATGTCTCCAAACTGGAAATTCGGTATTCTGCCCATAAACCATCGTGTCAACTGAAAAATTCTCGGAAATGAGGCAAAAATTACAATCGCTATCGTATCGTCAAGCCAACCTAAATCACCAATTCCCCCGTTCAAAGCGGCACCAAGCCGAAATTAAGTCAATCCCCCCCGAATTGGCGTGTTTATGACAAGGCGGAAGCCTATTCCGCCCCCCCCGATATTTCCATTTCGGTCCAATTGACGGGGTCCCAAATTTACCCCCGCGGGCAGTCGTCGTCAATTCGAAGGCGACCGCCGCATCTTAATTGCCTTTTCGGGTTTTTTGTAGTCTCACAAAAATCGTTTTGCGCGGATGGGAATGAATACCCGAGGGCGGAGAGAACGAGATGGATGCGCCGAACGTCTTGAAGGAGGGGACATTTTTTGTGGGGTCCCATTTTTCACAGAATTCGCCAAGACACCAGAGCACAGGGGTAGGGCACCAAAACTCAGGGGAAGCGATGAAGCTGTCCAAAATTTCCTAGGTGCTTTCTGTTAGCGGGGGAGTAAAGGAAGGTTTTTGAATCGGAAGTAGCTAAATTCAAAAAAATTAAGGTATCTGTAAAGGTTTCCACAACTTTTTTCATTACCGCAACTTCGAAAACCACCACGAAAAATGCTGGTAAGGGCCTAAGAAAGAAAATGTTATCCCCCCGCTAAACGAAAAGCTCCGAAATTCCCTGAATTTCTAGAGCAACACTTCAAAAAAAGCCAAAATAAATTAATTGAAATTTTCAAAAATCTTTTTAAATTCTCTATTTAATTAAAATAAAACTATCTCACCTCGACGTGCCGCTGGGCTTGGTCCATTTCAGCTTATCGCGTGACAGGTACGCGGCCCCGAGCCGGGTCTTGTCGACAATAAAGGTGCCCTGCTGACGGTAATCTGCCGGTGCCGCCGCGCATATCCTATAAAATCCGCTGTTTTAGGGCATCACAGGGTTCACGAGCGCAAAACCAGAAATAGCGGATTTCAACTTCCGCTGTTGAAAATCGGGAAAGTCTTAAAAATGGATCAGCAGTTGGCCTTAAAAATAAAAATGCCCTTTTCGCACGCAAACAACGCACCGAAATGCACCCAAATTAATGATAAGAGCCGGGGGAAATAATAAAAAGTACTTTTGACAAGGAGGAAGGCCGTGGAACCGAGCAAATATTTAGTATAAGGTGAATAAAACTCGAGGCAATCTGAAACTGAAAAATACCTTAAAGTCCGGCGGTAATAAAATCAAACAAAGAAAGCTACGTTTCTTTATTTTCAATTTTGGCAAGAAGAGGCCCGCGGCAAGCCGTAGGCATTTAGGATAAGACTGAAAATTTGGAAATTAGCCTATGTTGAGAAAATGGCGTACAAAAACCCATGTTTCGTCTTTTACAATAGTTTTAAAATATTTAACTCTAGATTGAGAATCGCCAGATTAAATTTTTAATTTTACATCATTAAATTATTATAAATAAATTAACGCCTTAGAGCCTCTAAAAAATGTTATAACGGCGAGAACTAATTTCGTAAACACCAGAAAAAAATCGATCAAAAAATTTCGAGAATACCCTTGAGAACAGCTTTAATACAAACAAAAAATTAAGAGTTGTTTTAACGTGTGCGGATATATTAAAACGCTATAACATCAAATCCTAATTTCGTAATGGGTAAGGCACCGCGCAGGACGATACGAAACGCCAAGGCCGAGGTCACGAGTGATGCCAATCAATGCCAAAATTCGGAAAACCCCTAGAAAAGTCTAGAAAATAAAGACCAGAATCCCCGGAACGAGTCTTATGGCGCTATGGCGATCCCCGTGGAGCGTTCGGAGTTCCCCATGGCTAGCTCGGAAGGTCGAAGCCATCCCGAAAAACACCGAGGACACATGACAAAAACGCGAAGAAGGCGTGTGGCCGTCCGACCGGGCTGGATGTGTTGGTGGTGGCCGCGGATCCGCGGCGAAGATATCGGAGGCGACGAGGGATCGCGGAAAAAGCGGAGGTACACGACCGGAAGGGGCGGAAAGGGCGGAGAGTTATGGATAGAAAGAAGTCGAGAAAAGGATTGCAGAGACCGCCCTAGCCATGCACTCGGCCAGCCGCCCTCCCCGCGATCGATGGGACGGCGCGGGAGGGGAGGGGAGAGAGGGACAGAGAGAGATAGAGAGAGAGAGAGAGAGAGACCCTGAGTGAAAAATAGCGACGGAAACGGATGGCGACACACCAGCGAGAAGGGCCCAAAGACTCCCGAAAGGATGGCCCACCGCCAAACAGGCATTAACTGGCGCGGGGTCCACGGCGATGACGAGGGGGTTCTAGTTTCTTAGTGGGGGGGGGGTTCGCAGGGGGAAACTAAATTTCTTATTTTTCATGTTGCTGGAGGTGCCAAAATAATGGTATAATGTAAATACAAAGCATATTTTAGAAGAATTTTAGGGATTTTTAGATCTCAAAGTCTACGAAAAATGTTAAATTTTTCGAATGACGATGGGTTCTGGTGTATTAGTGGGGGGAAGGGGGTTAGAAGGGGCTCCAATTTCCCCTTAGATTACCGTAGCTGTTTTGTAATAGTTTAATATACGAGTTTATATAATATTTAAGCTAGTTTCTCAAAGTTTTAAGCCTGTAAAACACGTCAAAACTCGATAATAATTTTCGAAATTTCGACGTTTTGATCAAAAATATATAAATTTTTGATTCTTTAAAATTGTTTTGCGAATTTTTAGCAAAGTGAAACTACAGAAAACACGTTAAAGCCGGCCCGGTTTTATTCAAATCGAATTTACCTCCTTTCGAAAAAGCTAGCCACTCCCCCGCTAATGAACAAGAACCGGGCCAGAGACTCTGAAAGATGGCCCCGCGCCAAGTAGATTAACTGGGCCCTCGCGATGACGCCGAAGACGAGGCGTGTTTATGGCATTAGAACGGGGTGCCCACCCCCCGAGGGCTCCCAGTGAAGAGGATCGGGTTTCTCGGGGAATGAATTTTGAAGATGGTGCTGGCATGAATTTATATGCAGAAGGAGGATCCTCCTAGTGGAGTGGCGCGCCCCGGAATTTTTATATCGGGAATTCGGGTCCCGGATAGATGCGTATTATCTCCTGGCTGACGCCAACCATGAGTCATCTGAGCCAGCCGGTAGCCGTAAATAGGAGTGATGTGTTGGGTGGTAAAAATTCTGAGCAAGTTTTGGAAGCCAAAAAGCGCTAATCTATTTTAACGAAACATCCGCGTTCAAACTCCCAATTCCAAGCGTGACCCAATAAAACGCCAGATGAAATCAATGGAGTGCCATGAAAAAAACTGAAACTCCCCGGTTCCGAGAGAGGAACACGTGAGTGCAATAGAGTGGATCCGAAGGTGAGAAGTGGAGTGGTGAGCGCCATTTTGGCTGGTGAAGGTCAACACACAGAGCAAAATGTGCATGTAATGCCGGGCTAGACACGGACCGGGTGGAGGAGCGGAACAACAAAATCCTTAAAGCGGCTTTTGGTGACTCAGATGAGTCAGAGCGATGGGTAGAAAGAGCCAAAAACATCGTCGTCACCAGAGCAACCCCGTAAAATCGGAGAGTGACACTCGAGAGGTTAGCTGGAGATGAGCAAAACACGGACCGGTGCTAGTACATGATCGGGGGGGCTTTTCCTGGATCCAATTTTACGAATACACATAGAAGGACTGTTTTTTCTATACTGCTTTTTACTATTTCCAAACGTAAAAATCTCACTATTGTTTTAAAAAATAATACAAAACTTAACGATTTTCGACCAAAATATAAAAATCAAAATTAAGCTAGAAAGTAGTAAATCCCCCCGCTAACGCAAAAGAACCCGACAAGGATTAACTGGAGATGGAAACGGGCTTCGAGGTATAACCCGGCGAAAACAACGCCGGCTTTTGGGGGTGGAAAATCCCCCGGGTGCCGTTCACGTGGGACGAATTAGCGGGCCAACGGGCAGAGGGCGGGGTGAGGTGAGAAAAAAAAAGGGGGGAGGCGGTGATGTTTTGAGACGTGTGTTGCGGGAAATCCGAGGGGCTCAGAAGGATGGAAAGCACGTGGGACTATAGAATTCATCCGAAAAGGTACCCAAGATTACCGAAAACCCAGGTTATTTTTCAAAAACTTAAAAATACCTAAAGTTTAGCCAAATGGCTGAAAATTTGAGAGCTTCAGAGTATTGGGAAGTACCTGAGACATTTAAACCGAGCCAAAAAAGTGAGTTACACGCTAAAATTCAGCAAAATTATTAAAAAAGGCTAAAGAATTCTTAAATTGAGAACAGTGGTTTATACTAAAAAATGACATAAAGACCTAATAAATATAAAAACTTTTTGCCAGCCAAATCATCGCCAAAAAATATTTTTAAGAGGTATCAAGGGGTTCGGCGGACGGCCATAATCTCATCTAAAAACAAAAAAATTATTGGCAAAAAGAAAAAATTCTATAAATTTGAGCACAAATCTCTAATAGTGTACAAAATTGATTGTAGATACCTAATTATACCTACGTAATGTCGTTTGGACCTAAAAATACCGCCGAACGCAAACAGCCTCTAAAAAGCAAGGACTTAGCGAATGGGCGTTTGACGGGAGAGGGGGGGGTCGGTTTCAACGCGCCCAATCTCCTTATGCCGGAAAAAGTGCAACAAAACAATGTCTGCCCGGCCGTTAGGGTCGGGCGGAGCAGTCCGTTCTGATAACAACCACCCCTACGTAAGTCCCAAGGGGAGTTGAAGTTATTAACAGTTTGTACTGCTTGGGGCCAGAAAGATTTTTTAACGATTTCTTTTAATAGCGAAGCTGGAAAAGTCATAGAAAATTGATTAAATTATTTTTTTATCATCCATCCTAAAGCGGAAATCAGAACCTACAAAATAAGCTTCCGGAAAGCGACTTCGTAACCGGACGCGCAAAAAATGGCTAGAAGAAGGCGTTTTTGAGGCCAAAACGAGCCCGACAAGATGCAATTTGGGGCCCTTTTCTCAGCCGGGGTCGGGCCGACGCGAGAGAAATTCGTCTGGTTTCGGAACATCCGAAAAGTGCCGATCTGGGCGGTGGTGGTGTTGCACAATTTTGGGGCTCCGGACACGCTCGCACTCGTCGAGGACAAACTTATAATCCAGCTGATCGCGCCGTACTGTAGTCTGTGCGCGCACCGAACGACTAACGCATGAGTACATCATGGTAGTGGGCGGCTATCTGTGACAGGGAATCGTCCCGAAAAGCCAGAGTACTGTAGTGGAATGTCCTGGAAAACCTGGCCGCAGCAACTCCACCCGAATGCTAGTCTGTTGAAGGCCGCGAATTATGGTAAAAACTGAACCATTAGCGGGGGGGGGGGGGCAGGGGTGACAATTTTAGAGCGCGAAAAGTTAACGTTGGCCCTCGCCACATAAAAACCCAATAATGAAAAAGACACACGATTTGTAAAGGTTTTACGCCCTTTTCAGTTTATAGTTTCTAAAATTATTAAAATTGGAACTTTAGGTTTTAATCCGTTTCTACCTATAAAAAGTTAATCAAAGCTATTAAAACTTTCGAAATTTCGAATGTTTGAGAATGAACCACTTCAATTTGTAAACTTTTCGAAGACCACTAATTTCTAGAATTTGTAGATGTTTAAAATTTTCGTTTTATAATTTTTTTTGAGTAATCAAAAACTAAAAATAGGCCAGAAAAATACGTGATCAAATGCTAAGATTTCCTCTTTCTAATGCACAAAGATTCTAAACTTCCAAAAATTTGTAAAAACTTTCGAAAATTATGTTTTAAAAAGTTCGTAAAACGCATAAAAAATCTATCCTTTCCGAAAAACCGCGACTTTTTGACCACGAATTCAGCTCTGAAAATGGCAAATTTAGGGAACAAAATGGGTTTTAGAGGCGTTAGGGTTAGGCAAAATGTTTAGGCAAACGGCCATCATCCCGCCCCCGCTAACAGTACAGTACCCGAGTTTCGACGAAAGGATCCGATACTAGGGCTGCTATCAAAACATGACCACCGCCTCGGGGCTGGTGGTGATCGATACGTGGAAATCGTTGCGCCTCGGATAAGTGTCGTTATCGCGACACGGGCCGGTTCTCGGTGAGTGAGAGGGAGAGGGAGGAGGAGGAGAAGCGACTAAGGCTATGGGATAGCAGAGGCCGAGAAGCAGCCCGCCCCAAAAAAGAGATCATATGGTCAGCAACAGCCCGGAGGGGAAGGGGCTGGCGAAACGAATGGGTCTCGCCGTGTCAGGTGGCCGGCAATGTTTGCGAGCAGGTTCAGCTGGTGCTCAAATCGACAGGTACATAGATTCCAGGCTTCCGAGTCATACTGGGGGTTTTCAGGGAGGTCGGGTGAAATGGCAAGAAAAATGACGATGAGAAATTTTTTGAGTGGGGGTTGCCATTTTTGGGTGATAAGGCGTCGATAGCGGATTCAAGAGCGATAATCCAAAAGTAGGTGCAAGGCTGGAAACTCCGTGAAAATTCCAAAACTTGCTCGAAATTTGTTTCGACAAAAGACGAAAAATCTGAGTGGAAACTGAATATAGTAGTTTTTTGCATCCACTTTCAAAAAATTTGCGAAGTTTCAGTCTTCAAGAAAGTAGAAGCGTTTCATTAGGACTGGTAACTGATAAAAAAATGAGAGAAGGCTCCAGAAACGACCGCCTTCGAGTTCCAAATCTAAAGCCCCAACCTAAATAAACGCGCTTTCATATCTCATAAGGATAAAGAAATATCAGGCATGCCAAAAACGTCCAAATTTTCCATAAAGATATCATACCAACAAAATTGTTGTTCCAGTAAATTAAATTAGTCAGATTAAATTTAGCAAAATTGCCACTTAAAACCTCCGTGAAAAACCACAAGGACTAGAGAAGGAGGCAATTTAGCCTCAAGCTTCCAAGAAATGACCCTCCTTCAAGCTCCAAATCGAGGCAATTATCAGAGCACACAAGAGCCAGTATAGGGCAGTCGGGAGGCGGGGCCTGATTTCAAGAAAGGTGCTGCTGCCACGTAGCGCCTAACATTGCAAGGGATTACGTAAGAAACGGGGGGGGGGGACGTAATTTTTAAAGGTGCTCGAAACTACGAAAAACCCAAAAATTTATACCTTCCCTCCGCAATGTGAAAGCATCCCAGGAAAATCTTGCAGATCCCGTCAAAGTTTAGTGGTTGCTTGGAGAAAAGGGGATTATCCAAAAAAAGTGAAATTTAACAAAAACTCGAAAATTTACGGTGCCAAAATAATCCCTCATCAACGGCCATATTTACGACGACGTCCTAAAAATGTTAAAAAATCGCAGCAAAACGATTAGATACCTTTGGAACATGTCTCCCATCCGGTTGGCAAGTCGCCAAATCGTCTACGGATTCTTCGAAGGGCTCGGCCGCTTCATATTCCACAGCCAGTGGATGCGGGGTTCCGGTCCATTCGTAGGTGATGACGATGCATTTTAGCATTTCTGGGGTGTTTGATTCGCCAGTGTAGATCTGAAATGGCCTATAAAAATACATAAAAAATGGCCTTTCTACAAAAAAATCAAAAAAATAGCTTATATTTTAATCTAATTTTTTAAACATAGTTTTCGGCAAATTGAATGCCTAACGACTCAAGGAAAAACCAATCCTCTTCAAATCCATACCTTCTTCGTAAATTTCCCAAGCCGAAAATCGGTGCCCGGGTGTAGATATTCGGTGCATTTCACCTAAAATTCCATTATCAAAAATTTTTGGTAGTTACAACCTTTAGATTAGAAGGCCGTCCCCTCGTCTGCACCATCTTCCCCGCTGCATTTTTCGTAAAATGGCACTCCGTCTCGGACACGCAATTCCATTCGCCTAAAAATATCAAAAATCTTGTAAAAATCAGTAATACCCAGTGAATCATCCACAAACGAGAGCTCCGGAGCCTGGAATTTGACCACAAAACCCCCAGACCCGGTGAACTCGTGCGGAATCGAATCGCAGATCAGTGCCGGGTTTTCCTAAAAGAAATTGCAGAACACCCAATTAAGTTTACGTTGCTGATTTGTTGTAGAATACAGGCTACGCGTGCAACACCGAGCTGTTCTTTACTAAAAAATGGATCACCAAAAAGCCACGAAAATACCTATAAATCGGCCAATCGAAATGCATCCCGGTGTCGTCCTCTTCGATAAACACTTTTCTCACCGCACGATAATCAGCGGAACCTGCAAAAAAATGATAGAAATCGCGTATTTCTCTCCTACGTCCGTCTTCAAAATCGCCGACTCCATGGTGGATCGTAGAACTGATGCCACTAAAAGGAAATAGATGAAGCTCTTTTAGTCATACTTGGAAGACGAAGGGAAGGAGTAAGAAGTCGAAGCATACTCCTAAAAAAAACTTGACAAAGTATTTTTTTCACACCATTTCGGTCAGCGGCACCAACTCTTCCAACGGACCATCGTATTCTTCGATAAACGAATCTTCTAAAAGCAATAACCACAAAAATAGCTTTAAAATACCATTGACAAACGCGTGCCCGGAAGTTCGTGTACTTTTCGGCATCGCTGCCTAAACGAAAACCTCCTTTCTGTCGGTCTCTAACTTTAATAAAAATCGTTATTACGACGCGACTTTCATGTATTGTAGCTAGCAATCGCAACTTTCATTCAGTATATGCAACAAGTCCAAAAAAATAACAATCGCAGAGACATGGGAATGGTTACAACAGATAACGGAAATGCAAACAAAAACGGTAAAACAAAACAAAAGTCAACTCCAGATCTCATTCCTCCATGCCGGCGCGCAGCTGCTGGATCACCTGGTCGGCGAGCTCGGCGGCCAAGTCGTTGCGCAGCAATTCTTGGGTGCCGTGGCTAAAAAACGTTAATCCGAAAGAAAAAAAAGACGATACCTTTTCGATAAGTCGTAGCAGAACATGATGGACGTCTCGAAAATGTGGATGCCGTGGTTGGCGAGCAGGCGGATGCAATTGTGAAGTCGGGCGATTACCTACAATGATAAAAATAGTTGAGGACAGTTATCGAAGAGCAAAACTAAAATTTTCTAGCCGTAATACTCCTAATACATATATGGTATCTTCATGATCTTTTAGTACTCTTGGATTTTAGATAGGTAAACGTCAAAAAATATCTTAGAAATTAAAAAATGAGAAATTTTTGCTGATTTTCCTCCCATTTTGGCCTAAAGAATGACATTTTTAATTTTCTACAGATGTTTCTATACTTCATTTCTATTTTCCGTAAGAGAACAACTTTTCCACCGATCAATCGAGAATTGCACGAACCCGCAACGTCTCTTCCGGGACCCTGGCTGCCAAATCAATGTTGTAGCCACCGTCAACGTCTTCAGAAATTCTAAAAAATCATATTAAAATAAAACGACAAAAACGAACTGTTCGCATAGCCAAATCATCCCATTACAGCCAATGATGACGCCCACGCCACAGGGCAGCGAGTGGAAGTGGGCTTTTCGTCGTTTGATCAGGTAGCTGGGCACTTTGACGGCCAATCCAAGCCCGAGCTTTCCGTATCTAAAATGGTAAATTTTAGAGCAATAACGAGTAAATACTTCAAATTCCGTGTGTGCAAAAAGCAGGCGCCGTCGTGGTGTACTTGCTGAACTTCTGCGGATATGAAATCACCTTCAACGAGGTAGTCCCGCATCGCCAGTTCGTCTTCTACCGTTTTTCTAAATAAATAAGTTAAAGTAAAAATAGAAATAATATACCTTCTCAATTCTCCGCCCGGCAAATTGACACTGGCCAACAATAAATGGCCGTCGGATCGGCTGTTGATGTCCACTTTCCAGCGCTTGTCCTGCACCTCCGTGATCGAGCCGACGATCACGTCACCGACCTGGAATTCGAAGAATAATTTGCTTCAAAAATCAAGCAACCTCTGGACTGTATCGTTGCTTGATGCTCTGCACGTTGATGAGTTGATTCACTTGGCGAACGGAGCCTAAAAAATTCAGCGTTTCAAAAAATGCTCGTTGTCTAACCAGCCAAAGATGCGTGTAGTTCTCCGTTCCGGAAATACGTCCCATGACCACGCATAAATTCGCCGGTACTCGAAACCGGGAATCCGGGGACGACGATCCGGTTTATGTCGATCTACAAAACCCAGTATTTAGAGAATTTTTGAAATACCTGTCGATCAATGTGCCCAAATACCCTGGTGTTGGGCGCCAGCGGGATCTGCCGATCCGGAGCCCCCGAGTTCATCTTCTAAATTTGAAGCTGAATCGTGGTTTTTCAGTTCCAAAAATAAGAAAAAATGAAATTGAAAAGTTACGAAAATAAAAATTGGCCCTTAGAAAATGATGGCGTAATGGGATGGAGCGTGAAGAGTAGCGCTTCGTAACGCACTCGACTGATTGTGAGTCCACAAATTTACACAGTACGAATATTAAAACGTAAAAAAAACTTTAAAAGATGCCTGAAAACGACGTTATTTACCTAAAATTAATCTAAGTTACTGAAAATATCAAATAAGCGCATCCTAATAAGGCAATAGACCCCAAAATAGCGGGAAAATAACCCAATTTGAAAGCGTTTTACTTTTTAGATTTTAAAATCGTTATTTTCTATCTTTATTTTGGTCTCTAGATTGTCTTTTTACCAAAAAAAACGTAATATTCGCGGCTCTGCTACTTCTATTTCTCGTTAAATGCGCCAAGCAAGTCCGGATTCAATTTTTTCATGGCACCTAGTTTTCTTTTTGAGCTTTTCCACTTTTTCCTCCATTCCACCGGGACTTTTGAGCTCTTCCCGGAGACCAGCACGCGCCAAAAGGCCAACAAATGCTGCCTGAAAAACCGGCGATGAAATGTGGGCGGGGCTACCGTAGGGGGGCTGAAAAAAAGCAAACATTGTATGGGCCGGGCCCCCGGCTAGCTTTGTGTCGGCGTTGGCGGCTCATTCTCCCGACATGATGTATCCGGGGCCGTCGCATCCGAAAAAAACTCGCGCGGTCGTCCCGCACCATCCCTACCAAGTGCCCAACAAGTATGGGGTGGCCAACAACGATCCGCAGCTGCCCAACGAGCCGAAAAATGCCAAGATTTACATTGGCGGGTTGCCGCCGTGCGTTACTTACGAGGATGTAAGTGTATAATTTTATATTTATAGCTAGAGAACGTTACAAACTATCCCATAAATATGCCTGTATTACTGTCATAACCTTCTCTAGTTAATTCACATACTTATAAAATTTTTGATGCCTTAATTACGGCCTATATATAGATTTTTACCTAGCATTTTACGCGACTTGAAATTTCAGATACTTTATTGACTGCTTTTTCTAACTTAAAAATACGGTAAAGGTACCTAGGACCTGGATATTACTGGATTTTAGCGCCTGCAATGTCCTCTTAAACAATATACATACAATCTATATTAATTTTTAACAGCCCTAAATTTCAGCTCTTCTCCGAATTCTGCGAGTACGGCCATATAACCAAGATTTGGATTGCCAGAAAACCGCCCGGTTTTGCCTATCTTTATTACCCATCGATGAAAGAGGCGAAAAGGGCCGTAATGGCGCGGAATAACACGTAAGTCATTATGTAAATTCTTATTATTGTTATTATTTCTATCTTCCATTTTTCGCACAGTAGTTAGCGTCAAACTCCAGCTCAAAAATTAAATAAAAAGGTAATTAGACGCCTTCTAATATCCAAGCTTTATATATGAAAAATTATAACCGAACCATTGTCCCTGTTTTCAGCGTAATTTGCCGGAATCTATGCAAAGTCGAACTCTCCTACGACGAGTTCGCGATGGGCAATTTTACGGGTGATATTACTGACATGACGCCCGCGCTGCATGCCATGATCAAGAAGCAGAACAAGGCGTTGAAATGGGGACAACCAGGTAAAGTTTTAAAGCTAAACATTTTAAGACGCAGGCGAGAGCACGAGCTACGTATGCGTCTATTTACGCCCGCGTCGCTCGCCATGCGTTAGCGCTCTGCGGCATTAGGCGCGTACGTAGCAGGTGCCTGAACGTTCTCTTGAAAGCGGACGTTCAGGTATGGGCCTCGAACGGGGGCGCCTATTTACGAAGAGAAAGAGAGAGAGAGAGACTGAGAGAGAGCGAGAGAGACGCAGGCGTCAATAGGCGCACACGTAGGCTAAAAGTTATATCTGCGCTTTAAAACGGTCATAAAACATCTCATTTCACAGCGCCCGTCGGCTACCAACAACTCCAGCAACCCGTCGGCTACTTCCCCGCCTATCCACAACTCACTGCACCGCCCGCCTCAGCGCCTCCGGTCGAAACACCATATTCGCATCCGCCAGGCCCGAGCAGTCTCGTGCCATTCCAGGCGGCGATGGGCGGCACCGTCCCCGGGATGCCAAACAACATGGCGTTGGTGCAGGCGATGATGCAGATGAATGAGATGTATCAAAAAGCTCAAGCTCACGCCCAACCGCCTCCCCCGCAAGCAGCAGCTACCCCTGCTCCGAACAACAACCCTGTGCCGCAGCAGCAGCAGCAGTCGTTATATGAATTGTGGGTTTTGTTGGCAAAACAGGGATGTCTCAAAAAATCACTGTTGTGGACCTCAGACGTGTCCGGCCAGTTAGCTCCGATGTTCGAAATTCCGAAATTTTTTGCTTGATTTTTCGTTTTTCGACGACAATTTTTTGTCAAAAAAAATTAGTTTCACCGGCTTAAGCTCCGACTAAGCCGCATTATCTCAAATCGCTTCAAAAAGCTGGCGTCGCGCTACTATTTGCAAAAGCCAAAACCCAGAAATTCTAATTTTTATGAAACTCCATTTCATTGCAAAGCTTCGGAAATTCGACCAGTTCCACAAAAATCTTAGTAAAGGTAAGAAAAATGCCGGAATTTCGAAACTCTGAGCGACGTGCTGGACTCGCCTTTCTGAGTGCTTTCGATAGATACCTATATCGTAAAAACCGTCCACGTCTGTGGACCGCTAGTGAGGGAAGGTTTTTTGGGACACCCTGGAGAAGTTTAACTACATAAAACAACGCCGTAATTTCAGGCTCGAAGCCAACAACCCGGCGCACCACTACCCCTCCAGCCAGAGGTATCCGCCGCTGTCGGCGCGGCGTGGCGACTGGGATTCGTAGTGAGTTTTTTGGAGGAATTCGACATCGTAACACCCGTCCATATCACTCCAGCCCCCCGCAACAACAACACTACAGCCACGACGAACCACCGTCACATTATAACCCCCGAACACCGTCCCCCGATCATCGGTGGGTGGGAGTGAGAGCGGGGCGAGGAGTAGTAGTTAGATATCTGGATGGTTATTACATAAGTTTTATAGCTGGCATGGTTAGGTTTGTCCCGTAGATGGCAGCTTTCTTCGCACTGCGAGCTTTAGAAAGAAGCCTTAAAATGTGCGTTCAAACACTAGCTAGCTACGTTAGCGCCTATTTACGTAAGGAGACCAAGCCAAAACAACAGAAGCAGACGTAAAAAGGTGCCGACGTAGTACGTAGCATGGACGTACGTTTTAATGCGAGCATTACGCCTTTACAAACGGGGACTTGGTCACCAAGTTCAGAACTTAATTATCTCGAAAGCAACCCCAAAACGACATCTACGCCAGCATCGACGATTTCGACGACACCTTATATACGGCCTCCTCTGTTTAGAAGTAGCACCACAAAAATTACCACACCCGATGACGATACCGAGCTAACGATTAACGAGCCACTTTCCAGACCGCGCGAATCCCGCAGCCCGTCTCCACCACCGAGGTAATAGCTAATACTTTTGATAGTATTGCATACTTAGTATACTAACTTAATAGTGTACCAGTGATATATAATAGCATATTTGGTATTCAATTAACCGTCAATATCTTCAGGATCACGGAACCGTCACGCACCCCGACGCCCGAATAACCTATCTCGACCCCTTCTACCTCTACGACGAACTTCTCGACTTATCGACGCCCACCACACCTCCTCTACGACTTCTGCCTCCACGTCTGCACCTCCCACATCTTCATCACCGCCTTGTGATCCCGATTGAAAATTTTCTGCCATATATCCTTTCGCTAACAAGTAGTTCTGCTCCGAAGAAATGTGCAAACAGCCGCATTTGAAAAAATGTATCGTTTGCACATTTCTTTTTTTTCAAGCTTCTATTACGTCTAGATTTGCGCCAACGAAGTAGGCGTTATTTTCCGTATTTACGCGCTGGAATCGACTAGACATTTTATAAATTACGTGTTTTGTTATTTTTCTGTGATCAGTTATCGATTCTTAGACATCAAGCTTGGGGATGTATCGAATAAAACCTTTTGTAATAAAAAAATGCCAAAATATTCGCGAAATAACAAACCACAACGCGCGAATACTACCCGCAGCTTTCGGAACAGATCGCGATCGTGCCTAGGGCATGAAATAGAAACCGGCACGCGATCGAGGGCGGCGAAAAAACCCGGCACCCTTTTTTCGGCATAAAAATCTTTTGTTTTAGATTCCTACCGCCGTTCTACTATCAATAGACACTCGCTAGCCCTTTATCTCCGATGCTCCAAGCCCCTCACTTCAATCACCAAACACCTCGTCCCGACGACTTCAGGAATCCGCCCTCGCCATTACTTATCCAATGCACTTCCGCCGCCCCTTTGTATATTTGCCCTTTATATGACCGCCGTGTCCACGGTATGTCGACGTGGAATAAATGGTGTGTATGTCGTTCACTCGCTTCAGAAATCCGCACGAATAACAACCGGACATAAAGGACCCATCCCGATCAGCGGCGGGCCAATTCGGGGCAGCTAGTCAAACGAGCGCGGGCGGCTTGAGCCAGATACTCCCACAGTTTCTTCCCGGCTACGCAAATATGGTGAGGCTTTCGGCTTGGAAACGAATCGAGGCGATTTTCGAAACTGGAAAATGCTGGCTTGTATAAAAAAGGGGTTAGAAAACAGAATTTCACGAAATTGCGGAGATCCGGGATTTTGGCGTGGGAGTATTGGGATCGAAATTGTGGGCTAATACGTTTTAGAATTTTGATCTAGGCCTTCTTTTAGGATTTTTCGCAAGAAATATACGAAGCAAATCGATCGATAAACTATAATCGAACCATAAATGTAAGGCTAGAGCTGATACCACGCCATTGGTGACCAACGCACAGTGTAGCGCGTGCATAAGTTCCTCGTGTAGCTAAAATTAGACAACGCCGCGTTCCTCTAGACGCTCTTACTTTCTGTGCCCGCTGATAATTTGCATTTTTTTTTTCTGCCTAAGCGTTGAGGTTATTGGTGTTGATACGTTTCAGAATTTCCCTTATACCTTGTACGGAAAAGTTATAAAAAAATCGAGCCTCAATCGATATAAAATCGATCAAAACAAATTGAATAGCTGGCACGCGGCCATTAACGCGAACGCACATGATAGCGCGTCGATTGGCGCGTCGCATAGCTAAAAATAGAGAACGCCGCGCCGCTTTTTACATCCTTCCTGTCTGCACTCGCTTCTACTTTTCATTTTTTGGTGCCCACATTCCACTCATCAGCTAACCAATGGGATGGCACGTGCATAGGAGCTTCTCGTAGCTAAAAATAGACAACGCACTGCATTCGGCACCTTTACGGTTTGCACGCGCGGCTAATTTTCTTGTTTTTTTTCGCTTGCAGCCCCCTGATCAGCCTGCACAGGATCTCACGTGCATAGGCGCCTCGTGTAGCTAAAAATAGGCGACGCCGCACTCCATTCGACGCCCTTACCATCTGCACCCGCTGCTAATTTTCATTTTTTGATGCCTACATTCCACTCATCAGCCAACCAACCACTTCCGGTGATCAGAACATTTTTGTGTTTTGTTAGCGAGGTCTGTGCGGGTGGAGTATGCGCACGTAGCAACGTTTTTTTTAGAATCGTAAGCAAATAAAAATCCGGGACAGGCATCGGGGTCCATTCTGGGTGCAATGAATCATGCATCATGATGATCATGTTGATTCATGCATGAGTGATGAAATTGAAACCCTTTTCTTTGTCTGACTCTGAAAGAGGGTCGGACAATGGCAGCAAATAGGCTTCAACGTCATCGAAAATAGGAGCCAGGTCGGCGGTGTGGTTTTTTCAAACAAAGTGTCTGATCTCGACAGAAGTTTATTTTTATTGGGAAACCGAACACGTCATTAGGACTGTCCGTAGTTTTGTCATGAATGCGTGGAATTTCTCAGAGGTTGACCCTAACTGTTTTCACAGGGCTTATCTCTGCCAAATTGTGACCCGGCGAGCGGCCATAGTTGTGTGCAAATTTCCGATACTGGAAGCTCAACGTAAAGCTTTATTAGAAGTAATGTACAGTAAATACATATAAGCGGCTGTTGACAACAATTTTTTCTTTTGCATACTTCTTGGTACTGGTCTGTTACCGGGGGGGGGGGATTTTTAGCGAAAGAAAGGGATTTTTTCATTAATTCTGGACGCCCCTACAATAGCAAAATATCAACCGTTCTTACATTCTTATACGTTCAGATCTCAAAATTCATAAAAAATTTTTGAATTTTTGGTCAAAATGTATGAAAAGTAGCCAAAACGGCCAAGATTTTTGAAGTTTCGAAATTTTTTTAAAACTTTCTAGCAATAACAATGGACTAAAAACTATAAAAATCGATTATATAGTAGAAAAAGTAAAAAAAAACACAAAAATGATTATGGTTTCCCCCTGCTAATCCCCCCCCCCCCGCTAACAGGCCATTACCAACGTTTTCACCATCACGATTGAAAGAGCTGCTGTTCTGCAAATTCATCCACTGCCAAAATAGCCACACAATCTGGCACCAATTTTTTCGAATCTCAGACGACATAAAACCCCAGCGAAACGGTAGAACTATGCCGAGAACGCCCGGAAAAGTATGTGGAAGCGATGGTTGGGCTCCGCTCCTTTTTCGGGAACATTTGGCGGTAATGTGGGATGTAGGAACTGAATGCAAGCAATGAGGTGATCAAGAGGTAAGCGGCGATAATTGCATTCACAGAATCTCTATCCACCAGACTGTCCTCGATGTTGCCATACCACACTTTGATTTCCATACCCTAAAAAGGTTGGTAAAGTGGGCGAAAAACATGTCGGTACTTGTCTGTTAGCGGGGGAGGTTAGCTAATTTTGCCTATTTTCTCGTAACGTCGATGAGATATATTAGTTATATAAGTTTTTACGCCATTTTTAAGTATAGAAAATTGACAAAAATGGATAAAAGTTTGAAAATATTGGATTCGGTCATAATTCGATTTTTTTAATTAGCTGAAACTGTTTTTATGGTTTTTAGTAACCAGTTAATACTGATTAAAAATAAATATCATGTGTTTTCACGTCGTTTTTAGGTATAAAAAGTTCATAACAAATGTTCAAATCTGCGCAAATCTTTGATTGTTGGGATTTTTGGATAATTTTTTAATTTTCTACGTGCTGTTATGTTTTTAGTAATAAAATTCTGATAAAAATACCTACCATGTACGCCGGATACCCGAGACTCAGCACCTTGATCCCGCGCTGCAGCCCGATTATGGCCAATGTGGTGGCTGTCAAAAACAGCAGCATATCGGCTGCGGTGAGAAAGTTAATGGCGACGTAAATCGTCACATTTACGCGTAACCCCTCGCGCGTACGGTCGTGCCTGGAAGACGTATTAAAGAAGTGTCTCGCGTTGGAGTGGTCAACCTATCGCGTTAATAAAGATGTATAAACACACTTCTCCAACAATTCATAGAACTGTAAGTCTGCTCTTCCATACCACGCGACCTTACCGACAAAGTGGAAGAGGAAGAAGATGTAGAAGGCTACCTGAACCTTATATATTAGCTTAGAATATACGAAACTACTAAAAATTTGCCACCATTAGCAATTCTGCAGTTATAAGGTTTTTCCTATTTTAAAAAGATCGCAAAATAAACGCTTCACAAACGATTTTTACGTCATAATAGGCATTTTGCTGATAAAAATATCGATTTTCAGGGCACTCTTGCCCCCTCGGTATCTTTTAAAGTATATTTTTGCGCTACGTAATATAGTCTTTTTCGGACCGTAATCTCGTATTTTTTTCGTAATTCTGAAGAAAATCTACCCTCAAATGCAGCCGATCAGCTTTCGTGCAACAACATCTCATGGCTGTTGGCGCCGGTCATTCCACACGCAACGGAAAGTATCGTAGTCACTAGCGCAGAACGTCTTCAAGCCTCCCAATCGAACTAATGTTTTTCGGCGTGGAACGGCGCATGTTTTTCCCTTATCGCCCCAAATTCCGGGTAGAGGTCAGCGCGCCTCGGGCCGTTCATATAATCGTGGTAAGGGCGTCACCCAATTAATGGCTCAATAAATAGCGTTTCAAAATTCACCTGATTTTCTTTAATTTAAATTAAATTAATTTCAAAACCAGCAAAAATCCCGGTTTTTGGCCAAAATATACTAGACCAATAGTTATATTTTACCGAAAAGGACCATAAAATAACTTCAGTTACGTAACTAGGTATTTCAAAACCCATGCCAACAAATTTTGGTTCCCCTACAATCTCCCCCCGCTAATGCCAAAGAATCCTATTTTCCCTCCCTCTTTCGAACCCTCTTAAACTATTCAAAATCTTTGAAAATTCACGCGAAACCGATCTTTCATATTTGTTTCCCAATCCATCCCGAATGGAGTACAAAAAGTGTGCATCGCCAAGCGGAACCCCGCGTTGTCTGTGTTTGAGCCACGTGTCCAAGTCTAACAATTCGGAAGTAATCCAGACTTCCGGTTCATTTGTCTAGATTTTTCAGATTGTTCACCCCTATTGGGGGTGTGCGCCGTTCCCGACGGCAAGTGCAATGCCGGGACGACGCTGTTGGGCGAGAAGCAAGCTTCTGCTAACCGAACCATTTCCAAAATATGTTAATCTCTTGGTATACAATTAGTATACGTATCGGAGATTAAGCCGATAAGAACATTTACTAAACAATTGATCATAGCCAGAGGCCAGAAGCGATAATTCCCATGGTCAATCGGTGCATCTATGTCGACAGGGTGGTCCAGGTGGAGGGCGAGTAGGGACGTCGCCGAGTGCAGACGAAGAGCGGAGAGAGGGGCCGCTGTGACCTCCAAAAACTCGGGTGAAAAAAACATCGATAACGATATTTAAAATTATATAAATAATTACTATTTTAATTGCATGCGAGGCGACAATTTTTTACACTATTTTTTGGACCGCATGTGTCAAAAACTGTATAAAAGTCTCTAAAAATGATGTATATTTCGTCGTGGAGCCGTGCGCTAAAACTCACGAAATTTTGGCTTGTCCGCTAACCCTTCCCCCCCCCGCTAACCGTCGAGTACCGCGGGAGCGACAAAACGCCACATTGATGCCGTGGCATCCCGGTAATTTGCAACAACACAAAGGGCAACATTTCTAGGCACGGGATCTCTGCTTCTGTTTGCATTTCAATCCGTCCATTTCGGCCATCCCAAACAAGAGCCAGGGCTATGTCTGATGCTTGAGGCATCGATGAGCTCGACAGAATCCCATTGCTCGCTTCGAATGCGTCGCCAGATGCTCAAATAGCCCGAACAACGTGCCCATCCCACAAAACGTTGCCAGTTAGTGCGCGGAAATTTGGGCTGCAAAATAGCCGGTCGGCAAATAGGGTGGTTAGCAGAAACGTTGCAAAGTGACCGTGAGCCGGCCAGAGAACGAATAAATCAAAAATGAAACAGGTGCAGGACTCGGGGAAAATTTTGAGGGATTGAACATGTATATAAGGTAGTAAAAACCTTAAGAATCAGAATCGTAAAGGGTAATTAAAGGTAGTGTCAGTTACCCCCCCCCCCCCCCCAGCCCCCAGCCGGCACCCAACTTTTGTATCTCAGCTCCCTGTCCATCTACAGGTGTGTAAAGTGTACTAGAATGTTCGTCTTGCGCTGGCGAGTATTTTGGTATACTTTACACACCTGTAGATGAACAGGGAGCCGAGGTACGGTAGGTGGCAGTAGGCCGGGGGGGGGGGGGGGATAAACTGCTTTTAAGCCAAAGGCAGAGTCGATTATATTTACTGTGGATTTTGCAACGGAAGCGAGAGTATCAGCCGACCCTTCCTGCGCCTTCTTGAGGTGTACCATCTGCTCCTGCCGACTCGCCCCCCCACCTGTACCACTGACTGGCCTCAAATGCACGCACTGCCAATCCGAAGTATCGCTTCTGGCCTCTGGCTATGATCAATTGTTTAGTAAATGTTCTTATCGGCTTAATCTCCGATACGTATACTAATTGTATACCAAGAGATTAACATATTTTTGGAAATGGTTCGGTTAGCAGAAGCTTGCTTCTCGCCGAACAGCGTCGTCCCGGCATTGCACTTGCCGTCGGGAACGGCGCACACCCCACCAAGGGGGTAAACAATCTGAAACAACTACAAAAATCAGCCGGAAAGCATTATGACTTTCGAAAAGTTACGCGCGAAAAAATTGGTCCAACTGCCGCGCTCCATATGAATTTTTGTTGTAATCTACTACGTAATTCCTGGCCTTATTTGACGCTCCTCCGCACCTATCAAACCTCTGACAATCTCTATTAAATCCATGCCTTTACAACATTTGAATTTTAAAAACCGCCTTTTATTTTAATTTCTAAAGTTTGGAACCGTACCCCTAGCTCCAAGACGCTACTAATGACACTCGCGCGGCGTCCCTACTTGACTTCCCGTTATTCCCCGGCAGTCCCCCAAAATTCTTTTCTGTCCTCCAAAATTTGCGGGAAAACCGATAAATTGCAACTAATATAGCTACTTTCTTTTCAGAAACGCACAAATTATGGCCGAAAACGAAAGGACCAAGGCTTCTGCGTGGGATGATGACGATGCGCCGGCGCCTTCGAGACGTGTGCTAGGAGTTTTCAAGGTATATTTTTGGCTATTTCGATAAAAACTTACTTTAGGACCCGGAGCCCGGCTTCTCGGCAACAGTGATATCGATCTTTGCAAATTTCGCAATGACGAATATGTTTTTTGTAAGTTTTGGAACGCTATCCCGTAATTATTTACCTCTTTTTAGGTATGGCGTTTCGGGCAATGGTAAACTCGCCTACCTGGCCTCCGTTTTCACAGTGCCGTTTTCTGTTTATAGTTGTGTTAAGGTATTTTATACTTTACAGCCGATACGTTTTTTAGGATCAAGCTAAAGACTACGAAAAGTGGAAGGAATTGAGCGTTCTACGGCAACGAGGGACCCCTGATAGATTTATGCCCTACAAGTGCAAGTAAGTATTGTTTTATAGCGAGTAAAAAGTGTAGAAAATTATATATACCTTTTTTAGATACGACTGGACAGAATATGAGAGACGGGAACGCGACAAGCTCATCGGACCAGCGAAATAACCACCCGGAAATGTCTATTTTCTAGTTTAGTGATGACTATATTTTTGTTTGTGCGTCATTTTCTCTTAGGATAAATATTTATGATGATTTCGCCATCTTTTTTAATTGGCAATTTGAGACCAGAATTTTCTTATGCATATTTTTGTTTTTCGACAATTTTGCGAGTTTTAGCTGATGCTCGACTTTCGGGAAATGGCTTTCACGGCCTTTCTCGAGCGGCACATCCTCGTCAAGGAGGACTGGCTGGATGATTGTGTTCAACACCTGCAAAAACATAAGGTTTTAAATAGAAAGGTAGTTTAAATCATGACTTTTTAACTCCTAAAATTCTCTAGGAGGATGTCGCTCAAATCGTCGAGCAATGGCTGTATTCCGATCTCGCCGACTCGACCTACCCGGCAATTTGTCAGCTCCAACTAGACGTGACGAGGCCGAGATTTGTGCTGCAGAATCCGCTCGTTTTACAGGTTTTGAAGCAATCATATTTGGAAATAGGGCTTTGTTATAGATAACGAAGCTGCTCAACATTGGAATGCCCGCTCAGGCACAGCTAAAAGGACTCACCGACCAGGTCGTCGACGATTCCGGCTTCGAACCATTGCTGGATGATAAGGGCGAGAAGATTTTGGAGAATGTGCGTTTTAAACTATGGGTTTTTAGTGTTTTCGATGGAACCTACTTTTTCTTCGGAATCCTTTTTTCTAATATATGTAAAGAAAGTTTTTCTAAGCGGTTTTTACTCTAGTCTTTAACGTAGAAACTTTAAACTTTTGTTAATATCTACAAAAATATATATTTTCAAGCCAGACATGGTCGAATTTTTTTGCAAAATGTTGGAATTTTAAACTTTTCTGTATAGTTTTCTAGCTATTCTACTAAAACGACTATGAACAAACTTAGTTTAGGCAAAATAATGTTCATTTTCAACCAAAATGTCATATTCTTTTAGTTTTTGAAGTTTTCTAGGACATTTTTCGATTTTAAAATATCGCTAAATTACTACAACTGAATTTAGGCCCCAAAAAGATGCCTACTTCTCGACGCGAACGATGGTGCGCAGCAGGTGTCATTGCTGGAGTATCACTCGGTGCCGAGTCTCTCGTTGAAGGTAGCCCCCGGCTCGAAGGTAGTTTAGACAAAGTTTTTGACGTTAGTTTTAGGTGCTTTTACTTCCGGGAATTACCTGCCGTTCCGGTGTTTTCTACCTCACACAAAAGCACTGTCAACTTGTTGGAGGGGATTCTCCGAAGTGGGTTTTGTTTGTAATTTACGGCAAAGAAAGAATCGCTCGTTTTTTTTTAGTAATTTGAATAAGAATGACAAAGAATTATGCAGCTATATTTCACAATTTTTTTTACTTCCGATTTAACATTTTTAAGCTAAGCATTTTTTAGACTAATTAAATTATTCGATTTTCACCCCAATTTTGACGGCGGCTTTAGTTTCGCATCCGGCCTTCCGATCCCGGCCCTCCGAAGAAAGCTCGATCTACCGTCCGTCAAATTACCCGGTATGGCCAAGTCTATTTTCTTGGAAGCTAATTTAGTTCAGCTACAGCCCAACCCAAAGATCAAGATCGAAGTCGAAATCCCGTTGCGAACCAAGCCGCTGCCTCCTCCTCGTCCACTTCCTCTGAAACGCTATTTGCAGAAATTCGGGACCATCGCCGCAACAGTGCGCCGGGCCCTTCGGCCGTGAAGAAGAGGTGGGAATTTGAAGCATTAGTTGGCCTAAATTTTGTTTATTGATAATATCGTATGGTTTATCAGTATTTTTGATAAAAATTTGCAATTTTAAGTGGACAAACCACTTAGAAATCTGAACAAATTTATAGAAATTTTGGTAGAGAACCGCTTTTTAGCTGAAAAATCCAAATTCTTTGTATTTCGCATAGATTTGCATTTGTATTTTTAAAATTTTTGACATCTAGTAATTGTCAAAAAAGTGCAAAAACACTTCTCTAGTCGGATTAGAAAAATCTTAGGCTCAAAAAAGTGATCAGGAAAAATGCTAATTTTCCCCTTTTCAGCAATCCGCCGTCTCAAATTCTTTTCGACGATGATGACTTTGACATGGACGATGATTGCATTCTGGACGAGAAGCCGAACACGTCTTCTAGCAGCTTCACGAATAACCTCAAATTTCAACCCCAGCCTTACGCTAACAACCCCCGAATTTTGCCCGCCGATTCAACGAAGAGCCACTACTACATCACGCCCACCAAGAATGAGCGAATATTAGCCAACGAGACGCCGCCAAAACCGGACGTAAAAAGGACACAAGACAGAACCAATTCAACCATTGAACTGCCGGACGTCTCGCCGTTGAAGCAGGAGATACCGGATACGCCACCGCCAAAGAATAGAATATCGACTACGATAGCTCCGCCTGCACGTGATAAGGTGTGTTTTGTAGTTTGGATTTCCAAATTTGGGTACTTGAGAATTCGCGGGGGGAGCTTTTTACTATTTATACTTTTTTATGGATTTGGAAGTAATTTTTGTAAATTATGTTTAGCTATGCTAGAATATGTAAGCGTTACATATTAAATTATCCGATTTTAGACCGAAAAATCGTTTTTCGGGCCGATAATGATAAAAATGCTGGATTTTTCAAACATTTTCAAGAATTTGGAGTATTGTCTGCTTCAAAGCTGGTTAAGTTTTACCAAATAATTAAAATGCTATGCTGATGGTTGAAAGTTAAGCTTGGCTCGATTGGGAAAATTACCCCGTCCCCCGCTAATACCCAAGTACCGTAGTTTAAATTCTGAAATGCGTTTTAGAAGTTCTACATCTTTTTTTAGATCCCGGAACACGTCGACGCTCCGCCGATAAAGAAGCCAAAGCCGGTGGCGATCGTCGGCGCCAAGGTGGTCAAGCAGGAGGTCATCGAGCTGGACGACGAGCCGGTATGGCAATCGCCTTGCACCACGTTGTCGAACGCGCTGGCGCGACAGGTCCGGATTTATTTTTTTCTGGCTTCATAGCTCGTAAAAATATCTCTGAGTCTCTCTCTCTCTCTCTCTCTCTCTCTCTCTCTCTCTCACCTATTCAGCTTTTCCAGGAGCTCCTCGACAAAGAAACCGAAGCCACTCGCTACCTCAAAGAATCCCCAGTCAAGACGAACAGCTTCAAGGTGCTGAAATTGCCCTCATCCGCAGAAGCCGGCAAAACCATCGAGATTCCGTGTCGTGATGAGGTTTTTATCTTTCGCTTATCAAGTCCTCTTTTTTAGCCAACCGCCCGGAAAGCCTACAGCGAGCTCGGCATCGTTCCGCTCACCGAAGCGCTGCTGCAACGCCGATTTATTGTGGGCAGTACGAGGAAAAATATTCAGGTTTGAACTTTTTAGAATTTCTCAGGTAATATATATTTTTTAGGCTGTCGTTGCTGACATTAGCGATCCGCTGCGGATTGTGGATGGGTACTGGACGCAGACGGTGTTGCTAAAGGTTGGTTTGTGAAAATAGCGATTTCTGCGCATTTTTCGGCCTTGCAAATTACCGCATCAGTTTTATTATCATTGAGTGCGGTACGCGAGGAAATTGAGAAAATGTGTTTTTGCGGTTTTTAGGTCGTAATAATCCTGTAAAATCGTTGTAAGTAATTTTATTGTCATGTCCTTAGCATTATTAATAAAGTTGGTCTGCGATAAATTCAGAATTTTAAGAGTTTTGCGCTTTTTTAGATTATAAAACTTGTTTATAAATCATAAACTTGTTTCTAGGATTCCTCAATCACCGACAAGGGCGTGGCTTGTACAGTGTCGAACCAGGTGCTCGTCAACCTCATCGGACTCACCCCCACGGAAGCTACGGTAAGTTTTTTATTAGCTTTATTTTTGAAATTTCTTTTTCTATAGGAAATTCGGCATTCCGAGGACAAGCGGAAACGGATAGAGGGCAAGGAACGGCTCGACTCCGCCGCCGAGTCGATGGAGCGCACGGATTTGGTTTTCGAGGTGAAATTTTTGTTTTATTGATTTTATTTTTTATGGTTTTACTGGGTTTTTAAGTTTACCGATTTATAAAATGTCCATTTAGTAATAGTTTTATTATACGGCATTTTTACAGATCGAATTCTTCGCGCGAGACAGCGTGCTGCCCGTCATCCGCGATCTCCAGACGATGGCTCAACGGTTGAAGATTTTTTGAATAATTTTCTTTGATTTTCTTGGTGCTTGTGTGGGTGCTTGCGAATAAAACTAAACATTAGAATGCTCAAAAACCAAAAACAGCGAGGACTTTATGAAAAACAATCGTTTTTAGAAATCGCAGTTGGAAGTGAAATTTGAGTTGTTGTTAGAAGAAGGAGACCGGCGCATGTCTAAAATAATTTTTTATTTCGTGTTTAATTGTAATTTAATTTTATATGCTAAATCTCGAGAACATGTCTACCTTTTTTGTAGATCAAATAATCGAGGATCACAATGGGTAGATCGTTCGGTGTCGTTAGGTGCAGAGAGTACTGGCGAACGCAGGAATATGGAAAAGGTGGGGCCTCCGATTAGATGCTCCACTCCGGCGGGGTCACATCGACAATCTCAGTTGGCACGTCGACGATCCTGAGATCATACAATTCTGGGGTTTCTGCAATAGCCATTGAGCGATGTTGGCTATTTAAATTTTAGGATTTTATTGTTTGGATTTAAGATTAGATTGTAAGACGAACGTTAAATATTAGCATTTCATTGGTTATGGATTTTCAGGGTCTGGTTCATTAGCGGTGGGCAGGCGGTTTCGCGGAGCGAGACTAATTTTTAGTTTTCTACTTATGATAACGAAATATATCGTGTAGTTGTATCGCGTTTTAGTAATTAGTGATAGCACTTGGCATTAGAAAATGGAAAATTTGAAAAATATGACCTCTTTTATTATTTTCACACGTTTTTGACCAAAACATCCAAAATTTCTCTTTAAAAATTTGCTTCTAATCTAAAAGGTTTGTAAAATGATATAAAAAGTAAAATGGTTTAGAATTCGTTATAGGACCGTAGGGCATTAAGCGGGCAGATTTGCCCCCCACCGCTAACGAAATTGATAATAAAACTAGACTTGAGGCACAAAATGACGTTTTACCAGTCTACACCCAAATGTCCGGTTGAGAATATTACGGTAGCTCGAGGCTCGATAATTAACATATTATAGAAGGAATCTCTCGGAATCTGGTAGAATTAGACGAATTATCTCTGAAAAGGCGAGGTCAGTAGAAAAAGCTTGCAGCACAATAAGCCTAGAATTTTATAGGCCCATCGCACCCACGCAATTCTGGTGGCAAATGTTCTCGGCAAGCTTTTTTAATTACTCAGAAATACGCAGATCCCATTGGACGAGTCATCGGCCGGAATTTGGGCTGCGGTCAGCGAGTGTTTTGGGACCTCTTAATTGCTGTTAAGGCGAACGCAGACACTTCTTCAGGGATAGAAAGCCACACTTACTGTACTGTACTTTTAGCATAACCCAGATTAATGCAAATTAGAGAGCTTTTGCATTATCGAGGGGGAATAATCGGGGGAAAAACCAACTTTTCCTTCGTATCGAATTTTTCTAAGATAAATAGGGGAGAAAGCTTCTGCTTTTTCGATTCGCCTCGATAGAGCTCAAAAAAATATACTAGGTGTTTTAATTCAAGCCCAAAATACTGCAATATAAAATAGTTACAGCAAAAACAAAATTTAAACGCGATTTCCCCTTATGGGAACTAGAAGTGCAAAGCTAGTTTTTGACATTTTCGACATTTTTACAAAGTTTATTTAACGCCATTTGATAGAGCGTCAAAAAATATACTAAGAGTTTAATCACAACCCAAAATAATGTAAAATAGAATAGTTATGGCAAAAACAAGCAAAATCCAAATATCCTAGGTGCCGCTCAAACACTATTTTAATTGTATAAATTTTAATATTGATTTTTACAAAATTCTGAGCCAGGAGATAGTAGCTGAGACCTAGGGCTACCGAATGGGTATGCTCTAGCAGAATAGCTATGCAAATATTGGGTAAGAGTTTACTTTACCCCCCCCCCCCCCCACAGCCGAAGGGTCTCAAAGTTGTCGGTATTTTCGCTGATTTTGTCGGGATTTTCGCAACGCCATTCGATAGAGCGTCGAAAAATATATTAAGAGTTTTAATTTGAGCCTACAATAATGTAAAATAAAAAAGTTATAGCCAAAAACTTCCGGCTGGGGAAAGTAAACCGTAGCCAAATATTGTGATATCTGTCAGTGAAGGTATGCTTGCAAAACTTGCCAGTCAGAGTCCGGGTCCATGATTTTGTCGTCGGGTGTCAGGGAAGCTAAAATGGGAGAATGGCAAAAATTAGTGTTTTATACCGCGCTCCCCGAATTTCATTGCGCTCGTTTTTAGCTCGTCTCGTCGGGATTAAGCCCAAATTTCATATCCTTTCGCAAACACGATAGTTCATTTGGTAATGCATGGAAATTCGGGGGAGCAGTACTTTGAATTTTCTGCTGTGTTTAACGTTTTTTATACGTATTTTTGAGCGAGTGAGAGAGAGACAGCGATAGAGAGAAGAGAGAAGAGAGAGAGAAATTGAGAGAGAGAGAGAGAGCGAGATAGTGAGAGAGGGACTGAGAGAGGGAGAGGGGGAAGGAGAGAGAGAGCGAGTGTGAGAGAGCGATAGTGAGAGAGAGACTGAAAGAGGGAGAGAGGGAAGGAAAGAGAGAGCGAGTGCGAGTGCGAGAGAGAGGGAGTGAGATAGAGAAAGATAGTAAGAGAGATGGAGAGAAAGAGAGAGAGACAAAGAGAAAGCGAGAGAGCATGAGAGCGATAGAAAGAGAGAGCGAGAGAGTGAGACAAAGCGATAGGGAGAGTGAGAGAGCGAGAGAGAAAGACAGAGCCAAGTGAGAGATCACGATCAATAAATTGCAGTTGCTGACGTTTTTCTTATTACTGATGTGTATTTTCAAATATTGTTTGTAAGCGCCAAGTTTAAAATTATCGTTATTCATTTATTCTTAAAAAATACAGGAAAATGGAGGCATCAGTTAGATAGGTATCGTTTGTAGTTTCCTAGCATGGACGTAGAGACGTGGAGAAGTAGAGTGGAGTATCGTGGGGTCGTTCGGTAGACGTCGAAACGACGAGGTTAGCGTGGGTGCGTACAGGAGAATTCTGAAACTTTCAATTTTTGAGGTTTTTCAGCTTTTAGGATAACTTAAATTTGAATTGAACTTCGAATTATATAGCTTCTGATTACTTCAATTACATAATATACCTTAAGTTATATTACCAGTTTTTCTAAGTTGTAATTTACTAACTATTTTATTAATTCATTTAGCCATTAAGAAATCCTATCCTATAAGCGAGAAAAGTATGTTTGTTTTCTGTAATGAAGATTTCTCGGCCGTCTGGCCGAATTTCCGGCTGATTTTTGGCATGGAGTTAGAGAAACACATTTGTCAGTGATGCATTTTTTTGTTTTGCGAAATTTCTTCATTTAACGATTTTACAACAAAAATAGTCAAAAATCCTTAACATTTTGCCCAAAAAAGGTATGTCCGGAGGTTTTCTCGGCCGCTACGAGGAGTTGGGCTCTGATTTTTGGAAAGTGAGTGGTAAAAGCAATTCTCCCGATACTATTTTTTTGGATTTTGCCAAATTCCTTAAAATAAAGTTTTTATGAGCATTTTACTAGAAGGTCCTTAACAAAATGGGCGACGAGCCGTGGTTTCCGGGGCATAACTCGAATCCCAGATGGAAATTTGGGCTGTAATTTGGTCCACTTCTGTATTCGATAGTGGGGATCACGCGCATCTTATTATTTTGACAAATTTTCGGCGCATTCAGGTTTAGAAAGTGAATTTTGTAAAGTTACCAGAAGTCCCCCTCGCGGGATGAGCCCCGCCCCCAAGCCAGAAGAGGCCTTTCCCGCCATCCATGGCCATCTCCCCGTGGTGTAGTGGATAGGCGCCCGGCCTACCAAGCGCGTGGTCCGGGTTCGAATCCACGCCAAGTTTTTGCTTTTGGTAGTTCAACAACAAAACATATTTCTATGCTCTCGGTGTGCGAGGTTTAAGCCTGACCCTCGCTCTAGCGCCGCAGGCCAAAGAAAAGGTACTTGACCCAGGCTCTCGCGCCGCAGGCCAAATCCTGGAAGAAAAAACCAGTAACTAGCGCCGCAGGCTCTGTGATTCTAACGCAACGCTGGCTCTGGCACCACAGGCCAAAGAAAAGCTCCTTGAATTACGCTTTCGCCGCCGCAGGCTAAATCCGGGCGAAAAATCAGTAGCTAGCGCCGCAGGCAAAGTTTCTAACGCGAAGCTGGCTCTGGCGGCGCAGCCCAACGAATGGTTCCTTGAGTCAGACTCTTGCACCGGCAGGCTTCAATAAAAGGAAAGGGAATTCGTGATTCCTAGACGGGGTCCAGTGGAAAAGGGCCGCGAAGCGGTCATTTTCCACTGGTTAGTAATAACATACCTTTACGATTAGGCTAAAAGTTCCTAATGCGATCTTGCGCGACAGATTCAGGGAGTTCAGCAGCAATTGGCTGGTTTTGTACAGGTTCAGGGCGTTATAGACGTTTAGACGCTGTCGACGCTCAGCTAAGCAGGTGCAGAGACGCGTTGTGAAGCAGTACGGGGGGACATAGACGGAGACGAGAAGCCGAACAGGTAGGCTTTCGAAGCGTTACAAGCTCCACTCGGGAGGTGTCACCTCCACAATCTCCGTCGGCACGTCGACGATCCTGGAAAATTGGTATGGTTATGGTTTTCATTAAATAGCTTTTTGAGTTGTAAAATCGTTCTAATACGATAGTTTAGCTAATTCTACCCTGTTTAAGCTTAAGAATGGCTCAAAAACCACGTAAATATCGCTAGACCGAATTGTTATGTATTAAAATCTAATTTTTAAATGGCAAGCTTTTCAGGATAATATGGCATTATTTTAAACAAAAATCTAAACCTCAACAAAACTTTGAAAACCAAATTTAAAACAGATTTTTTTAACCATTAAATGCATCTCAAACCGCCGAAAATCGCTAATTTTCCAAAGATGTAAATTATTAATCCAAGAAAGCTGAATTTTTCAAGCAAAAATTTATTTAATTCTCATTCACAAATTTAATTTAAAAATTATGGAAAGTATCACAATTGAAAATTTTTTAAATACAAAACAATTGTATAACCTTAGAATGAGAAGCTAGCAAGCAAAAATTTATAAGCCTTAGAGTTACCATGTATTAATAAAATTAAGAATAATATATAACTCGATCGAAACCCAATTTCATTTGGCGTAAAATGCATCAAATTAGAATTAAATTAGTTGAAACATTTTAAACCAGTTCAGCCGCCGAAAATCGTTAACTTTCAAGATCAAATATATCATATCAAAATATACTATTTAAAGCAACTTAAAATACCCAAAAAACTAAAATAAAAATAACGTACCAGTCGGTTCCGGAGCCCATTCCGGCCGAGAGTACGGTAGTTAAGGCGGTAACGGTAGTGGCGGTCCAGCACATTTCAGCGTTCAAGGCGAAGTGTGTTGGCTTAGAAGTCAGTTCAGTTCAGTGGTCGTATCCCAGAAACTTTCCGCTTATATACTTTTGCCGTCTCCTTGAATTTCCTTGCCAAAAAGTGTCCAAAATTTACCTCGAATACGCAAATTCCAGACGATCAGTCATCAAAATTACGGTTGTGTCGCGTTTTTTGGGGTGATAAGAGCCGGCGGAAGTTGGAGCGCAGCGGAATACGTATAGCTACGTATTATCGTGTTTTCTGGAGTGCCGCTGCTCGAAATATCCTTACAGTTAAGCGGGTGATAAAGACAATAGTCAAGTTGATGAAGTCAGTAAAGTACGCTCACCTTTGCGGTGCGTATAATTGTCTTGCATTTTGTAATTAATATTTAAAAAAAGTGAGTCAGTAATTTTAGAACGAAACGTATTCAAATTTAGCTTGATCTGCTAAGGTGAAGCCGAAAATCTGAAGAATTACAAAAGATTAAAAATCCCATAATTTTATCCCTTTTTAATAGCATTAATACCTTATAAATACCCATATAACAATCTAAATACCGTTTTAGCCAGAAAAAATTTAAAAAAAATTAATTTTAAACCTTTTTAACATCCAGATTTTCTAAATCACTGAATTTGTTGATTTTAGGGATCTTTAATAGCATTAATGCCTTATAAAATACCCTTTTATTAAGCCATAATACGATTTTTACCCTAGAAATTATGCTAATTAATTTTTAAAACGTTTCTTAGGTAAGAAATACGTAGAAAATGAGTACTTCTTGACCAAGTGAATCATTTGGTACGTATCACTCCTCCTGACACCTCGATCCCTACCGCATTTTCGTGCCAGCGAGCGGAGAGATAAAGAGTAACGTATTAATTTGCTTACCGCAACGACTTGACCCCCATATTCCTTTCCGAACATATCGAAACTTGGAGCGTATTGTTGCGGAATGGCTACGAGACTTTTCGGATAACAAACGCAAGCCACTGAAAAATGGTTCAGCAACGATTTGGGGTATTTTTTCAATTTGGCATCAAGAGATGAACTTAATTTTTTGTTCTTTTTGCGCATTTTTGTATTTTTTTTTGTGGCATTTGGCATCCATTCAGTTAAGTGGCGGCTTCGTCAATAGGTTGCTTCAAATATTTTAACGAACCGTTACCAGCCTGCTGCGTATTTTGTAGAACTATTATTCTATTTATTAAAAAAGCATGGTCCGCTTTTTAGCAAGGTGTTTTTGATAAATGTGTGTATTCCAAAGTCTAAAGCACGCCCGAATCGGCCTTGAAAGCACTGCATTATCCTCCTCGGGGCCATAAATTTAAAAATAAATCGTGCCGAATACAAATTCCACCAAAACAAGGATTTCTCGTGGCAAAAAGGTTGTCCAAATACAGTAAACTTTCCGCGATTCATGACATCAATAAATCTTAGAGCGGGTTACGATTCTAATCTGTTTATCAGCGTTTTTAGAAGTATACGCGCGTAACCTAGTAACGTCCAACCTACTAACTTTTCACGGGTCTCATTTCCCATTTTGGGGTGCCCGATTAGGCTGCTGCCGTCCTCCGGCTGCCCGGTCTCGCTTATCTGACCGTTTTTTGTCTGCACCTCGATTCTCTCTCCCTCTCCCTCTCCCTCTCCCTCTCTCTCTCTCACTCACTCACTCTCTCTCTCACTCCCCCCTCTCCTCCCCGTTCTCGTTCCACTAGCCTGACCAGCTCGGACTCGAGCTGGCCGGTAAAAAGTTATCTGAAACCCAAGTGGGAAATTGAGTATAAAAGGGTAGAGGATGAGTTAGAGGACAACAGTCCGCACTTTCGGCTCAAAACCAGGTTGGTATAGCTTTATGACATAATTTATATCGTTAAATTCTTTTAATTTAAAATTATGTAAAGGTAGTAAAGTTCATTTTCAACTGTAATTTGAAATCTAATTGAAAATTAAGGCTTCGCGGTCCCTTTAAGCCCCAAAATTTCATGATTTTCATTTTTAAACAGTTATTTAAGTTATAAAAAGCTCTAAGGTATTTAAAACTATACTTTTTACAACATTAATTTGTTAAAAATCCTTTTCAGAAGTCGACTTGTCCAAGATGTCGGGATTCGCGTGGGCCTCATCGGCCGGGTCTTCTTTGGCCATCCTCGTCTGTCTCTTCTACGTTCCCCATCTGATGAACCAGGTGAGGGAGAGAGACATAGCGTGAGAGAGGGAGCGAGGGAGAGAGAGCGAGAACAAGAGAGAGCGGGAGAGAGTGAGAGAGAGGGGAGAGAGAGGCGGAGAGAGAGGCGGGAGAGCGAGAGAGATAGAGAGAGAGCGAGAGAACGAGAGAACGAGAGAGACCGAGATAGAGAGAGAGTGAACAAGACCGATAGAGAGAGAGAGAGAGCGAATGAGAGGGATATCACCTAAAACCCGTATATTCCGCTCATTTCCAGGTGGACGAGATCCGCAGCACCGTGGCCGTGCGCATGGACAAGTTCCGCGTCAGCGAGCAGGGCGTCTGGGCCAAGCTCCAGGCGTCTCGCGTTGGACGTGCCCGTGTCACCCGTCAGGCATACGGCAACCAGCAGTGCCAGTGCGACTCGTTCAACCGTTGCCCGGCCGGACCTCCCGGAGAGCCCGGAATCAATGGAGAACACGGAACCCCCCGGTACCCCCGGACCCAAGGGAGTTCCCGGACTCCCTGGACGTGATGATCATCCTCATATCCCTGAGACGGTGCGTTTTTCTCGTGATTTTTTGGGTTTATGGAATGCAAATTAGGGCGGAAAGTATCGTAATTTTTCTGTTGACGCAAATAATTATCGTAGCTTTTTTCCAATTTTATTCTGGCTTGTAATATTAGGTTGTACAAAAAGTCCTGGCGGTTTTGGGCTTGGATCGCTTTATCAAGAACGGTTTCGATATCAGGGTTAATTGTAATATGTCGTTTGAAAGTACTCATCGTGCTCTACAGAACGGTTACAGTAACTTTGTCATATTACATTTTTTGAGTTTTTTAGAAGGTCTGGAAGTTAGGACAAAAAATGCCCCATTTTCTTGTTTCCTTCAAAACTTTTTTAACAGGTGGCGTAGAACCGTAATGAAGATAGCATTCAACTAAGCTCACGAAGCACTACAAAACGTATCGTAAAAGTCCCGGTTCAAAAATTATTCCGTTGAGATACGACCGTGCAAAATTCGGTTCATTTTTGAGCTTTTTTGGCTCCCCAGATCCTAATTGAACCTAATCAGCCATAAAAACGGCTCGGGATTTTGCATAAGGCCTTGGTGCAAACTTTGTAGTTGTTGGCATTCAATTTCCAATGCTTAGAAACGTAAAAAAATTATTTTCCCAAAATTCGGAAAGAGCCATGATTTGGACACCGACCAAATTTTACTCTGTTGTATCTCAACGGAATAATTTTTGAACCGGGACTTTTACGATACGTTTTGTAGTGCTTCGTGAGCTTAGTTGAATGCTATCTTCATTACGGTTCTACGCCACCTGTTAAAAAAGTTTTGAAGGAAACAAGAAAATGGGGCATTTTTTGTCCTAACTTCCAGACCTTCTAAAAAACTAAAAAAATGTAATATGACAAAGTTACTGTAATCGTTCTGTAGAGCACGATGAGTACTTTCAAACGACATATTACAATTAACCCTGATATCGAAACCGTTCTTGATAAAGCGATCCAAGCCCAAAACCGCCAGGACTTTTTGTACAACCGAATAGTAGGCTAATTAAAGCGTCCAGTACCGTAGTTTATCTTTCTTTCGAAATATCTCAGGGCCGTTTAGCCTTTTCGTGTTTCTTACACGTAATAATTTGCAAATTAGGAGCAAAATTAACGTAACATTTACTTAGCAATTTTTGTACTATCTGTGTCCTTAAAAGCTCCAAAAAAGTCGGGATGCTTTTCCAAAATTCTGCCGGATATATTTGCTCAAGAAAAATCTCAAAATCCGGCGCCGAAGGCCCTTTTTGACGTTTTTAGCTTGTATTTGCGCAGGCCTTGTTTCGAACCAGCTACGAATTTTGAAACCGATTTTTGCTTCCAAAACGTTCCGCACCAAATTTCAGGGGGGGGGGGATTTAGGAAACATTGGCTTTAAAGGGACCGGCAAGGCATGGAACCGGATTTTACTCGCTACGGATTCTCTTAGATTTTAAAAAATTAGGAAATTCATATCCAAGAAATCGGAATCAACCCTTGTCCGCGCGCTTTTAAAATCCACGACTTAAAAATCCAAATTGCCAACAATTTGCAGATTAAAAGTATCATTGTAGGATAATTAAAAACAAGATTGGAATGAATATTTAACAAGATTAAAACCCTAAAAATTAAAAATCAGCATTATGAAAAAGGGGCCGATTTTCTATTAATAATTCGTGTTATTTTCGACATCGTAAATACCTTTCGGAATTAAAAATCGGTGTTTTTGTCATAATCGCCTTCTTCGGCACGAAACATCGGTGTTTTGGCACAAGGCTTTTTCAGTATTGAAATCTGCGTCATTAAAATTATTAGACATTAAAAACGCTACGATTGCCTTCAAAACCGCACAATTCCAGACCGGTTGCCGCTCGTGCCCGCCCGGCCCCGTCGGACCCCCTGGTGCTCCCGGGTTCCCCGGCGAGCACGGAGAGCCCGGAGAGCCCGGACGTCGCGGAGAGGACTCGCAGCCCGGAGAGCCCGGTCAGCCCGGACAGCCTGGAGATGATGGACAACCCGGAGAGCCCGGACCCGACGGTGGACCCGGATCTTCTGGAGAACATGGAGTCCGAGGAACCGCTGGACCTCAGGGACCACCTGGTGCTCCTGGACAGCCTGGAAGCGATGGACAGCCTGGAGATGATGGAGCCCCTGGAGCCCCTGGCCAGCCTGGACACAATGGAGACAGTGGAAAGCCGGGAGCTCCCGGAGCCCCTGGAGCCGATGGACACCCCGGTGCTCCTGGAGGCCCTGGACATCCTGGAGGCGATGCCAACTACTGCCCTTGCCCAGCTCGCTTCAACAAACACTAAATCGTGTTTGGGTGGAGACAATAAATGGGTTTTTCAAGGTTTTGGCAGATGAAATAGAAATACACTGGAAGAGAGACATAGAGGGAGTGAGGGCGAGAAAGAGACAATATGCGAAAGTGAAAGACAAAGTGCGAGAGAGAGAGAGAGAGAGAGAGAGAGAGAGAGAGAGAGAGAGAGAGAGATGGCGGGCGAGAGAGCGATCTAGAGAGCGATAGAGAGAACGAGGGACCGTGTTGAGAGAGAGGCAGAGGGCGTGTGAGACAGAGTGCAAGAGGGAGAGAGAGTGCGAGAGAAACATAGCGCGGGAGAGAGCGAAACAGAGCTACAGAGAGAGAGAGAGAGAGAGAGAGAGAGAGAGAGACGGAGAGAGAGACAGACAGAGAGAGAGAGAGACAGAGAAAGAGCGAGAGTGGTAGAGAGGGGGAAAGAGAGAGATAAGCCTTGAAAAAACACTAATTAGTCCTGAAAAGGGGCAATGCCGCCGCAACGCGATCGCAATGCAAAAATTCGAGAAGTCAGTGTATTGTATAGTAAAGTGTGTATTTTATTGCAAATTCAGAACTTCATCGTTTATTTGTTGTACTAGGCAAAAATTGTACCAAGCTTTGAGTCTATCTGTGGTCCCTAGTATTCTTTTTGGAAGTGCGCTTCTTCAGTCCGCACCGAAGTCCATCCAGTCGGCACGTGTCTCGCTATAGGCAGAGTCTTGCGCATCGTCGGAGCCGGGTCTGGAAAATCTTCAGGCGTGCAAAATTTTATGTATGCAAGGGAGTCTCAAATCTGCTCTCACTGTAAAGTGTTTTTACTCAACTTGGAGTTTCGGTTCGGGACCAAGCGCATCTTGTGCAGAATTTTTCGCTGATTCCGAATATGTTTTCCAAATTTGCTACGGACTTTTATTTAAAAAATCATTTTTAGTAACAATTAGGCCGAAAAATGCCAAAAATTCAGACGCTGGCCCACTATTCCTTGTTTGGGGCTATGTTTCCCAGGGGCCCTGAAGTACCCTATGACAGCACGCTAGCCAGTTGGCACCATGGTGCATTGGCAAAGTACTCGCTTGCCAACCGCAGGGCGGCGGTTCGAACCCCCGCCCTGCATCATTTCTTTTGCTTTTTGCATAAAAATCTCATTTTTTATCTAAAATGCTTGTTTTGAGCTTTAGGATGCTTGTCGAGCCAACGTCTAGTCAATTTTGACGTTGAAATTAATGAAGAAAATCGAAAACTATAACGATGCCTTCATTTTGGTGAAAACTAGGGTCATAATTGCCGTATAACTTTCAGAATAACGGTCCGTAGCAAATTTGGCAAACATATTCGGAATCAGCGAAAAATTCTGTACAAGATTCACTTGGTCCCGAATCGAAACTCCAAGTTGAGTAAAAACACTTTACAGTCAGTAGTTCTTAACAACGTTACTTCGTAAAGTGGTGACCTACCCGTGGTATCGGTTCACAGACGCGATCGTCACGGGCTGCATCCGGGCTGCTGCTTCCGACACGTTGATAGCAGGAATGGCTCCTGGTTCCCTGAAATTTGTTAGGTTATCAGCAGGGTAGAAGCGTGCAAAAAGCTGAGGTAAAACGTCAGGGCAAAACAGCAGATTTTTTAAATGTTTACACGCCTGTAGAAGACGGGGAGCCGAGCACCAGTAGGCAAATTTGCTATCTGGCTATCTGCCATGTAGTGGCCTTGCCCAAGGTCTATATGTTCTATGTCCGTCACTAAGGAATTTTTAACCATGTCGAAAAACTCACTGTTCCGTACTTTCCCTCATCAAGGTGCTCGTAGATGAGGAGGAAGCAGCTCGTTGAATTGGTTGCGGAAACTCCAGCAGCTCGGGGGTCTGGGTGGCTGCATCTTGGACCTCACTGAAAACGGAAACTAACTAGTTTATAATTAAGCGCTTGTCGGCTGTATTTCCGTAAGCATGCAAGCAACGCGCGTGCCCCTTTTTACGTTGGAAAAGCCGCGCAATGTGCCGCGTCGCGGCAGCTCCGAAATATCGCCGCGGCACTATCGCAAAATACGCTATACCAGTGCCTTGCCGGTCCCTTCAAGATGCATCATTTTGGTTCAGAAGCTCTAGGAAAGTCAACACAGTAGTATATAGAATTCCGCATTCGAAGTTTGCAAATAACGCAAGCTAATAGAAAATCTACCGTTTCTCCTCCATCGACTCCATCCGATTGGTAGTACTGCCTGGGTGCTACCCCGAATGCTATGACTCGCCCCCCCGGAATTTCGGTGTAGATCATAGTGTTTGGTGACTAATCGACGAGATATACGCATATGAGGCATCAAATTTCGGCGGATTCTTGTTGTTCTCGGTAGGAAAAGTGGTCCCGGCTATGCAATTGTCGAGATAAGAGGGCCAGGGGTCGAAGAAGATCGGGCGGGAATTTGAATTTTGAGGTTGTTCTCGGTTTCCGAGTCGTTCGATGTTTGTAAGTCAAACGACCGTTTCGAAGCAGATTCAAAGTACGGTGATACCTCCAAAAACCGGAAGTCGGCAAAAATTCCGAGAAATTTAAAAAATATCGAAAGCCATTTAAAGTAAAGGGAAATTTCAATACGTTTTATCCCTTGTTTTTTTTAGATTTTAAAGCGTTTGAAACGTGACCGAGCCTTCAAAATATAAATGATGAGGGTATGGCGAAAAATTTCACCAAGATTTTTAGAAAAAACCCTGCGTTGGCATCGTGAAGAAATTCAATAAAATTTCTAATTAAAGTAACCCAAGAACTTGACGGCAGGGCAGTTATTGGATGCTTTAATGAATTCCGAATACTTGCCCCGGTGTCGCCGGGTCGATTTCCATCACCTCTGGCGCTCTCATAGCATCGGAATCCACAATACTGAGCAACTACCCTTCAGATTCCTTTATATACTCCTCTTTATCCTGATAATGCTTTGATGACACATTTTCGGGACACTTGTCGCAGAACTCTATTCGTGAATTTGGTTTTATTATTGCCAAGTCGCGATGATTCATCCCAAATTTAGAAGTGTCTTATCTTGCGGCCTGGATGCGGCCGGGCGCACAAAGTGTTCTGTGATTAGTAGGGCACGTGCTGGGTTAGAAGGTCTGCCAGCTTTTTGTCTGTACTTTGTTACTCGTTGTTTCTTTCGCGCTCTCTCGCCCTCTCTCTCTCTTTCTCTCTCTGTGTCTCTCTCTCACTCAATCGCTCGCTTTCTCTCGATCGTTTTCTCCTTCTCTCTGCCTCTCTCTCCCTCTCTCTCGCTTTCTCCATCTTCAAAGGTGGTTCGAAAGAAACCAGCCTCATATATTGCCTGGATACAACGTCCCTATGATCGCTCCCTACAAACCCCCTCCCCGCCACCCACCTGGCCCACCATCCCCTCTGATACCACCTCTCCTCCATCCCGAATTATCGCTTCTGGCCTCTGGCTATGATCAATTGTTTAGTAAATGTTCTTATCGGCTTAATCTCCGATACGTATACTAATTGTATACCAAGAGATTAACAGATTTTTGGAAATGGTTCGGTTAGCAGAAGCTTGCTTCTCGCCGGACAGCGTCGTCCCGGTCATTGCACTTACTGTCGGGAACGGCGCACACCCCACCAAGGGGGTGAACAAAACAATAAAGAAAGATCATCTGTCGATGGTTACGATTTTCAAGTAAAGCCGGCTTTTAAGAAATGACGTATACCTCCAAAGATTCCGTGCAACACCCTTTTACACTTCCCCAGGTGTACGGTACGGAAAGGCGCCGCTCTGTCCCATTAGTTCTACAAGGAAGAAGAAGAGGGCAGTAAAGAATCGCCAGAACGGGGTCCCGAATGGAACAGCTAACAGCCACGCACCATTTCACCCGAACACCATTCCGCCCCAACTGTGCACATTATATGCTCCTCCACGCGTCTGCCCGTTTTTTAGGACAGAGGAGAAAAACTTTCTTGACAATAGGCTCAAGGAACTGTGGTTTTGGGGCGAGAACGTTACGGCTGTCTTTTGAGCGCCTTTTTGGCTCGTTACCAAGAGGTTAGCAGATTTGGAAGAACTGTGAAGGTGAGGTTTTTTGAGCGAAACGAAACTGTTTGGCTTGTGATAACTGCATCATTTTATGTTCCAAATTTTCGATTTTTTTTAAGGGTTATTCAGGGGCCAATTTTCTAAAATACACAGATTAAAAACAGACTGGAAACATATTCTTAGTTACAGACTTGAATTGTCCTCGAAATAATTTTTCAACTTCAAATGTATTTATTTTCCCTTTTAAGCGTAAAAAACGCTACGCGATTGCGCTACTCTAATTTTGAATTGATGAGAAAAATAGGGTCTCGCTGGAAATCTTCCCCAGCCATGAATTCAGGTTTTTTTTTAGAATTGAGAGGCGCGAATTTTTTTTACCGATTTGAGTGTTTTTTATAGAATTGAGATTCAAATTCTTTTGAATTCAAAAAACCCAGTATCAAATTCAACTCAATTCAAAAAATTAAACACCGAATTTTTTATAGAATTGAGAAACTTGTCTTGCAAATCATGCTAGAATCATGGGTTCCTAGTCCCTTTAAAAAGCTTTAGCCCCCGAAACTCTCGGAATCAACTTTAGTCTTTAGTGGCGATCATCTAGACCCTAGAAAAGTTTTATTCATGCCCAAATTCAAGTGCCAATTGGCCACCCTAGGGGGGCAAGGCGACGCTAATCGGCTAAACTTTTGTGAAGGGCGGCCGGGAGGATCGTCTGGCACCAAGAGGGTCGATTATCTCTCTCCCTCTCTCTCTCCTCTCTATCCTCTCTCTCTCTCACTCCCTCTCTATCTCTCTCTCCGGGATAATCAAGTGTTGGTGGGTGAGACGGTAGCCCCGGGGCGGGCGAGTGACTCCATGACCTTTTCGGGGTTCAAGGAAGAGAGAGAGAGAGAGAGAGAGAGAGAGAGAGAGAGTAAAAGGTGTGAATAGGATTATCCCACCAGTTGCCCGGCTCACCGCCACCCGCCTGCCCCGGCTCCGGTCGACCCCCGGTTTCCGAATTTTCGAATCAGCCACCTGGCGTCATACTGTAGGCAAAAAATGCAAAAATCAAGGCTACAAATTACATTCCGAGAGAATACGCTTGTACATAGGCTCGGAGTGGAATCCGGAATCAAACCGTTTATTTCACCAAAATTCCATGAAATATCAATAAAATCAGGAACCCGCAACCTTCCGGCCAGGATGAATCCGACGGATATGCTTCTTCAGGTCGAAATTCCGGCAGAATCCCCTCCCACACTCCGGGCACTCGAACGGCTTCCGGTCCTCGTGGGTGTGCATGTGGAAAGCGAGGTTGTACGACTGGTGGAACGCCTGGAAACAGAGCAATTTGGAGCGTAGTGTAGTTTGTAAAGGGAACATGCCAGTGACGTTCTAGAAAATCATATTCGGTTTTAACTAGATAAATTAGATTGATAATCAGGGTATCATTAAATTAATACAGGTAAAAAGTACGCATCTTTCAATTACCTTATTGCACAAATGGCACTTGTAGCGTTTTTCCACGGAATGCGTCAATTTGTGATTTTTGTAGTTTCCGTTCTGATGAAAGCCTTTTCCGCACACTTCGCAGATGTATGGTTTTAGTCCTAGAATTACTTGATGAAAATTAGAAAGAGAGAGAGCGAGAGCGAGAGCGAGAGAGATAGAGAGGGCGAGAGAGAGAGAGAGGGAGAGAGAGAGGGAGAGAGAGAAAGAGAGACCCAAAACTCACCGTTATGAATCCGCATGTGGGTATTGAGCGTAGAAGATCGATTGAAGGACTTTCCGCACTCTTTGCACTATAAAAATCAAATTTAAATCAATAAGTTTGCAATTTTCCCATCTAGCAATTTTTAAGGTATGCAAAAACTTACAGTATGCGGCCGGAGATGGGTGTGGATAATTTTGTGGCGGCATAACGTAGAGGCTTGCCGGAAGGTTTTTCCACAGATCTGAAGCGAAAAATCACAATAAAATGGAAAAATACATTTTAAAGATAGTTTGCAGTTTTTTGTTAGAATTAAGTTTCGAAAATGAAATATAGAAAGTAGAGGGAAACTTTTGGCTAAAGACGTATAAAAAGAGTCCTTAAAGCGCAAAATTACGAGGTGTTCGGGGCAAAATCTTGACATAGTAGTACGAATTAGTACTACTGACGCACCTTGCATAAAAACGGCCGCTCTCCAGTATGCACGGGCAGATGACGAGCCAAATTATATTGAGCGGTAAAAACCTTGTCGCAATGTGGGCAGTTTATCGCTTCAACCGATGATCGTTGGGGTATGCTCTGAAAATGAATTCACACTACAGTCGAAGGAACAAAAAAATACAAGCTACAAACAGAACCTGGGCAAGACAAGACTTTGTTGAAGATACCGGAATTCATGAATTTTCTTGGGATTAACTTACCGTACTCCTGTTCCTCGTCGGCCAAGCTAATATCCTCTCAATCGAAAAGCTGAGAGATCCAGCTGGAGAATGAGAGCTGGGTGTTGAGCTGGACGATGAGGCCGGGCTCACTTGAGTTGTGAAATCTTCTGACATTTTGGAAGTCTTCTAAAAATAATCTATGGTTAAAATTTCACTAGTTAACCACGCTAGATTTACAGAAAATCATGAAAACGGTTGAGAATGATTTCGGGCTATAGGCCCAACTTTCAGAATCCCGACAAAACGGCGAGATTAAAATTACCGACAACCATAATCCCGACATGCAGCGAGCTAGGTGAGACTCGTTAGCTATTTTTATCCTATGCAGAAATTCAACATTTGCAATTCCAGGTTTAGGTGTCGACTCTTAGCTGTCGGGATTTTGGTTGTCGGGATTTTAGCGATCGGCATTTCTAATTCTCGATCGTTGGCTGTCGATATTTTTGTTGTCGGGATTACGAATTTCGGTATTATGTGACTTTTTAGATTTTATAGACACGAGGCACCTACGCTGGCTGAAGTTTCGAACAAATACGGTAACCAAAAAAGATTTGCCTAGATCAAAGGAAACTTTAAATACAATTAAAGGAGAACCGTGCACTTATAAAGCCATTTCCAGCACCATATGCAAAGTGAACAGCCATCCAGCGGCCGGTGTGGATCCAGACATTGCAGTGGGCGGAGCCTAGGGTTACGGTAATCCTATGAGGGCACGCGCCAGCCACCCAGTTGCTCCTCTTGAGAGTTGCGCGCCATTTCGAGGTCATCCAGCATCGATTTCGGATTGTCAGGACAGTCTTTTCAGGGCTGAAAAGTGAAAATAGACTTCGCCAGATAGCTGACGTCATTTGCCGAATTTCACCCCAAAAACGTCTAGTTCGGCTTTTGTCCAAGCTAACTGTACTGATTAGCGTCAAGGTTGTGATCCGTTTTCTAACTTTTTGAATTTTACACCCCTATTGGGGGTGTGCGCCGTTCCCGACGGCAAGTGCAATGCCGGGACGACGCTGTTGGGCGAGAAGCAAGCTTCTGCTAACCGAACCCTTTCCAAAAATATGTTAATCTCTTGGTATACAATTAGTATACGTATCGGAGATTAAGCCGATAAGAACATTTACTAAACAATTGATCATAGCCAGGGGCCAGAAGCGATATTTGGGGAGGGAACGCAGCGGTGATCAGGAATGGTAGTGGGCCAGGTGGGTGGCGGGGAGGGGGCTCGTAGGAAGCGATCAGAGAGACGTTGTATCCAGGCAATAATATGAGGCTGGTGTTTTTCGAACCACCTGTGAAGATCGAGAAAGCGAGAGAGAGGCAGAGAGAGGCAGAGAGAAGGAGAAAACGATCGAGAGAAAGCGAGCGATAGAGAGAGATAGAAGTGTAGATAGAGAGATAGACCTGGGGAAGTGTAAAAGGGTGTTGCACGGACTCTTAGGAGGTATATGGCATTTCCTAAAAGCCGGCTTTACTTGAAAATCGTAACCATCGACAGATGATCTTTTTTATTGTTTTGTTCACCCCGTTGTGGGGTGTGCGCCGTTCCCGACGGCAAGTGCAATGCCGGGACGACGCTGTTCGGCGAGAAGCAAGCTTCTGCTAACCGAACCATTTCCAAAAATATGTTAATCTCTTGGTATACAATTAGTATACGTATCGGAGATTAAGCCGATAAGAACATTTACTAAACAATTGATCATAGCCAGAGGCCAGAAGCGATACTCTGAATTGTCAGTGTGTGACTTTCAGTCCCGTCTGTGGGCCAGGTGGGGGGCGGGTGGAGCGGCAGAGAGGGAGCGACCGAAGGGGTATTAAAATGGCTAGAACTCAATGCATTAATGAGATGTTCTTTTGTTGTAATTTTTTTTGGATCTATTAAAATGTATTTATCTCCTAACAAAACTCAATAAAATTGCTAGAAGGCTTCTTGGCTGTCGAATCTCCACTGGAGGCTGCCCTCCATCTTGAGAAATATCGGATCCTTGCGAATTGTTCAGAATTGCCATGGGGATGTGGGTCGGCAGATCGGAGGTGATCCCGAAAAGACGGGATTTTAGGAACGGGATGCCTAAACGGATGGGTTACGGTAATTTAGTGCAAGTTTGGATTTCTCGCTGTGAGACCCACCTAATCTGAAAGGGCCAATCAGCGACTCTCTATAGACGTTGTTCAAGATCAGGGCAAAAACACGCTGAACGGGTTGTGAAAGCCGAAGAGGAGGCACGCCAGGTCGTTTAGCACTGAAAAGAATTTTCAAGGAGATTGACAAGTCGTCGCTTTGGGGTCCTATGCGGATTTCGCTGCGTGCGTGTGGCGTGTCGCCGCCGTATTCTATAGGAATGCCTTGACCCTTTCCTTAACTGCTAAATAAAAATTTTCGTGATTTCAATAATGGGCATTCTGATAACGATCCATTTATTAAACTTAAGTTCATGCTCAATTTTTTAATTAAAAGAATATCAACTATAATAATTTTGCTGTGGTGTCCGTCAGTCAGTCTGTCTGTCTGAAGCCAACTATAACTCGAAGGGGAAAGGAGCTAGAGCTTAGGTCTCTTCGGATTCGGATAGAGCATGGTCAGAAACCCCTTAAATGATCAAAACATTATAAAAAAGTTTTCGCTTAAATAAAAATAATTAACTTTTAAAGTGGGGTCTTAATAAAACGAGTGGGGGCCCTCTCCCCGGCAGGCCACGCCCCCTTCCCCCGGCCCTTTCCCAGGCCTTTTCCCGCGCCCAGATCGCTTTTTGAGTTATCTTAATACTTTTTAATACTTTTTATTTATTTTAGTTCATTATTTAAATCATTTAAAGTATCTAAATCCATCAGGAAAGTATTTAGGTAGTTTTTGAAGGAGATTTCGGCTATGGGGAGTATCTGAAGCCATCAGGAAGGTATCGAAGTCGTGTAGGTATCTAAGGGGGTTGGCTATAAGAGGTATCTGAAGCGATCGGTGTAGGTGGTGGTGTAGAACATGAATTTAGCCCGAAGGCCAGCCGATTGCAGTCGCGAAGCGGCTGTAATCGGCTGGTATTACATGAATCGATAGATTTATTATCAAACTAAGTAAAAAAATCAACGAACTTGAATTTAGATGCATTATATAGGCTTTCTAGTGTTAGAAAAGAGTCCTAAGTCCTACCCCCAGTACTCGGCAGCTGAATTTTGAAGATTATCGACATCGCCATCCAACAGCCCCACGTCGAGTAGCAGGCAATGGTTGGGTACACCTAAAAAGCTAAATGTTCAAGTTTTCATCATCCCTCAGAACAATTAAATTATTTTTAATAAATTTTTTGACAAATACATTTAAATTCGTTGATTAATCAATTTAATGACCAATTTTTTAATTATGCTTTTCAAAATGTCGACATTACGAAACTTCGAAATGCTGGCCTTCGACGTCATGCGATTTCGATATTTTCAAATTCTTTTATTAGGCCATTTTGAGACTTGCTATTTTTTTTGCTACTTGACGTTGCGAAAAGCGGAAATTCTCAATTTCGAGAAACTAGGAATAAAAAACCTCGATGCACCTTTCTCGAAGAATTCAAAAAAAATACAAAAAATCATCTATTTTCTTTGATATTTGAAAAATTTGAATTACCTGAATAAATAGCGCTATCATAATGCGAGATACATTTACGGTAGAGGCCATGGTCGACGTCTGATGGCGAAAAAGAGCGAAAAACATGGTGCCGAAGCCGGCGATCGAACACACCGAGATCCACCAGCCGTTTATTGTCAGGATGCCGTACTGTAAGAATGATATTAATGATAAAATATCGTAATAACAAAAATAAAGATGGAACAAGAACAATAAAAAAATGTTTGAAATAATAAAAATAACCTGTAGGTATCCCCAGCCCCCTTGTTGCATGTAGATACGATCGGCGTATTTCTGGAGACTCGCGTATTCGGGGTGCGCCTGAATGAGCATTTTGAGGAGACGAAGCAAAAAGCTATGCCTAAAAAACCGACCATTGAGATACCGGCGAGCCAAAATCCTCAACCCAAAATCGCGGTAGCTAAAATGCCGAAAGCCAAAATCCCGACAGTTTAACGGCCGGGGTATCCAAGTATCGAGAGGTAAAATGCCGACAGTTCTGTGACTGGTGCACAAAAATGCCGACACGCAATCAATAGAAAACGGCTACAATGTGGAAATTGTCAAGATCGATGTCGGCATTTTTAACACTTGTCGGCATTTTAGGTAGCCGGCCCCAGAACTGTCCGTATTATAACTCTCGATGCTTTGATTCATCGGCCGTTAAGTAGTCGGCATTTTGGCTTTCGGTATTTTCAGTTGAGTTTCCGGAGAAATTAATTTTCTAGGGACCAGCAATTGAAGTTTACAAACCAGAACAAAAGCATGCCCCTCGGCCATCCCATCATTGCCCCAGGCCATGAAGAATTGGATGATGAAATTTGGCATCACGTTGAGGAGGTACATCATCACGAACAAACGATTTAACTAAACATCAGTAGCTTGTATCAATACGCCTTTTTCGATTGCTACGATTGAAATAAAAAACAAAGTATGCTAATTACCTGGACCTTCTCCAACTTCCAGGGAGATTCGTACGGTAGAACAGAGTTTGCGCGAAATATGATGAGATGCGCCACCGTGCAAGTATGAGCTTGGACGAGAAACAGCCCGATAGATTGCTGAAAATCGAGAGATATTGGGGCCGGTTTGGCTACGGTTTACTTTACCCGCCCCCCAGCCCGAAGTTTTTGGCTAAAACTTTGTATTTTACCTTATTGTAGGCTCAGATGAAAGTAAGTAAAGTAAAGTAAAGGTTCAGTAAGTAAACTCTTACCGCCGGTTTAGGCATTATTTAGGTGGATATTTCAGTATGTTTATCATAATTCAAACCTGTATATGAATATCGAGGTGAAAAAGGTTTGTGAGTAGCCCGTGGGCTGATCCCATGATATACGGTGTGTACATACGAGGGCAGAAAAGCAATGTCCATGCCGTCTCATGAATCAGACCGATCACCTAGATTATACTACAGGGTGTCGCAGAAAAGCGTAAAAATTCTTAAATTGCGATTTTTGTAAAAAAAAACCCTGGTCAGAAAAACATCAGAAAATCCGCCCGTTTTGCAAAAACATTCGTAACTGTTAGAGAAATTTCAAAAATATGAAAATCGAAGAGAAGTGCTTGACTCGACTTTCCGAGAGCTTTCGATAGATACCTAAATCCTAAAAATTGAACAGGTCTGCGGCCGGCTAGGGGGGGGGGGGGATTTTTTTGGGACACCCTGTACATCGCTTTATTCGACTTAATGATACGTCATGATACTTACTTTCAATAGGATTAATTTATTTTGCCTGAGGACGACCATTTGCTAAAAATTCGGAAAGAATTACCAAATGACACATGAGGCAAAAAGAGTAGTCCTGCATCTCGGGCGGTGTCTTACGGTACACGATGATGATGCCAGTCAGGTTGATGATGAACACGATTGGACCTAAAAAAATACGAAAGGCTGCCTGGCGAGGGTGACTGACTGACTGGAATTGTAAGAAATCTTTTTTCCACAGACCAGCTTTTACAATTTTTAATATCATAGGTAAGCGTTTCTAAACTGAACTTCGCCATCCTGGATTTCAAACAGGAAAATTTTTATTGCAAACAATACAACAAAAAAATTTTTTGGCCACGATTTCGGCATTTTTCCTTTTCAAATAACCATGAATTTCAAATAACCTAAAAACTCGATTTTCATTTTCTTAGCATTACGACATGTATGTTATGCCAATTTTCCCCGAATCGATTTCCCCCTCACAACGGCCCGGCTCCTAATAAAACGTCCGGTAGCTTTGGAAAGGAGTGAAGACCGCAACGCGTGCGATAGACGCGTCGCGCAATTGCGAAAGCAGGCCTGCGCAGCTAAAAACCGGTTGCTATTCCGCGCACCCGCACGCAACGCGCGAAAAACACGCACAGTACGCCCTTTCCCTTGAACCATCTGGACCGAACCCATGGGGCGGTTGTGCCTTAATATGTTCTTGTTTTTCTTCAATATTCTGCGTTTTTATGCAGCTAAACTAATTAGAGCTACTTTTAAGCAATAGATAACTTTTTTGCATCCATAGGTTTTTGTTTTTTGGTCCATTTTAACAAGCAAATTTTGGCTTTCTAGGCCTTTAAAGCTCCAAGCCCATCACCGACCAGCAATTTTATAGATGGTAATAACATCAAAGTAAGGGTTTTCGAAGATATCGATCAAACTGCCGTTCATTCATCGAAATATCGAGGGAGTAGGAAGAGAAAGACGCCGAAGAAGTGAAGGCTTTATGGTTTCGGGAAAGAAGAAGCCGGTAGAAAACACCTGCCACTTCAACCGGTACCGCCGGCGGGCCCTGCGTGATTAGTTTCAAAACGGAATCCAGCCGGCCGGTAGACGTGCCAAACCATCAAAACGGGGCTTCATTCAGGCGGTTGAGATCGGAATCCGGCCTATTTACAGGCTAGGTATCGAGTATCGACCCTGGCCAATTAGAGAGAGAGCGAGAGAGAGAGAGAGAGAGAGAGAGAGAGAGAGAGAGAGAGAGAGAGAGAGAGAGAGTCAGAAGAGCGAGCGACACAGCGCTCGCTCTTCATCACAAACAACAAATCAAACAAAAAAACAACAAACAACATCAAAAAAACAACGGAGGGTTCCGGAAATTGCACTAGAATTTATGTCTAGGCGCTTTTTCACGTCGTCCGAAGGCCAAGGAACTTGCGAGGTCGCGTTTCGGCCGTATCTGGCTATTTGCCAGGATTCACTGACTAGACCAGATCCTGACAGCCAAAATCCCGAAATCTAAAACTCGACAGCTAAAATCCCGACGGCCAACGTATCGACAACCATAATTTCGACATGCAAAAATAAACTGTTTAAAAAATTAAGCTTATTTAAAAAATCAAGAGGATGTCGGGATTTTCGTTATCGGGCTGTTATAAGGCTGTTGGGATTATAGCGGGTAGTCCTGACAAATACCAATTGAGGCAAAAATTTTATACCGTCTCCTTCGTCTGTAACTGTTTTGTATTCTTTTTTTCCGGCCCTATCGTATACAAATTTCATCAGTGGCGCTTGAGCTTTACCGTGTGGCAAACAACCATATTTTTTTTTCCTCGGGGAGCAGGTGGTGTTTGTATTCTGCAAGTAGGTCTACATAGCGTTTTCAGGTGTTTGGGCGGTTTTTATCTAAGGGTCATGCGACGAAGTTCGAAAGGTCGCATTGAGGATCGACGGTTCAGAGCTGCATTATAGGGCTGGACGACAGTGGAGAGGCTTTTACTACGGCGCTCTGCCATTACTCGTTTCGTGTCGGCAGCTGAAACGGAACTTGTGAAAACGAGCGAGACAGCGAGAGAAAAACGGTGAGAGAGTGCGAGATAGAGAGAGAGAACGAAGGAGGGACAGAGGGAGAGAGAATGAGAGCGAGAGCGCGAGAGAGAGCTAGCGAGAGAGAGCGAGCGAGTGAGTGATTGAGTGAGAGAGAGGGAGAGAAGGTGAGAGAGAGGAGGAAGGAGGGAGGGAGAGAGAATGAGATCGAGGGAGCGAGAGAGCGAGAGCGAGAGTGAGAGAGATGAGAGAGCGATAGAGATAGAGAGAGACAGAGAGAGAGACAGAGAGAGAGACAGAGAGAGAGAGAGAGAGAGAGAGAGAGAGAGAAAGCGAACCAGAGAAAGAGAAGGATCAACTTACCAAGCACAAAAGGCGACAGAAGATATTCTCGATATGCCCCATTAAGTGTCAGGGCGAAAACGACGCTCAGTGGGTTGTGAAAGCCAAAGAGCAAGCAGCTCAGATCGCTTATCACTAAAAGGTATGCTAAAAAGTACCTTAAAATTATAATCTACCGCCATTGTAAGGTGTGACAATATCAAAACCGATCGACAAACAAATCCACGAGCCGGCTGTCGAATAACAGAGAAGTGTAGGGGAAATCTGAGCGTGAAAACGGTAGGTGTGCATAAATACAGGGTGTCCAAAAAAAACCCCCTCGGCATTTGGCCGTCTTCTATCGGATCGGGACCAAATTTTTACCAGTGATGGGGACCCATAAAAACTATGTGCAGCCAAATTTTCTAAGCAAAATATTGTAAAACTAAAAAGTTATCGCTAAAAAACTGATTTTTGGAAAACGCTGGTACTCGTTTTTGGCTATGTTTTCGCAATTCGCATGCCGATCTTGAGTAATTTTCAAAAAAAAATGGTCATTTCTCGGTCAGTTTCTGGCAATTTCGATAATAAAAAGTGATCAAAAGCTCCAATTTAAACGTAATTTTCGTAAATCAAAAAATTTCTACAGGTAGAAAAGAGTGCCCTCTTCATTTTTGCTAAACATTCGAGGCCGAAATCCGTCAAAATCCTAGTGAAATCGGCCAAATAAACCTTAATTTTTATATATCTGCTTTGTTTTACAATATTTTGCTTAGAAAATTCGGCTGGGCATACTTTTTATGGGTCCCCATCACTGGTAAAAATTTGGTCCTGATTGGATGGAAGACGGCCAATTGCCGAGGGGGTTTTTTTTGGGACACCCTGTAGATCATAAATTTGGAAAACAAAATATTACGGTACCTGTGCGACAAGTGAAAACAAGATCCGCTTCGTCTTCAGCTGCGACTGTTTGGATTTATTGGCATGCGAGCACAGGGTCCACAGAATTGAGCAAAAACCGACGCAGGAGAGGTAGCTGAGAAGGGAGCCCGTGATGGTTAGCGTCCAGAACTGGAATTGAAAGTTAAAAGCATTCAGGTTGCGTTTTTAAGTTATTTTGATTATTCTTAAATGCAAAAACTTTACACATTTGCTTCAAAGAATTGCACAAGAGTGGGTTTTCGACCAAAAATCACAGATTTTTGACCAAAAGTTCGGATTGTGAAGATTTTTAAGTGCTTTAGATAATTCTTGCCTTAAAATACAGTGAAATCTTCCGAAAAAGTCTTATCAAAACATATAAAACCAGCGCCCAAAACCCGCTTCGCGGGCCTTGGGCGCTGGAATGCGGCCCTTGCATGAGAAATTGACTTTCCGATAGCTTGGGTCCTTCGCCCCCCCCCCCCCCCTGAACCGACCACACACGCGAGCGCAACTTGCAAGAATGAGGAAATTTCTATTTTTCATATTATGATGCAAATTAGCCTTCAGGGACCCCAAAAATGAATAAAACCGGCTTTAACTTTGTAAACTTGTATTTTATCGTAATTCTAAGAACGCCATCGGAAACAGAAGGGTCGATTCCCCCTGGTGACGAAGAATTGGGGCGTTTTGGGCACGGGAAGGCGCTCAAATCGGGCCTCGAAACTGACATCCACACACACACACAAAGATACGCGCCAAAATTATATAAGGTAGGATATTTCGTTACTAAGCATTTCCAGACTCAGACAAAAACGGTTTCCCCCTGATAACCCCCCCCCCCCCGATAATGCAAAAGCACTGAAAAATTGTAGTACATTTTTCTTACCATGACGGCACCCCATTCCATGCCGTCCACCGAATACATTGAATTATAGGCGAGCTGAAGCGTAGGGAACCCCGGGTTTTTCTATAAAATTTGCTAAAAATTAGTCAACCCACCAGCTTACCACTACAGCATCTTTTCCGGCCGCCATCCCATCGTTGTTCATCTTCAGCCCAGCCTCGCCAATCATTATAAACAATGGGGAGACAATGTAGAGAGATGCTATCAAGATTTTCAACTGAAATTGCTTATCTTACTATTAATAAACTTTTCTGCATAAATAAATTTAAATAAGAAATTCACAACATTTTCTGGTACCATTTCGATTTACAAAAGCTAAAAAAGTACACAGTGAATCCATAATTAATGTCTAAGGTTAGTTAAAATATCAATATAAAATTGATAAAAATAACACTAAATTAGTAATTCTCATAAGCCATACCCTCGCTTTGTTGAGTTTTAATGGATGGCTGGGTGGTAGGACGGAATTCGCACGAAATAGAATCAGATGAGCCACCGTGCACGTCATTACAAAAATCATTATCATGCCGAAGGTTTGCTAAAATTCTCGTGTAGTTTGAACACACAGAATTATCCCGAAAACTGTGTTAAAGCAGCAGGTAACGCGCGCTTACCTGATAAAATACGTCGACCTGAAGGTATACAGTTAATAATCCATGTGTAGAGCCCATAAATTGCGGAAGATACAAGCGAGGACACACCAGAATTGTCCATACGGTCTCGTGCACCATTCCAAGCACCTGGAATTTGTATGTGGTACGTTATTATAGCGTCATTATCAAGATTGTGTATGATGGGTTAAATGATAGTATTTTCCCGTACCAAATGGCATTGCAGACAAAACGAATAGTCGCGCATTCGGGGCGGTGTCTGCGTGTGCACGACGTAGATTCCAAAAATATTCGTTATCATAACGATTGGGCCTGAAACTATCAAATTTTCTGGAAATTATAAAGTTTAATTAATCGGGCACAGTTCGCAGCATTTCAGAGTGCGCAGGAGCTTTAAAAAGCTATAAAATACGCTCCCGCTACTGCGCTATATAAAATTTTCCTTCGAATACGGCCAGGGGAAAAGCCCGAGACAGCTGTGCGAAAAAGAGAAAATTCATTTTCTTTCAGGAAAACGAAGAAAACGCGCAGCGTCGGCTCGTACTATGTAATTATGGGTAGCAACAAGTGAGGCGAAACGTTACGCTCCTCTACGCAACGTTACGTACCAATAATTTTGTATATCGTCAAAATATTAAAGTACGGATTAGCATAAAAGTCGATAGTCGAAATATTAGTCCCCGCCATCTGCTGAATGTGTACAAAATTTTTAGAGTTATCCTGTGAGCAGATTTCTGAGGGTCCACGCCGGAAAAATTTTTGATTTTCGCTAGGCAGGTGGTATTTGTGCTAGGCAGACTTGTTCAGCTGCCTGCGCTCAATGCGAGGCTTAAGCTTGGCGATGGCCTTTGAGTCCTAAAGTACAACGCGCTATAACTGTAAATCCACTAATAAAAATGACAAAACTTGATAAAAATGCCATTTTAAAGCAGAATAGTTTCATTTCGCGCTTACAAATTTTTGCCGCGCACACTGCACGTGGTAAAGCGGCTTTAATCACTTCCGCAACGCAAGCTGCCACCTTGAACATTGAGCGTTGCGTGTCGCGAACCTCCGAATTCGAATGATTGTTTAGATATTTTAACGAAAAGAGCCGGCACAACTATAACAACGGTTTTCAACAGTAACAATTTATTCGGCCCAACAAAGTAATAACAACGTTTCAACAACAAGGCTTATATTAACAAATTGTATAATAAATATCGCGGTAATAGTTTCATGCTTCGTGCTCGACATCCCATCACCCAATCCGCATCCGCGCCCTAAGCGCCGTAAGCTCTTCCATCAGCATCTTGATCTTCGAGGCTTGCTATAAAAAAGAAAGTAGACGCGGAAAATGTGGGAGACCTGGTCGTTTTCCTGCTTCAGGCGACGATTTTCGGCATTCCGCGTCTCCGAGATGGTTTCCTGAAATGGAACGTATTATGTATACTAGTAAAATAGTGATAAAATATAGCTGTAAAAATGCATACCAGGAGTGCGATGTTGGCTTGCATGCGGGCCATGTCAGATTTCGTCTCTCTCATGGCGGAGCGCGTTCTGACCATGTCGGAGTCGATCTTGGCCAGCTCCAACTTCGTAGCCATCTATAAAAAGTGAATTTGATTGCCGTAAATCTATTACAATCGTCTCCTCGACGCGTTTGTCCAGACTGCCGTCAGTTTCGCTTTCCAGAGCTGTCTCGATGCGCGGTTGTACAACAGCTACTCTGGGCGGTGACTCTGATCGGATCGTCACAACGTCTACTCCATCTGCCTCGTCCTGACTTCCTTTGACCTTCTTCTTCTCGACTCGTCTCGTCTCTTCGAATGGATTGCGACCTAAACAGCGTTTAATATCGTAATAAACGCTTGAATATACCCGTTTGAACATCTACAGCGCCCTGATGATCGATTCGCTCCTCAATGCCCTTGCGATGTCCATTGCGTAAGTCGTTATCTAAGGAAAATAATTACGGAATGAAATCTGGTGATAAAATATAGTGTATCTTTATAGTCATCTTTGCAGTTTTTTCATTGCCAAGAAAATCGCAACTAGATTTAAAAAGTTTGTATTTTTTCATCATTTTCCAAACATGTAAGCTTAGTGTCAAATGCTATAAAAAGGCCTATATTTGCTAAAGGATCGTAGGGGAGTACGGGACGAATTTAAGCTCCTCCGCTAAAGATCTCAGCAACAATACGGCACTTTCCCATGAAAAATAGGTTAGTACGTTAAAAAGCAACTAATTGAAGGCTTTGCAGTACCTGGCAGCTCTTGTTTAATTTCGCGTTGGACATCGGTCTGCGTGGCAAAAGTAGATTTCTCTTTGGATCGTGGCGGAAGATCCCTGGACATCACTTGCCTGACCAAGATCGCGCCTAAACAGAATGATTAGGAATTCTGACTACGATCGTGAATTTTACTGAAATAGGATTTTGAAACTAAATAAAAGCTGCAACGGGCAAGCTTTCGAAAATACAAAACGGGTCGAAGCAAACCCAAATTTCAGCGTGGGCCGCGGTCGAAAATTCGGGATCTTTTTTTTTGTTAAATTGGGGAAATATAAAGGACCAAATCTTTGAAAAATCGGTGCCATATTCCCAGCAGTATACGCTACAGTTTCCGGCGTTGTCTGCACGTTTAGCCCATCGAGATGCACAAAAAGACCTACGTCCTCTAGAAAAGCATAAATAAATGCCGGGAAATATTTAAAGAAAAAAAAACCGAAACATCTAAATTAAAAAAACGTTAAGCCCCGAAAAAATAGCTGAAGAAGCCCGAAAAAATCGCTGAAGAACTTTGGCATTATCGGGGAGACCGACTTCCTAAGCGTCCATTTTTCCAATGGAAATTCCATGCTTCGAACATTTTTTACTATTCGTAACCTTCAACTGTATAAATTTTTATTAAAAAATTCTAGTTTTCTGCCAAAAATAGCCGATTTTGGTTCAAAACTACAGAATTAGGAAGGAAAACAAAAGTTCTGCACTTGAATTTAGTGGAATCATACTAAAATACTATTATAACACGACTTACGATTATGTTACTAGTAATTTCTGGCAAATCGGGTCCCGGATAATGCGAAAGAACCTATGGCTCGATCAATTTAGATGGTGAAAAACAAATCCGTGTAAATTCCGCAACCCGTTGCAGATTATTAGCCAAATTGACTCCCGAGACAATCAGGAAAACGGCTGATTTGAGCACGCGCTTTCTCGGCCCGGAACTGGCAGATTTTATCAAACACGCGCTTTCTCCAAAAAATAGAAGAGCCGAAATCCGCGTATCTGATTCATCACATGAGTTCACCTGCTAGCTGCTGTGCGATACGGAATTCAGCCACGAGAAAATCAAAGATGATCCCAGTATAGATATCCCCGCATCGGACTGATTTTGCGAACCACTCGAAGGGGTGCAACCGCGGATCACACAAGTTTTACAAAATCACCAACGATGGCGACAAACAAGCGGCTAAATAACCGGCGCAATCAGAACAAGCTTGTTTTTTTTGCAAACAACAGTTTATTTAAGATAAAAGTATTCAACAGTTTAAAACTAGAAATTAAATCTAACAACAAATTCCTCAAAAATGCTCGGTTGCTTGTTGTGCTCCTCCTCCATCAGGGAACGCCCAGTTCCTCCTTCAGAACGGCATTCTCCCGTCGAAGAATTCGATTCTCCATGGCCAACTATCAGAAAAAAATTTATAAACGGTAGAAATAAAGTACCTGGTCTTTCTCGGCCTTCAGGCGGTTGATTTCCGCACGGCTTTCGGCGTTTTGGACCTCGGCGAGTTGTTTCTATAATGAAACCAATACCTAGGTCAAATGCCGAGCTACGAATTATTAAGCATGCCAACCACGAATTGGGACCGGACTAGTGGTGCTTCTGAGAAAGCTCAGCTAAGCCTAAGCCTGAGATTGGATTCGTAAAAAACAAGCCATGCAGAGCTGAGTCAAAGTTACGCTTTTTTTAGAGCTAAGCCCTACATAACGCTTGTATAGCTTCTAAGGCAATTCAAAGCTTAGATAAGCCAAGCATGGGCATAAGCGGAAGTATTTATATTAACTAAGCTTAGGGAAAGCTAAGTAAGCCTGGGCCTAAGCTAAAGCTAAGTAGGTTACGCGGAGGGTCCCGTAGTCTCTGACTCCCTTGCGTATAACTCGGACACTCCACTGCCCCCCCTCCCCCCACCCCAAGTGGATAAGCACGAAAATTTTGATTCTAGTGCGGCTAAAATCCGCTGAAATCCATACCACGAATGCGATGTCGGTGCCGATGCCGTGCACGTTGGAGTGTTGCTCATCCATGGAGGCGCGCATTTTGGCCATTTCGGCTTTCGTCTTCGCAAATTTCCCTTCAACCGTCATCTAGAAGCGAATCCGGTCCGAATTATTAGTATACCAAGGCGTCCTCCAAGCGAGTATCCGGGCGCGCGTTCGCTTTTTCGGCTGGTCTGTTGTTGTTGTCCCCGAGCTCGACGAGATTTTGCTCTAAAAATGAATATTACAATAAACATTTGAACGTACCAATCGGGAGATTTTGCTTCACATGCTGCTCGATCGGGATCGCGGCTTCCACGACGCCCACGCCCACGTCAATTTCTAAAATCAAATGAAAAAAAATTCAAATTCAGAGTTTTCAACCAAAGAATTTGCAGCACGTACCGGGCACCTCTTGCTTGACGTCGCGTTGAGGAAGCGTTGGAGCAGCATGTTTCTTCTTGGATTGTGGCTCGGCGATTGGCTCCCATTCGTGTTTGATCAAGGGAGTAGCTGAAAAGCACATTATTATTGGAATCAAGAGGTAAATTTTATAGCTTAATTAAAACGAACTAAATTTAGCTGCTGGGAAAGAGCATACCAGGAATCGAAGGTGGAGCTTCCGTCCTCGTGGGCACATTTTCTTTCTCGTCAGATGCCAGGAGACCAGCAACTTGTCGATTGTCTTGTTGATGATCATCCTCTATAAAAACGCTGCTGAAAAACCGGGGAAAATTCTTACCGTGATCGAAATCATCTTGAATCCCTGATACAGATCTTTGACCCTCAATGTATTTAGTAATTGCCGCTGAGTGTCCGGGAAAATTGGCATTTGTCTTCGCCTCGAGTGCATCAAAGTATTCAGCAGTGCTAAAGTTCTCGGTCAAAGTCAATCAGTGGAAATACCGATTATCGAAGATTTGGCCAGACCCCTGATGTTTGGCATTCAGATGTCTCTTCAAAACCATTTTCAGCTTCGCAGTGAAAGGACAAACTGGAAATAGGTTTATTCGAAAAATTGGAAATACCGCTACAATCGTAGGGCTGGAAGGGGATGTGCGTCGTAGAGTGCTGGGCGAGCAAGTAAGCATCATTTCTGCACATCGCACTGTTGCACTCCTGGAACAAAATCTTAAAATAGCAAGGCTTCGCCGTTAAACTTGTGGTCGTGACTACATAGAAACACACAACAAAAAGGTTTGATTACGTACCCTACAAATCGCCTTCGTTCCATCATCTTCTTGCTGCTCCCGAGGCGTCTGATTGCCGTCAGCCGGCAATCGGCGCTTCATCGGGCCGCCTTTTCCAGGCGTCATTGGTGTCATGCTAACCTGAAAAGGTAAATATCACGAAGTCGGCGCACTGTATATATCCTACTATATATAAAAAAATAGTGTGTGTGTGTGTGTGTAACTTTGCATGCAACTTCCGTCAGTATGTTCCAGACGTATCTCGATCGGGGATGGGTTTTAGAGTATGTTTGACACGTCATTAGATGCGTAATGATTTCGGGACGACTGCACACAGTTCAAAAACGCGAAAAATTGCCATTTTCGATATTAAAATCAAGATTTTGTAAAAATTTCGGTCTCCCTCTTTGGTAGGAACAATAGGCTTATTTTTCATTTTTTTGGCATGGTGGTTCGAGAGAATTATGCAAATTGAGAACTTTCATCGGATGAGGCGAGGCCAGGGTTGAAAAGTCGCGAAGCGGCTTTTCAACCCTGGTCGAAGATATTTTTGAAAGCCAAAATGCAAAAGGAAAACTTCGGATTCAAATTTCCGATACCATCCAGCTAACAAAGACACTAATCTACGCTCCGTTCAGTGCTGGCCCCGATAATTGTACATTTTAAATTCCGCCAACCGGCTTTGTTTCTCTGCGCCTAAACTACGGTAACATTTTATAGTCGATCCTCATGCCGTCGATACGAGACTGAAGACTTGAGCAATTTGAATGTGGTAAATACTTCTACTGGCCAAGAACCGTCATAAAACGCAACATCGGTTTTCAACAGCAACAATTTATTCGGCTCAACAAAGTAATAACAATGCTTGAACAACAAGAATTCTATTAAAAAATGCAAAATAAATATCGCGATAAATATTGTTTGTTTCATGCGTCGTGCTCGGCATCCGCACTACCATCAGTCAGTGCGCATCCGAGCCCTCAGCGCCGCACGCTCTTCCATCAGCATCTTGATCTTCGAGGCTTGCTATAAAAAAGAAAGTAAGTAGACGCGGAAAATGTGGGATACCTGGTCGTTTTCCTGCTTCAGGCGACGATTTTCGGCATTCCGCGCCTCCGAGATGGTTTCCTGAAATGGAACGTATTATTTATACTAGTAAAACAGTAATAAAATAAAGCAATAAAAATGCATACCAGGAGTGCGATGTTGGCTTGCATGCGGGCCATGTCAGATTTCGTCTCTCTCATGGCGGAGCGCGTTCTGACCATGTCGGAGTCGATCTTGGCCAGCTACAACTTCGTAGCCATCTATAAAAAGTGAATTTGATTGCCGTAAATCTATTACAATCGTCTCCTCGACGCGTTTGTCCAGACTGCCGTCAGTTTCGCTTTCCAGAGCTGTCTCGATGCGCCGTTGTACAACAGCTACTCTGGGCGGTGACGCTGATCGGATCGTCACAACGTCTACTCCATCTGCCTCGTCCTGACTTCGTTTGACCGTCTTCTTCTCGACTCGTCTCGTCTCTTCGAATGGATTGCGACCTAAACAGCGTTTAATATCGTAATAAACGCTTGAATATACCCGTTTGAACATCTAAAGCGCCATGATTCAGATTTGCTCCTCAATGCCCTTGCGATGTCCATTGCGTACGTCGTTTTCTAAGGAAAAACGTTGGAATAGAATCTGGTAAAAGTATATAGTGTATCTTCATAGTCATCATCGCAGTTTTTTTTCATTGCTAGGAAAATCCCAACCAGATTTAAAAAGTTTGTATTTTTTCGTAATTTTTCAAACAACTTTGCGCAAAGTCAAACATGTAAGCTTAGTGTCAAATGCTATAAAAAGCTATAATGCTATCAAATGCTATATTTGCTAAAGGATCGTAGGGGAGTACGCGACGAATTTAGCCTCCCCCGCTAAAGATCTCAGCAACAATACGGCACTTGCCCAGGGAAAATGCATAGGTTATAAATAGGTTAGTACGTTAAAAAGCAACTAATTGAAGGCTTTGCAGTACCTGGTAGCTCTTGTTTAATTTCGCGTTGGACACCGGCCGGCATGACAAAAGTCGATTTCTCTTTGGATCGTGGCGGAAGATCGCTGGACATCACTTGCCTAAGAATGGTTAGGGATTCTGACTACGATAGTGAATTTGACTTAAATAAGATTTTGAAACTAAATAAAAGCTGCAAAGGGCAAGATGTTGTGAATAGAAAACGGGTCGAAGCAAACGCAAATTTTTAGCCTCGGGAGCCTTTTTTTGTTGAATCGGAGAAAGATAACGGGCCAAATCTTTGAAAATCGGTGGCACAGTCCCAGCAGTATACGCTACAATTTCCGGCGTTGACTGCACGTTTCGCCCAAAGTCAAAATTCTCGCAGGTTCAGCGAGATCAACAATCCTTTGTCTCGCCAATAACTTTCCGAACATTCAAACGATGGCGACAAGCAAGCGGGTAGATAACCGGCACAATTAGAACAAACGCATTTTGGGCAGATAACTATTTATTCAGTCAAAATTCTTCGAAATAACAATTTCAAACACATGCAACAAATGCATGAACAATTCGCGGCGCTGCTCCTCCATCAGCCGAGGCCCAGTTCGCGCTTCAGACCGGCAATTTCGTGCTGCAGGAGCCGAATCAGCAAGGCCATCTAAAAGAAGAATTTTTATAAAAATAGAAACCCAAAACCTGGTCTTTCTCGCTCTCGAGGCGGGAATTTTCGGCATCGCGCGCTTCGATGTCCTGCTTCAGCCGGTCGTTTTCGGCACGGCTGTCGGTATCGCTTGTTTTGATTTCCTGCTTCAGCCGGTCGTTTTCGGCATCGCGAGCTTGGATTTCGTGCTTCAGCCGGTGATTTTCGGCATCTCGCGTCTCCGAGAGGGTTTCCTGTAATCGAACGTATTTCGTATACATTTGTAATCCATAATAAAGAAAGATATAAAAATCCATACCAGGAATGTCACCTTGGCTCCCATGCGGGACACGTCCAATTTCGCCTTCTCGATGCCGGCGTCCAGTTCGGCGAAGTCCAACATCTAGAAAAAAAATAGAATTGACGTAAATATGCTACCGTCGTTTTTTCCACTCTATTATCATTATGGATATTCGGAACGGGTTCGCTGGCCGAGTGTACATCAGCTAGATTGGGCGATTGGTGGGAGACGATAGAAGTCGTATGAAGTATCGGAGACCTTGGTGGAATCCTGACGGCCGGCTTTTTTCGACTGGATCTAAACGGAGATTTAATATAATAATACACGCTTGAATATACCAGTTTCAACATCTACAGCAAGATGCTGATCGAATGGATCCTCAATGCGCTCGCCCTCTCCATTGCGCATGTTCTTTTCTAAATGAAATCATCCTTCGATTTAGCGGAAGCGCTTCCGGCAATTTCCAAAGTAATCTCAAGTAATAAGTTTGTAGGTTAAACCCAACTAATTGAAAAATTAAGTACCTAGTGGCTCCTGCATAATTTCGCGTCGAATATCCGGCAGCGTTCGATCAGCCCGTTTCTCGATGGATGGCGGTGGAAGATCGTTAGACATCACTTCCTGCTTGATGACGGACGTACCTGAACAAATCCCGAAATTAATTAAGATCTTGAGCGGAAAAAATACTGAAAAAGGATGCTGCTGAGAAAGGAACATACCTGATACAACTTCTGGCATCGTCTGCACGTTTTCCCGGATGTCGAGGCTTTCATGGTCAGAAGCTGGGAGATGAACAATTGGTGGATTGTCATCTTCTAAAAAACTAGGTAGAGAATCCAGCGAAACAAAGCGTACCTTCATCGGATCCATCCTGAATCCTCAAGGTCTTCTTTTGGCCTCCAAAGTAGATGGCGATAGCTTCTGAGTGATCCGGAAAGTTGGCCTTTGTCAGCGCTTCGAGCGCATCGAAGTATCGCGCAGTGCTAAAATTCGGGGTCAAAGTCAAGCAGTTTATATACCGATTATCTATCACTCGGCCCGTTCCTTGATGTAGGTGCTTCAGATGCATCTTTGCATTCCGTGGGCACTTGCCGGTATAGGCGCAAACTGGAAATTGGTGTATTCGAAACATCAGAAACCAGCCGATTACAGCCGCTTCGCGACTGCAATCGGCTGGACTTCGGGCTACCCTCCATATTCTACACCACCACATTTCATCCCCACCTTACGCTGATGCCTTCCCGGCAATACCTACACTGATGGCTTCAGATATCTCCTCTAGCCAACCCCCCCACAAAAACATAGCTACCTTTCGGATGGCTTCAGATACCCCCATAGCCGAAATCTCCTTCAAAGACTACCTAAATACCTTCCTGGTGGCTTCAGATACCCCCCATAGCCGAAATCCCCTTAAAAACTACTTAGATTCCATCCCGATACTTTAAATGATTTAAATAATAAATTAACATAATTAAAAAGTATTAAAAGTATTAAAGTAACTTAAAAAGCTATTTGGGCGCGGGAAAGGGCCTGGGGAAGAGGGGCGAAAGGAAAGGGGGCGTGGCCTCCCGGGAAAGGGGCCCCCACCCGTTTTATTAAGGCGCCACTTTCAAAGTTAATTTTAATAATTTAAACTAAAACTTTTTGATAATTTTTTGATCAGTTTGGGGGTTTCTGACCACGCTCTATCCGAATCCGAAGAGACCTAAGCTCTAGCTCCTTTCCCCTTCGAGTTGAATCCGGGACACGACGGACAGACAGACAGACAGACGGACGCCTCTACTTTTTTATTATAGTTGATACCTGAACAACGGAAGGGTCGGAAGATGAGGTGTGTCGATGAGTGACGAGCGAGCTTATTAGGATTTTTGCGGATGGCATTGCCGCACTGCTGGAAAAAGCATTCGATAACAGGATTTTGCCGATAATTCTCGCTAGCCGCCGTTAGTATTAAAGAATACCATAATAGGCATCATCAAAATGATGTGATTACGTACCTTCGTTCCATCTTCTTCCTCCTTCGCCGGCTTCACCTGATCGTCCTCGGTCGGCCGACGGCGCTTCACAGCACCTCTTTTTCCGGCTTTTAAAGGAGGCATGCCTGGAAAAGGGAGAAATGTGAAGCAGTAGCATGATATATATATTGAACGCGGAAGTTTTCTTTTTTAAAGGATACAGACCCGAAAAGGAAATGACAGATATCTTTCCGCGATTTCTATACACGTTGCTTGCTCAAAGACGCCGCGTGTGCATCAAAAATCATTATAGCATGCCATGAAAAGACACTAATCTACGTTTTCTTGAGCGCTAGGCCCTAAAAAATGCTAAGATTCCGCCTACTAACTGCGGCTCTCTTCGCCAATTCAACCCCAGATAGATTGTCACTCATTGCCGATCTGAGCGCAAATTACGACCTTTTTCTGACTGGAAATTGTCTTAACAACCTAGCTAGTGGTCTATTACAAAAAAAATAAAAGAACGTATGGAACGAAGCGCATCAGGCTCATTCTACGAACTGCGCGAAGGAGATTAGAAGCTGAATGTAGCTCTATTTATTAACCCCCGTATTTGTCAGATTGAATATTATCGAGTTGGACACACGTCGGTTACCCGAAAAGGGCTTGCACAGTTTTTTTCGACCCCATTTTTTTGTTACCATCGGAAAGAGCATTTTCGAATTAGTAGGGCTGCATAGTTTTGACATTTTTCTGCGTCGAATGACGTGTCAATTATGCGGCGCTCGGTCGCCCGCCTATCTTAAAAAACGCGATATTTAAGCCAAAAATGTGCCAAGGCATAATGGGGACAGGTCGGGTGGCTGGCCGACGGCCCTTTAAGGTTCTGGTAAGTGAAGCCAAGCCCAAGCGTAGGGCAAAGTTAAACCTGGGTGGAAAGCTTCAAACCAAGTAGCGCATCATCACCTCTTATTACCAATTTCCAGTCGCCATGCGTTTCGCAAAATTGAAAATGTGTTGCGCAAAATCCAAGTCTAAAAAACATTAAGACGCTATTCACCGTGCTATACCTCGTACGAAATGATACCGCCTTTTAGATATTTATCCCAGACCTCAATGTGGCAAAGTTACAAGGAATATCAAGAGCAAAGTAGGGATGATTTAGTAATGGGGGATGATACACAGTAGGGGGGTTGTGGATCCGATTCAATTGTCGACCTTGGCGATTCGTGTTGACGAGAGGATGCGGTGGCGCTTCTGGTTGGGCGTTGCCTTGAGTGCGTTCGGGCTGCCCGGGTGGTAGGACGTGTGGTTGGGGATGCGACGCTTCATGTAGACGTACAGGCCGCCCAACACGACAAAGGTGATGACGGCGAGGATGGAGAGCGCCACGCACGTGTACAGCTGTACCTTGCGTACCTGAAAAGGAAAAATGAAATCATGCAAAAAGCTAACATGCAAACTTTATAAAGCTAAAAAGTTCAGCGGGTTGCTAGCAAAGTGAAAAATTACCCGTTCAGCTTCAAGCTCGGCTTGCTGCAGCTCGTGCTTGATCTCGGTAAGCTCGTAAGCGTCGAAAGTCTCCAGGTTGGCGCGTTGGAAAGTTGGCAGCTTGGCGAGCAGATCGTCGATCGTCAAGTTTTTCTAAACGCAAATTTACAAGATTATAAGAAAGTATACCGTGTTTGTCCTCGCGATCGCGGTGATGATCTTCTCGGCGTTGGCCCGGATGTGGTCTTGCAGGTCGAGAGGCAACAGGCGCAAGTCCGGGATTTCGCCCTGGGCAATCTTCTGAAAAAAAATTAAAATTTCGAGGCAAAAATAAAGTTACCTGGATGACTTCGATGGGGATCTTGCTGATGTTGTAGTTCTTGGGGAGAATCTTCAACAGCTCGGCGCCAATGTTTGCGCCCGGCAGGTCGGCGGCAGGGACGACGTTGGTGTCGGTGTGCGGCTTTCGCGGTTGAAGGTAGTATAGCTAAAAACAGTTTAAAAACTGAAACGTTAGTACCTTGATGATGTCCGTCTGTTCGCCACTCAGCCCGGGTAGGTTGATGCCCGACATGGCCTTGTTGACGAGTTCAGCGGGCAACTGGTCCAGCGGGGGCAAAAACTTCTGCTGCTCCGGCGTGATCGTCCCTTTGCTCGCTGCCTCAAAAAATGAAATCAGACTTAATACTATAAGCGTACCTCGGCAGCTTTCACCATCTTCAGCATGTAGCCACGGAGAAGCGCGTCGGTGGCCTCTTTGGGGATGCCGGGGATCTGGCCGCCGCGAAGAATGTAAGAGACGACGCTGGGGTCAAGCTAAACCAAAAGTTGAATTTACCACAAACAGAATCAATACCTGCTTGACATCGACATCGCCGAACCCGGGCACGTTGACGATGAGGGCCGGGATCGATTGGAGGATTTGACGAATGTCCGACTCGAGCGGCTGGCCACCGTGCGCAAAACGGACAAGCGGGGCCGAGAATTCCTCCAGCGCGGCGCTCAATTGCGGGTCCATCGGGATGCCGAACGTCTTCATTCCTCCGCCGGTCTTCAGGTCTGCTAGGTTCGGCAGGCTCCTAAAAAAGAAAAGCTTGTTGAGTCTCGAAGAAACAATTCATAGATAAGTTTGAAAAGAATTACTTTAGCGCCGGGATGGCATTGGTGAGCGATCGGACGAAGGCATTCCCAATGTTGGTGGCCAGCGCCGACTTGCCCGGCGTGTTGTGGACCGAGCCGACACTCTTCGAACGCCCCGGAGTCGATGTAGTCGTAGTAGTTGTTGTCGTTGTCGAGGCAGATTCCTGTGGTCCTTTAGAGGCCGTCGTCGCTGGTGGCGCCCCAGTTGTCGCAGTGACGGACGGCGGCGGCGGCGTCGTGGATGTGGTAATTGGCGTAGGCTTTGTCGTAGTCGTGGCAATTGTCAGGGGTGCCGCTGTGGTGGTTTCAGTTAGCGGAGGTGCTACTGTAGTTGTCGTGGCTTCGATCGTAGGGACCACCTTCGTCAGCACCACGTCGCCACATTTGATTCCGCCCAGCAAAACGCACAGCAGGACGAGCCAGAGGTGCTCCGCGTGTGTTCGGTACTTGGCCATGAATGAATCCTGAAAAAGAGGGAGTGTTGAGAGCATCGGCAAAAATAAAAGAGAAAAAGTGGAAACGAAAAGACAAAAACAGCGGAAAACAGAGGAACCCGTCGGCAAAGCGCGAAAGAAATCCACCTCCAAGAATTTCCAAAAAGAAACAGGAGGAATACTGAGCAAATTCAGCGAAAGAAAGAAGTTCGCGCAAATTTTTACCGACAAAATCGCAGAAAAGAAATAAAATTTTAGTGATTCCCAAAAAAAAATTCAACAATCCAAAGTGCAAAAATAAAAATCCTACGTGCGAGCAAAACTTGGAAAACCGAAAAACCCGAAATCTTCCGCAGCCTAGCGGGATTCCAACATGCACCTCTATACGGATTCTGGCTATGGTCATTGGGGCGCGGTATAAAAGCAAGAAGCGGATGAATTCGGAAAGGAAAACTAAAAACTAAAGCTTTCGGATGCTTCTTCTAAAATTCATTTTCTTGCTTCTTCTGTTTCTTCTACTCTTCAACATCGGTGCCGCGAGGGAAAAGTGCAAGGGCAACGTTCAGTATTTCAGCGCTGGTGATTACTTTGGTAAGTAAATTTAGGTTAACCTAGATTTAACTATACTTTAGAGTGTGTTAATAAATATATTAATTTAACGTAGACTTTTCATACAGAGGCTTTGGGCTAGATTATTGACGGTAGTAAATTACTGTTAACTTTTCGTTAAATGCGGTTTTGAGTTGATTAATAAACGTAATAAACTGGTGGCAGCCTGTTAATAAGTTTACTATTTAGATGCCGACTGCATCGACGTCAACCAGGCAAAGGACTACAAATATTTTGGCAACAAGGTATTTTCACAGACCTTAGAAGTTTTATCTTTTTATTTTTAGAACACTTCTCTCAACGATGAGCCCTGCGTGCCTTGGAATCGTCTCTGGCAGCATTTGGACCTTGCGGGATTCATTCAAGGGTAATGCTTTTAAAAATTGAACACTTTATCATAATTTAGGCCTAAATTGTTGACGATCCACGTCCGCCAAACGCACAACTTTTGCCGGATGTTGCCGATGGAACTCTGGAATACGTAGGTTTCCGCTAAATTCGTAGATACCTGTTTTTTAGGTGGACTGTGTCTGACATTTTCTCGATGGGCAAAGATGCTATGGGCAGGCTGGCCGGCGATAAATTCCCGTTCTGCCTTGTGGCTACGGAGCAGCATGTAAGAAAATTGGATATTTTGGCGATATCGGGGAGACGAATTTCTTTTTGTTACAACCAGATCGGCCTCGTTAATATTTTTTTGCTTAATTCTGCGATTTTCCAAGGGGAAGAACCATTTAGGGACCTTACAAAATGTTTAAAAATTTTCAATTTAGGTCGAAGATCGTTTTTTTTCGACGGTTAAGCGATCTTCCCGGTTTTTTAATAAAAATTTTGGAAAGTTTTTACATTAAAAACGTATAAAAAAACTGCGCGAAATGATAATTTAGTTAGTGAAATTCTATATTTTCTTATTTTAGGGGATCCTGACCGCTAAGCGATGTTTGGACAAATGCCATGCGTGGCAAGAATGTGTGCCTAGTGGTATGTATCTAAAAGTACTATAAAAATCCATATAATTCTTTTTAGAGCCCCCAAAACCCCGAAAGAAGCACACTGCGCCGGTCGAGCCAAATTTCAACCCCGAGCTGTTCGGGAGTCTGCGAGAATATTTTGGTTTGTTATTAGACTACGCTAAAAACTTTGTTTTCAGCTTTCAACTGGGGCACCGACGAGCAGCTCTACTCTTACTACGATCAGGTTTGTATTTTCTAGTTTTGTGAAGTATTTTCGCGTATTTTTAGCACCAATCGGACCGCTACTTTTCCTCCCAGCTCAGCACAATTCGAAATTGGGTATAGCAACTTTTGATTCTGAAAAATTACTATTTTTAGATAGCAGCGGCTGCCTGCGTTGCCCTCGTGCTGATCATCCTCTACTTTGTCATCAACTGGACGCTGCAGAGGCTGGCCAAGGTGGCTAGGGACACGAAGGTACACTTTTTGATGGATATGAAAGTAATATTTTAGCCATTAGATGATTATTATTGTTATAAAATATAAAGTAAAGTGCTTTTCAGACTAAAACTGACGATGAGAGCCACGGGTCCTCACAGCCGAATACGAAAGATACGAATACGAAGGAAACGACGACAACCGATGGGAACAATAACACAACGCCTTCACCAACTCCCACCCCGACACCCACCTCGCCTACCCCATGAAAATATGAACATTCTATTACGGTTATAATAATTCAGCGCATTTTCTTGTATTGAGATTGCAAATATTGTATTGTGCTTTTTAATAATTAATACGGATGTTATTATTCGACTATGATAAATGGTTTTTGAGGTACCAAATTTTTGTCGCGCCGAATTTTTTCGAGATTTATTAGTGACTAATAATATTAGGCTTTTTCTAGAGCAATTCTGATGTCTATATAGTTCCTTAGTCTGTCGAAAGATCCCATTCAGACGGCAACAGGTGCGTTCCAACGAACGGGCATGTTTTTATTGCGTTGACCAGAGAACAAGCGGATTTTGTAAGCCGGAAATCAAGGCACTTTTTCCGCAGATTGGTAAAAATCTATATTTTTGACATTGCCGAGTGAAGGGTGCCAGTGGCGGTTGTGATAGATGCCCTGAAAATCGGAAAATTTTCCCGATATCTCATTATTTGCAAAATCAAGTTTTTTTAGTAGAATCTCAAGCTACAAATCTTATTTTTATGCATAAAAATTAGACCTACTTTCTACCAGCCATCTGCAGCAGGAATCTTCGATACGGTTCGGTAAGATACAAAATTGATAGTGACGAAATGCTGGCGTGAAAAGCGTCCAGGGCCCACGTTGCATTCAGGATTGCTAGAATTTAGACTTTTTTATATTTATTTAAACGATTTAAACGTTATTGCTTATTGCGTAGGGCCCTGAACTCCATTATTTTAACATCCAAATCAAGAGCTAGGTCGGTATTTTTCGTAGGTGTTCGGGAAATGAAAAAACTTTCTAATATATAAAAAATTATCGAAAGGAATTTAGCGGATGTCAGGCTTCTACGAGCTTAAAAAATATACGATAATTTTAAAAATTACATTGCGGCGTCGTATCCCATCTCGAGACGACGACGATGGCGCCGTGAAGCCACGGGATAGCTACAGTAATCATTGGCACGGCTATCTAAAACGGCCTTTCTTTAAAACAAGTTGTTATCGTTAGGCACAGTACTAAAAATAGCATACGCTAATATTTCCAACAAAAAGTCCGACAGCAAAAAATAACGAAATCCAAAATCCCGACAACCAAAATCCCGAGAGCCAGAATCCCGACCGACAAAATATCGACACGCAAAATGCCGACAGCCAAAATATCGACAAATTCTTGACGCGAGTCTGAATGCCATTTCCTGTTAAACAGTTATTTTCGATGTCGGGATTTGTCTATCGGGGGTTTTGCATGTCGGCATTTTGACTGTCAGGATTTTGGGTGTCGGTATTTTGATCTTTTCCCCTATTACCTGCGCAAAAAGTGCTCTCAGCAACTTTCGATGCATCGTTTTCGTATGGTCACTCATCACAAGAATCGTGTCCAACATGTAGAAACTATGCCACATCACAAATGTGGCCTAGAGATACATACATTGCGTGATCTGTTAAACCATTACCCCGGCTATAATCTCGGCTAGTGTTAAGAAAATGACGATACAGCCGGTGGTTTGTATAGATAGTCCAGTTAATGGGAGAATTGAACTGGCTTCAGCCACCCAAAAATTCGGATCTTCGTAGGCGAAGGCGTAACGAGGGAATTGCTGGAATTTCATAGTGTATATTAAGAGTTTTCAGTACTTTATAGGTATTAATTAATAGAGATATTCAGAAAGATCTATTTAGCACTCTAAGGGTCAGAAAATCTATTTAAAACCGTGAAAGTTTAAAAAAATCAGGTTTACATAAATTAAATAAATTAATTTTTACGATTTTCATGAAATTCGTGATTACTTGATATCCAATATTTTTAGATTTTCTAAATAGCGCTATAATTACCGTACCTCCACCATAGCCACCATTATCGCCGAATTCCTGCTGCCCCGTTCGATAATTGCGAATTGACAGCAATAAATGAGAAAACCACTATATAACGTGTAATGGACAAATCCAAGGCCTATCCATGTCCATTTTCCGAAACTAAAAGAAAGTTTGATTCTCTATTAAGTGACGCACTTACCGTAACCAATTGTCATACGGTCATTAGTCGATGTCTATACAAGAAACACTGTGATGCTGAGAGGATGAGGCTGTACATGGCGAAGATGCCGATTTGCTGGAAAAAGAATAGAAATACACGACTTTTTTGAAGGTCGGTCGTTTCCTTAACTTGTTATAGCCAATCGTACACACCATATAATCATTTTAAAATCGAAGCACCCTTTCTTACAATCTTGCTCTCCCTCTCTCATTCTCACACGCTCTCACTCTTCACTCCATCTATCTCTTTGCTCTCTCTCTCTCTCTCTCTCTCTCTCTCTCTCTGTCTCTCTCTCGCTCTCTCTCTCCCCCTCTCTCCTTCCCACTCTCTCGCTCTCTCTAGCTCTCTCTTGCTCGCTCTCTCTCCCTCTCTATCGCTCTCCCTCACTCTCCCTCTCTCTCGATATCGCTTGAGCTTCTTCTTTTGGCAAACCGATTTTTTACATTCATCTTTTGCAGCCCGATGTAGCCAAAGCTCAGGAAAACATAGAAAAACTCCGCGAACTTACAAACAACAGCTTTACGTCAAGGTGGAACCAGGTGTAGGCGATGCCGTGGAGTCTGATTAACAGGGGAGGGAGACACGTTTCGGGGAGGGCGAAGTGGATCAAGGCTTCGGTGGTGGAGGACCAGACCTGGAATTTGAAAAAACGTCAAAAGGAGATAAGCATAGCATTTATCCAGGTTTTGTAGTTTGTAAATATTTGATAAAAAAGTTTGACAAGTTAACTTACCAACAAACCAGGCGAGGTAGAGAAAAAGCGAGTAAAAGCGGGGGAGGTGTCGAAAAGGAATAGCAATCCGCACTATTAGGAATAAATATCCCAATAATGCCCACGCGAAGGATTTGCCACCTATTCCTCCTACGACCCATCACACTTCCCTATACACGGGTAGTCGGGTCAGTGGAGGTCTGTAAGACTAATGTATGCCAAAAGATTGACCCTGCAGACTATGAATAAGATCTAATGCGATTACCACTAATAGAGACGTGTGGATAAGAATGGTTTATTAGTATATAAAGAGAAAAGAGCAACCGAGAAGAGTACACAAAGGGCCAATAGAACCACTGGAAGTAAGACGAGGAAAGGGGCGGAAAGAGCTCTGGGTGTAATACAAGTAGGGAATCCACGGGGGAGGGAAATCACCCGATAACAGGGCTCTGTGGGTAGACTAACCACCACACAGATCCTATTCAATCCCGACCGGCCATGGAAATGACCGGCGGCAACGACTCCCTGGGAAGGGAAGAAGTGGCCCATAAATGCGGGACAGAGCTAGGCCGCCCGATTTCCCTACCGTAGTAGGGCGCGCTGCGGGACCCCGGGAAAAGGCCCCCGCCCCACAGACCAATTAAACCTCGTAAGTCCTGTACTTTGTACAGAACTTTCGACACTCCCGGCCCACGAGAAGCCGAGAGGTCGCGCCTTGTAGAAGACCCGTCAGCCGCGAGGCTTAAGGGTTACTAGGATCTGAACCAGGGAAGAACTGTGTTGTGCTTACATCATTCTCACCAATCTGGTGGTCCTGACTTGGGCGATACGGAGACCTGGTCCAGTCTAGTCTTTGGGCTGGAAGGCGGAGGTATTTGGAATGTAAGAGTGGTGGGACCTCGGCCCCGACAAAAAAAGGTGGTGATCCCCATGCCCGAGATACAGATAGGTGGAGGGTGGAGCTCTACCGCACAAAGTAAAGTGGAAAAGTGGTAGGGCTGGGCTGGGTATAGGGTATCACGGTGCTTCTGGGAGCGGGAGGGCCGAAAATTAGGGTTAGGACCTAGGGGGTGGGGCTCAGAGAGACAAAATGAGGGAGGGGAAGCTAACCGACGCTAAGGAGCCCGACCTCCTGTCGGAAAGCTAGGGACAACACGTACTTTTGGTTACTGCTGCGGCTTGTAGACGAGGGCATGACGGGCTCTTGAACGACTTGTCGAGCTTGACTTGAAGTGCTTGAGCGTCCGGCTTGACCATCTTGATGAAGTGCTTGGCGAAGACGGGCGGCTTGATGTAGAGCTTGACCGACTTGCGCTGGACTTGAGTGGTTGAGGGGGCAGCAGCAATCAACGGGAGTGAGGAGACCGTTCCTGGATGTAATCAAATGATTGGGGAGTCTGTGTGTAAACGGGGAATGACCATTGCAGTCTCTGTGTGTAAACGTTCGCGGAGGATGAGGGTGCACGGGAAAACTCCCACCACTCGCTCACTCCTGCTACAGTCGTATGTGGAAACAACATTTGACTCGTGGTGGTCAGGGATGCCGTTTTTCGCAGTTCTATGAACTGCTACATTGATGGACTGGACCTTGTAGCGGCGCCGCAACGCAAACACAGAAGCTGGTGGCATGACATGCTGTCGAAGTTCTGTGTCCAGTTATGAACGCTGTAAAAACGTTGCAGGCGGGAATAGCCGGAGAATCCACTGACTTATTTCAGGGTTCTTTGGACTATCAAAAAGCCTGATGTACTGAATGTTCAATGAAGGACGACGAAAAACTGCGTGTGTGTCAAACTGCAACAAGGTTGGTCTGTGTGCCCTGGAAACGAGAAAAACACCACTGCCAATCGTTGGTCTCGCACTGTTTCAGCGATCCGACGGGTCTGGCGGATGCCCGTGTTGAGTTGTTGGACTGGGCAATAAGGGGAAAAGGGAGATCTGGATGGAATGTCTTTCTTGATCACCGTCTTGGAGTGCGGCGTCCGTGCTGGATCTGGTACGAATCACTTCGTAGATGTGTTTGCGCAAAGAATGTACACGGGCTATCCCAACTTCAGCAGCAACTGGGCTACAAGTGCAAGAGCACATAAAGCCTTTTTGCTTCCATCGGTACCGGCCCTGACTAGGGAATGGTCTCCACTCGACATCGAATTTCTTGTTGCAAGTTAGCTCATTTTGTAGATCTCGACGAGACGAATCGTTTGATGTAACTTTTAGCTGCGGATACTTTATTTTAACAAAGTTACAGCCCATTAAAGTTTTTGACCTACCTTCATAAGCCCTCCCCGCATCCCCGACACCGTGGCCTGGTGGCCTAGTGGCGTAGTAGGCCGCCTCTGGGGAATCTAACGAGGGTTCGAATCCGCTCACGATTTTTATTTTTTGCTTTTTGGTCCTAACGTTCCTTTTTGGATTTGCAGGAGTTAGACAAACTCTTTTTAGATTATTTAACCTTTATGAAAGTTTTAGAACGATAAAACGAGCTTCGGAAAATTTTGGGCTGAAGGCTCAACCCCGTCATGCTCATACCTTGGCAAATTAGTTATTGGTAACATTCAAATGCCTTTGTATTCGCCAGGGGCGTTAGTATTTACTAGGGAATAAAATATACAACATTACAAATTTTATTAAATTTTTTTGGAGGTATATTGTTGTGTCTTGCCAAAGTGTGGTGCGCAGCGGGACGAACAGTTTACGAACAACTGTTTATTCGGTGAGCAACATGGCGGCAAGAGGAGGAGAAATTAGAACCGAATTGGAACTGAGGAAATAAATGCCATCGCTGGCCCAGTGGGGAGAGAGACCCCGTTACGGTGGAAAGGGCACTGGATAGGCGAGAGGCCGGGGAGCGAAGGGAAAAGGCGGGGGCGCTCGAAGGCGCTCCGCAACACCTCCCCCTGTACAAAACGAAAAGAAAGGAAATTGTGGAGACGGAGGAGGAGACACCAACGGAAAATGTACAACTGCGTACAGCAAAACGAAGGATCAAATCACAACGTAAAACAAGTCAAACTTATTTGCTTTTTTCCTTTATTAATTGGCGCGCGCTTGGGCGACGGTCATCCTTCCTTCCTTCCTTCAACGTTCGACGCTGCTTCACCAAGGTAGACGGCACTGCGGGCACGCCTCCTTCCCTCATGCAGGAATGATGAGCTTGATCTTGCCGCTCCATGTCGACGGGCTCGCTGGGGCACCGTCCGCCGAGCTGCTGCATCAGACCCGGTCTTCGCGATGGGCCTCTTCCGTAGAGGTGAAATCCATCGGCCGGCTGCTCGCTGTAGTGGCGCGCCGGTCTTCTCGACTACAAACCGTCGGAGGTTGCCGGGGGCTTTTCAGAAAAGCCTGGGTCCCGGTCTTTCTCGGCTATAAACGGCCGGTCGTTGCCGGGGACTTTTTCAAAAAAGTCGGCTTTCCGGTCTTGCAAGACGGGCCTCTTCCGTAGAGGTGTACCATCTGCCGGCCGCTCGCTGTAGTGGGCGCGCCGGTCTTTCTCGACTATCAACCGTCGGAGGTTGCCGGGGACTTTTCAAAAAAGTCTGCTTCCCGGTCTTTATACGACGGGCCTCTTCCATAGAGGTGTACCATCGGCCGGCGGCACTCGGTGGTGGCGCACCGGACTTTCTCGGCTATCAACGGCCGGGCGTTGCCGGGGACTTTTCAAAAAAGTCGGCGTCCCGGTCTTTCAACGGCTATAAACGGCCGGACGTTGCCGCGGGCTTTTCCAACGTGAAGACACCGCGGTCTTTTCTTCTTTCCTTGAAGAAGTCGCGGCCGGCCTTGACGGAGTTCCAGTGGGCGAGCGGCAGCCGGATGCCGCGTAGTTGACCCATTCGTCGTGGCCTTCTCTGCATTTCTTGTCGTCCTTGGCTGGAGACATCCTTCCTTCCTTCTTGCGCTTGAGGGCGAAGACGGCGCGCTTCGACTTGGTCCTTCTTGTCGACGGGCATGGCCACGCGATCCGGGCACATAGAAAGTGCGAAGGCCAAATAGGGGGCAAAAGACTTCCCCTTTCAATCGAATCCTCCATGGGATGACGCCGCTTCTTTGCCATGTAGAGCTTCTTGTCCTTGCGCTTGATCCACATCTGCTTGACCAACTTG